CTATAAACAAGACGTCCCTGTCACCGATGGACACTAAACGTTGGATAGCTATTGATGGGATAAACACGTTCGCGTACGGGCATGAGAAAATTTAACCAAGATAGGCGGCATGTCACGGAACCAGAGAAAGTTTGAGGCTATTTACTACAGCCCACGTGGGTACTGGAAAGGAGTTAGCGCCGTACATAAGCTGGCTAAAATGGCGCGAGTACCCCCGGAGGAGTCCAAAGTGTGGCTTGAAAAACAAGCCCTGTGGCAGATCTATTTACCGGCACCACGCTACGTGCCTAGAAGGAAATTCGGCATTAACATACCCAATAGCGTTCACCAGGCCGACCTCCTATTCCTACCCCACGATAAGAGGTACAAGTATGCCTTAACCGTCGTGGATGTGGCCAGTCGCTACAAGGAAGCCGAACCCTTGACCACGAAAGACTCGGCCCAGGTAGCCCGCGGATTCGAACGCATATACAAACGCAGTCCGCTGACGTGGCCAACAGAGCTGCAAGTTGACCCCCGGGCGGGAGTTCATGGGTGTCGTGTCACACCTGCTGGATAAACACGACACCAAGGTCAGGCGTGGTACGGCAGGAGCCCATCGCAGCCAAGCCATAGTTGAGAGATTCAATAGGAATTTGGCTGAGCGCTTATTCGGGCATCAGTATGCGAAAGAGATGGCCAACCCGGGAAAACGATCGACTGAATGGGTAGCTCGGTTACCTCAGGTGGTGTCGGCCATAAACCACCAAACTACCTGTCTCACCGGCAAGAAACCAGCAGACGCTATCAAACTAAAATCAATAGTGGCAGAGTCGGCTGCTCCATTGCGTGGGAAGGAGAAACAGATACCAGATAGGGCCCTAGTGAGGTATCTATACCAGCCGGGGGAACACGAGGGTGATAGCCGTAAGCGAGCCACCAATCCTATATGGTGAGCCGAACTTGTACTACTTGAGAGATGGGCCAGGGAGAGGCTCGTTAGAGAGGAATTATTGATTGTACCGTATGGCACAATATTACCTCCTGCCAACGTGGCATAGTGTCACGTGTGGCCGGGAAGTTAACAAAATAACTGTTTAGTAATCCCAGTATCACATTAAACTGTTTCCTCGAGGTCAACACAACATATCACATGATCAGGAAAGTGCAGTTCGCTATCTCAGGATAGACCCGTTAAACCGAAATACCACAGCTAAGTCCCCGGTAGCTCAATCGGTTGAGTGGTGCGGCTGTGAGGTATACATGGGGGGTTCGTATCCTGCTGGTGTCTCAACTTTTTTTTTTTTTTTATAGGTAGGGAAAGTAGTAGGGGTAATGGGGTGAGATCTAAGGGCCTGACAAGGGCCTGACAAAAGCCTTATTTGTGAAATAAGGCTTTGCAGAGGCTTTTGTTGGACTTGACTTCGTACCCCCATTATATATACTACTCAACGTAGGTTTAGATCTGGTCTGAATTTAGCATTACTATTTCTACAACTTCCTATCCAAATCACTTCTGATTTATCATAGTTAATATTAAGTCCAGAGATTTGTGCATACTGATCTAGTGTGTCAATGACTCCTTCGAATGATTTCCTTGAGCCATCCAGGATAAATTCTGTGTCATCTGCATACTGAGCGATCAAGTATTCTATGTTATTTACCACTACACCCTTGGTATTTTTATTTTTTCTAATAAGAGCTGATAGTATTTCAGTACATAGTAGGAAGATATATGATGACAAAGGGTCGCCTTGTCTACAGCCACGAAGAATAGGTATCCAGGGAGACATTTTACCATTTATGACTAAACTTGATTTAGTATCTTCATACAGTATAGAAACCCATTTAATAATACCATCAGCAAAACCCCTGTGTTTGCGGCGGAGGATATGAAAAAACGCCTCGATTTGTATGACACCAGTGACTACCCCAAGGGCCATGCCATACACAGCACGGTAAATAAAAAGGTCCTAGGTAAGATGAAGGACGAGTGTGCTGGCACGCCCATAGCCGAGTACATAGGTTTGAGGCCTAAGATGTACTCCATCCTGAAGGCCGACAATGGTGAGATCCGGAAGGCGAAGGGTGTTAAGAAGTACGTGGTGAAACAACACATCAAACACGCCAGATTCAAGGAAGCCCTGTTCAAGACCCGTACCTTTAGACATGAAATGAACACACTTAGAAGTGATGGGCATAGGATATACGGACTGACTATAAACAAGACGTCCCTGTCACCGATGGACACTAAACGTTGGATAGCTATTGATGGGATAAACACGTTCGCGTACGGGCATGAGAAAATTTAACCAAGATAGGCGGCATGTCACGGAACCAGAGAAAGTTTGAGGCTATTTACTACAGCCCACGTGGGTACTGGAAAGGAGTTAGCGCCGTACATAAGCTGGCTAAAATGGCGCGAGTACCCCCGGAGGAGTCCAAAGTGTGGCTTGAAAAACAAGCCCTGTGGCAGATCTATTTACCGGCACCACGCACGTGCCTAGAAGGAAATTCGGCATTAACATACCCAATAGCGTTCACCAGGCCGACCTCCTATTCCTACCCCACGATAAGAGGTACAAGTATGCCTTAACCGTCGTGGATGTGGCCAGTCGCTACAAGGAAGCCGAACCCTTGACCACGAAAGACTCGGCCCAGGTAGCCCGCGGATTCGAACGCATATACAAACGCAGTCCGCTGACGTGGCCAACAGAGCTGCAAGTTGACCCCGGCCGGGAGTTCATGGGTGTCGTGTCACACCTGCTGGATAAACACGACACCAAGGTCAGGCGTGGTACGGCAGGAGCCCATCGCAGCCAAGCCATAGATGAGAGATTCAATAGGACTTTGGCTGAGCGCTTATTCGGGCATCAGTATGCGAAAGAGATGGCCAACCCGGGAAAACGATCGACTGAATGGGTAGCTCGGTTACCTCAGGTGGTGTCGGCCATAAACCACCAAACTACCCGTCTCACCGGCAAGAAACCAGCAGACGCTATCAAACTAAAATCAATAGTGGCAGAGTCGGCTGCTCCATTGCGTGGGAAGGAGAAACAGATACCAGATAGGGCCCTAGTGAGGTATCTATACCAGCCGGGGGAACACGAGGGTGATAGCCGTAAGCGAGCCACCAATCCTATATGGTCAGTCAAAACTTACAACATAGATAAAGTGGACATGAAAGCCGACGAGCCGAACTTGTACTACTTGAGAGATGGGCCAGGGAGAGGGCTCGTTAGAGAGGAATTATTGATTGTACCGTATGGCACAATATTACCTCCTGCCAACGTGGCATAGTGTCACGTGTGGCCGGGAAGTTAACAAAATAACTGTTTAGTAATCCCAGTATCACATTAAACTGTTTCCTCGAGGTCAACACAACATATCACATGATCAGGAAAGTGCAGTTCGCTATCTCAGGATAGACCCGTTAAACCGAAATACCACAGCTAAGTCCCCGGTAGCTCAATCGGTTGAGTGGTGCGGCTGTGAGGTATACATGGGGGGTTCGTATCCTGCTGGTGTCTCAACTTCTTTTTTTTTATAGGTAGGGAAAGTAGTAGGGGTAATGGGGCGAGATCTAAGGGCCTGACAAGGGCCTGACAAAAGCCTTATTTGTGAAATAAGGCTTTGCAGAGGCTTTTGTTGGACTTGACTTCGTACCCCCATTATATATACTACTCAACGTAGGTTTAGATCTGGTCTGAATTTAGCATTACTATTTCTACAACTTCCTATCCAAATCACTTCTGATTTATCATAGTTAATATTAAGTCCAGAGATTTGTGCATACTGATCTAGTGTGTCAATGACTCCTTCGAATGATTTCCTTGAGCCATCCAGGATAAATTCTGTGTCATCTGCATACTGAGCGATCAAGTATTCTATGTTATTTACCACTACACCCTTGGTATTTTTATTTTTTCTAATAAGAGCTGATAGTATTTCAGTACATAGTAGGAAGATATATGATGACAAAGGGTCGCCTTGTCTACAGCCACGAAGAATAGGTATCCAGGGAGACATTTTACCATTTATGACTAAACTTGATTTAGTATCTTCATACAGTATAGAAACCCATTTAATAATACCATCAGCAAAACCCCTGTGTTTTATAAATATAGGACCAAGATACTGAATCGAATGCCTTTTCAAAGTCTACAAGTAACAGCATTCTCATGATAAATTAAGCAAAATAGTTCTTCTGTAACTTGAAACAAAATATATTTTTGTAACCTGGATCAGTAGTATGGATGGGTATATTGGACTGACTGACTGACTGAGTTTGGTTTTACGCCGCTTTTAGCAATATTCAAGCAATATCACGGCGGGGGACACCTGAAATGGGCTTCATGCATTGTACCCATGTGGGGATTCGAACCCGGGTCTTCGGCATGAGCCAACGCTTTGACCACTAGGCTACCCCACCGCCCCGGTTATATTGGAATTGGTATTTGAGTTGAAATGGTAATGATAACACAATTTCTTCGAAACCGACGTGATACCGAACATAAATATTGCCCTAACTTTGATCAAATAACCTTTGAGTCGTATGGTGCGCACTCTTTGGAAACTTGGTAAAACCAGCATGCTCGATTGTACCTCAGAAATTAATGATAGTCTTTTGTCATGCAGCCCTGTGGAGTGTATCGATTACTTTAAACATCCTGTACAGATCTAAGTAGGAAACACAGGCGGCGGCTTCCCTGGCTTTTGTTCCTAGTTCAGATAGGTAAAGCAGTGGAAAGCAATCGACTATTTCAACTGTTATTGAATGATTCATATGTACAATAAAAACTGATCAGCAAAATGGGAGAGCTTATTTTGGTGTAATGACCTACACAGTTCTTTGATCTCATAATCAAACAATAGTTATGTAATTTTCGGCCTTTCAATAGTTATGCTGTCACAACATTATATCACGAATACTAAATTTCTAATCACCAGCAAGCGTTAACTGCTTGTTTATAGGAGAACCCTAGTTGACAATGAGCAATGGAAAACAATCCAATACGTACTTTTCAAGTCTACAGTTGCCTCCTGCAGACACACTCTGATTGCACTTTGCCCAGGGCCATGTTTCCACAACTAAAACAATCAACATGTTAACTATACTCGACGTCAGTAATGAAGGGCCAAGCTATTGGTAAATAGCTTAAAAGTCTTAAAATCTTCGTTTTTGTATGAAATATATACAACTGAATGTTTTACAACCTTTCTTAACAGTATGGAAGAACACATCAGGCCGTTATTGTCATTATTACGTTCTTTACCGTCCGATACATTCTGTTGCAAATGACACATTTTTTATTCAAATTGTCAATTTGGACATCCACCTGTCACTTAATATGAATGACTTTTACGTGCAAGTCGCGCTGTCCATGGAACGTGGATGACAATACACTTGCATTGATGCTTATTCACTGTCGTTCATGTTCAGGTACCTGTTTGAAGTCGCAGCTAGCGTAAATGAGACGGTTATTTTGACACTTGCTGAAAGGGGCCAGGCTATAGGCCTTTTGGATCTGGTCAAACTCAGCGGCAGGTTGCTGTCCGCTTTAATGCGAGTCACGTGCTATTGGTAGACTATGGCAGAGATTTCAAACCAATGGGTCCGTGGAATATGCACGTCGACCAGGTCGCCCCAGAGTCACAACAGTCCAAGATGATAGGCACATGATTAACACTGCGTTACGTAACTGGTTCCTTAAGGCAGCAGATCTTCAGACACAACATCAATGTTAATATTGTAAGGATATCCAGGAGCACCATTCGTCAACGTTTTAGGGCAGCCGGACTCCGCTGTATACGACTTGCAGTTCGTCCACCACTCAGTCTAAGTAAACTTAGGGTCAGTATTATTCGTTACACTGCTATAATTAGTCTAACAAAACCTAGTAGAAGGTCGCGTCAGCTAATCTTTTGGAATGACCAATCAGAACACAGCTTACCAAATCATTCGCACATACCGTTTGAACCTTTACCTCAAAAACTCGAAAAATTCCGAATGCTATTTACCGCACGATCTCTTCCGACTGATACACGCAATGAGTAAACAGTCGCTGAAAATAGCGTTTTTGGCAATATTCAAGGATGTCATCTTGCGAAAATATAAGCAAATGGTGACCATGTCTTTAGAAACCCATAAGCGTATTTACTGAGGGTCAAATATCTGTGTTTTATGCGGATTTTCGTTTGTTGATAGATCAGTGTCAGAGACCAGGGAAGAGAAAATCCAAAAACCGTTTTGTAAGTCCCGCCGAACCCTAACAAGTTGTCGTTGTCTGATTGGTTAAATCCGCCCGGCCGTCTCGCGTTTGATTGGACGGTCATAGGTCGCTCAAAGGTTAGCTGACTCGACCTTCTACTAGGTTTTGTTAGACTCAGTATAGCAGTGTAACGAATAATACGGAGCCTAAGTTTACTTAGACTGTACACCACTAACACCACGTCACAGAGAGGCGCGTTTGAGATGGAGTAGACATCATGGCCGATGGAATCAACGTCAATGGTCTCGTGTGCTCTTCACGGATGAAAGCAGTTTCAATTTGTCCTTCCAGGATAGTCGGCAGAGGATTTATCGTCGCATTGGAGAGGGAATCACAGATGCAGCTCTAGCCACGCTTAACCGATTTGGCGGGGAGTCGGTCATGGATTGGGCAGACATAACTTCTACTGGACGTACTCCACTGCGAGTGGTCGACGGTAACCTTACCGCACAGCGTTATAGGGACGAAAATCTGGCTCCTATAGCAGTACCATTCCTGCAAGTTATGCATGCCTTTTATGGCCGACCCTCTTTACTGCAAGACGACAACGCTGATCCTCATAGGGCCAGCATTGTCACGGAAATCCTTAGGCGCCAGGGTGCAAAGCGGATGGAGTGGTCAGCATGCTCTCCAGACCTCAACCCAAATGAGGATGTCTACACACGTCACCCAGCACCAATGGATCTCACAAGACTCCGCAAAGCTCTAGTCGAGGAATGGAATGCGATTTCCGCAAACATTCTTCATGAACCTGATAAGGAGCATGAGAAGAAGGCGGGAGTGTAGACAAGGTATTGAAGGACCGAGTGCTTCATGTTTGTCATTTTCATTTCAGGGGGTTAGTCTATACAACTGATGTTTGCTAGTGCTGTTTGAACTTTTTATCTGTATGCCACGATATGGCATGTTTGTCAACACATTAAACATTATGATGACATTCTTAGTTCTATTAGTTCTGAGAAATTTTACATGTGCTCTTTACATGTGCTATTTATCATTTGACGTTTTAATAATGACGCCTAGTATATTACAAAACCGTGTATCACTGAATATACGAAGAAACGGGATGCCTAGACTTTCCATGTCTGAAAATGTATCCATGCGACAAAAAAGTATTCACGTCGTGAGTCAGATCGGCCAAAGCTCATCATGTCATTATGCACCTTTGCAAACCAGGTCAGTATTTGTTTTCATGATTTATTGTATATGTTGGTCGTGCCCTTATATCACAAAATCGCATAATTATCTACTGAGAAACGGAGGCAAAATATTAAATTTAAGAAATCGTCTCCAGAGAATCAAAATGGTAATAAACAAAATCATCCATAGAAAAAAACGGTCTCAAATTTACTTAACTAAAACAACAAAAGATATGTCGTGGATGGAACCTTGTTTGTATCTACGTTCAGAAGGGCAATTAATGAAATCAAAGGATGAACATAAAATATAAACCATAAAAGGACAAATCCGAAATCAAATTCTCGCTTTCTCGAAGGCAAAGTTAGGATTTAGACAGATACCAAATACTTCTGTCGTGTCACATGTATAGACAGTATAACATATTTACAGAATGTTTCACAGATCTTGAGCCATCATGTTGCACCTCCAATGTTAGTATTTACTTGGAGCAAGAAGGGGTGTTGGAGCGAAAGAATCAAATTGTTGGTTCAAAAAATGTATCCTTGAAGAGGCAAAAGTCATGGGAATGCCCTGATCTGTCCGAACGATTACTAGATTTTAGTCAAGTCCTAAATGAACTAAACCTGTGATTATTAACAGGGGCAGGTGCTGGCATCAGAACCAATTTCTGTTACAAGAGGAATACTGCAGCGTTATAATACTCTGAGATGAGATTCATATCACAAAGCAACAGATCAGCAAGACGGGGAGCACAATTTGACCCCTGGGAATGCCTGGTAGTAGCCTACATCTTAACCCCAGATTTAACATAGTTGTTAACATCTCTATCAAAGGCAGGGTCCTTTGTACGATTCAGACTAAATCAGAAGCTTCTATTATAAATCAGTGTCAAATATTATAGATTCCAGGTGTTTTCGACATCAAGAGGTACTTAAATATATTGAAGCATGAAGGGCATTTAGAACGTCAGAATCTTTTTACCGAGGAAACATGATCGCTTGCAACTTGTTTCTTCCAAGAAGGTAACATTCAGAAATATTTTGTCCGGAGGAGCGAGCGTCGTCCTGAGGAGAAAACAAATAAGTACATTAACCTGGATAATTTAATATTTAATATCAATAGAAATTAGATGATATGATGAATTAAACTCTCTTTGGTTATGATGTATTAGAATTATTTGGGAAAAAAGTGTTTCATCATCCGGATGCATTTCATTACGGATTTCAAATTCTGCAATATGGGGACCATGAGGTTGCTGAGTATGCTCCTACTCCATCACCTGACGAAGGACTATACCACGTCGTGGTCCTCATGTTACAGAAGTTGACATTCAGTACCTTTACCCATCTGTGTGAAATATCCTTATAAAACAGATGGCCTTGTGATCGAACCTGTCCTTTAGACTCTGGAGCAACCTCTATGTTAATTGCGTTTCAGTACTTTCTCCTGGTGTGTGGATTTTGTTATAGAGAGTTCCCCAGCCCCCTTCCGCGGTCTACTGGATAGTGTCAGTGCCTCCTCTGTTTTCTACTTGATAGAGATACCATTTCTGTTGTTAACATTCGTGGCTTATGAATGACTGGTCTGCTCGGAGTTACATGGTAACTTAATAGGGCATCTTTTCTATGCTATCACTTCATTGATGATAATCACTGTTATGTTCTTGCAATTATGAAGTGTTCTTGTCACATTATATTGTTTTTGAGCACGGTCTATCATAATATGAACATGTGGTTGGTATGTTGTCGTTAATGACACGTGAGAAACCCTCTGGTTCATGTTCAATAGATATTGTTTTCGGTAATGAAAGTTGGTGGCGGCAAAAGAAGGGCTCTTAAAATATTGAATTTCGTTGTGACTAGATCTTTGCGGTCTTTGTTACAGAGCACTATATGGTTATCCCCCTTTGATTATCAATGAACAGGGCAGCTTGAACTTTAGAATTGGCTTTGCCTATAACGAACCGAGGACATGACTAGCGTCTTCTCTACTTGCCCAGAGTGAACGGATAGCTGCGGCCTTCCGCCAGCCCTCACCACTGTTCCAGATTCAACAACGGAGCACGTTCCTATTTTAAGACGCTCCACAGTGACTAACTCCTAGAAATTCGTGAGAACATTACATCTTACAGGAATTGGTAGCGTGAACGGTTTTATGCCGTCACTTACTTATTTGACCTATTGCTTACTGCCTATTATGATTGTAAGCTGTGCATTTGAATGTTATCTCTTTATTATTCAGATTTCATACTGTATACGAACCTATTTCTGGATTAACCTTATAACAACCTGGTAAAAGTTGAACATAGAGAATTTTCTGGGTTTGATCTTCTTTTTAATGTTTGGTACAACGTTTCAGGGCTTGTTCTGGCCCCATCATCAGGTAGACCTAAAGAACAGTAACTGTTAACTGTAAAAGTTGTAGACGGTGTTTGATTCATAGTTATCAAGATCTAAATCAAGCCCACGGTAAACAGCAGAGTCCATACCTGCAAATTTGTAAATATCCGTCCGCTTTGATGTCGGTTTTCCTGAGCAACATCCGTTCGCTGTCTATAACTATGCATTAAGGGGTGTTAGAGGTATACTTAATCTTATAGTTATCCAGCATTCCATGTGAGAAAAACTTATGAACCCGATAAACGACTTGCAGACGTGTAGATGTTACATATACCGACAATGTTCAGAGTTCGACAGACTGAATACGATTCACATGTGACAACTGCTATTACCCATACTATTTGTTTGGTAGATAGAGAATCTCACCCAAGTGTCTACTGATATCACTTATATCAACACGAGTTGATAAAGTTACAAATATCCGAGGCTAGCCGAGGATATTTCTACCTTTATCAACGAGTGTTGATATAATTGATATCAGTAGACACGAGGGTGAGATACTCTCTTTATCATCAAAATCATACTTCATTAGTTTTCAATGAAAATGTACTCTGTACTACCATTAGACTTGCAGTGCAGTGATGTTATAGCATTGTGACGTCATCAAGTTTATGACGTCATAGCATTGTCAGGGCATTGTACGATATCTATTGTCAAAACGATATCTCCTAGGAGATATCATATGATCTCACACAAGCGATATCTCCTGTGGAAAACAGTTTTGGATGATAAAGCATTTATATTTTATATTTTTCTAATAATATTTCATATCTTACTTAAGATAAATAACAGTGTAATAGGCGCATGTGACTGAGATTTGCTGATGTTTCGTTAGATGATTAGCCAAAACGCCCGACTGCTCATCATCACGTCATTTGCAATGAAACGTCAAGTTCATTAATATCGCGTCTACACCACACCCTGCTGCACCTGTTAAGGAAGTCCAATGTAAATCTAGCATTAGTGCTTCTCGATACCTGAACTTTTCCTTTGAATATTTATATACTCCCACAGCATATTTCAAATCTATAAGGAAATGCTTCATAGAAACTTTGATATCGGTATAGTGAGACTTATAATGTTACTTAAATGATTAATGATTATTAGGGGATAACTGTACTGTGTTTGACGAATTGGGGACGTATACCGGTGGTTATATAGCCGCAAATTTAGTTATATCGGCGACGCGCAGTTATCCCCATTCTAATTCAACTCGTTTTACGCTATTTTTTCGTGAAAGAAATTCATTATTTAAACCAGGTCAAAGTTCCTATAGGTCAAAGGTTAATCATATCATTCCTTGAACTTACACCATCACCAGAAAAAGTAGTCCCTTTTCAAACTACACAGGTTTATTATGTGCACACAGACTTAATCTGACAATGATGAATTGGTCATAGTATTATAGATAAAATGGACGGTATTATGATTAAACAGCCTTCAAGTTACAGGAATGAGCGGCCCGCTGATTCCTCAACTACGGGCCATTATCAGTTCTGTTGTCAAATGACGTCACAGCAGGTGACGTCACGCTCCATAATGACGTCATAAATCTTGTTTCATGATCTAACATTGTTGGGTCAAGAGCCCGTTGCGAGTAAGTTGTTTGAACTTAAAATTAAATTTATGTTTCTGTTTTGTCTTTTTAAACACAAATTCCACCCATTTTAGCTGGATAGGGGAGTTAAATGACCTATGGCTTCTGCAAATGACAATGTCCTGCAAAGCAGCGTTACCTCAATAGTGTAGAGATACATTCAAAGGTTTTGGTGAATCGGTTTTCAAATTGCGACCGTATATATAATGCTGATTATACCGCCGGAAATTTATAGCATTGACCAATCAGAGCTCGTGTTACATACTAAGTTGAATTAGAATGTAAAGTTTTCTTTCTAAGTATTCACAGCAACTATTTTCTATGGAAACACTGCTGTTCGGTTCAACAGATTACTTTGATCCAATATTTATTTTCCAATATGCATTTAAAATATTCTATAAGGAAATCGTACTTCATAATGAATCATACTACTGGTAATATTGTAAAGGATTTCAGAAACGTACCCTGCCCCTTCCTTTACACAGTAGGCGCTCAACGAATCAACATTGGTATCATAGCAGCATGTACTTCCAGTCGGGGCTGCACGCGTCATGGTGACAAGGACGAGGTAGGCTGTAAATATAGATATATCTTTATTCGTGATCTGCAAAAAAATGTAATAGTAGTAGTCGGTAGTCTGGTATTAATGTGCATATGTGATAGACACGGAACACCTAGTACGGTGTGTCTATATTAGGAGGTACATAAGTTAACGATATGTTCAAATGAATGTTCCATGCATGTTTCGAATTATATATTTTCCACGCTCATTCATCATTGTTACAGCCCAAAGTAAAAGTTAACATTTAGCCCAAGGGAAATACTATTCACAAATTACAAGGAAAAGAGCCATTGGAGATGTTAATTAGAAATCTACTTACCAACTAGTTAAAACAAATAATGGTTCTCACCTGCACATATGAAACACATATCTGTTTGCCTTCGTATTTGGTGTACTGAAAAAAAAAACCAATTTAAAACTGATTGCATCCACTCAGGTGATAATACACATGTTGAAAAGTCAATCTCTTGAAATATTGAGAACAATCCTTTTCACGTCCAAAAGAATATGTTGGGGGAAATAATCAAGATCAATTAGTTTCTGGCGTTGAAGTTTGATATTTTTCTGTTCAGTGTCCACACAAATAGCAAACATGGTAGCTAGGCACGCATGTACCACTGCGAGCTTTGTGTTGAAAACAATTCTCTAAACTACTAAAATGTTTGAATGTTTCTGGCTGTAATATATTCACCTCAAGTTAGAACCTGCCAGACTGGAGGCTGTTCGTGCGCTGTGAACACTATAACCAGCGGGAAGTATCGTATTTCACTTTCTACCCAGAGGTGGCAGGTTCCTTGTCCTCGTGACGTGTGTTCTGTGTTAAATATCAACATGACCTCATCCAGCTGGGTCTCTTCACATTCATAGGTGTGTTAAATTACTGCATTTACTGTTCAGCATTATCACACACATTATCTATACTCTGAGACACACGGAATCAGGAACTGTTTCAGCACATCACTTTCAATAACAAATATTACTTCCGGTCTCGGAGGCAGGAAAGTTACAACCTATCACGTCGTTGATAACCTGGGTTAGTTGGTTGTTGTTTAACGCCGCACTCAGCAATATTGCAGCTATATGGCGGCTGTTTGTAAATAATCGAGTCTGGACTAGACAATCCAGTGATCAACAGTATGAGCATCGATCTACGCAATTGGGATACGATGACATGTGTCAACCAAGTCAGCAAGCCTGACCACCTGATCCCGTTAGTCGCCTCTTACGAGAAGCATGGGTTGGTGAAGATCAATTTTAGCCCGGATCTTCACGAGTTGATAACCCAGGGCATGGGTGGAATGCACTGTAGCGATTAGCGTCCTTCGATTTACAAGGTCGAGTTCCAGACTCCCTTTAGTTAAGGTCTTTGGCTTATGACAATTTACTTGCTGTTGTACTTCATCACTTCATCCCGAACACTCACTTACTGGCTCACAGTGGAACTAGTGTGCTGCTTTCTAATGCATCTCGTTTTATAGTATTTCATAAAGCAGGATGAAGTGGACAAGCAATACCAACATGTTCCAGGTACAGATAATGATCAATAATGGGACGACTTTCGCATCATTGTAAACATTGTGTAATCCAGTGATGGACGAGTACAGCAACAGATCGATGAATGACTACGGTTATCACGGAGGGGCGTTATATCCAGTTGGCCTTGCTGGCATATAGATGTTATATCTAATTGGCCTTGCTGGCATATAGATGTCATATCTAATTGGCCTTGCTGACATGTAGATGTTATATCTAGTTGGACTTGCAGGCATGTATATGTTATATCTAATTGGCCTTGCTGACATGTATATGTTATATCTAAGTGGCCTTGCTGGCATGTATATGTTATATCCAGTTGGCCTTGCTGACATGTATATGTTATATCTAATTGGCCTTGCTGGCATATAGATGTTATATCTAATTGGCCTTGCTGACGTATATGTTATATCTAATTGGCCTTGCAGGCATATAGATGTTATATCTAATTGGCCTTGCTGGCATATAGATGTTATATCTAATTGGCCTTGCTGACGTATATTTTATATCTAATTGGCCTTGCAGGCATATAGATGTTATATCTAATTGGCCTTGCTGACGTATATGTTATATCTAATTGGCCTTGCTGGCATATAGATGTTATATCTAATTGGCCTTGCTGGCATATAGATGTTATATCTAATTGGCCTTGCTGGCATATAGATGTTATATCTAATTGGCCTTGTTGGCATATAGATGTTATATCTAGTTGGCCTTGCTGGCATATAGATGTTATATCTAGTTGGCCTTGTTGGCATATAGATGTTATATCTAGTTGGCCTTGCTGGCATATAGATGTTATATCTATCGGCCTTGCTGACATATAGATGTTATATCTAATTGGCCTTGCTGGCATATAGATGTTATATCCAGTTGGCCTTGCTGGCATATAGATGTTATATCTAGTTGGCCTTGCTGGCATATAGATGTTATATCTAATTGGCCTTCTGACATGTAGACGTTAAATATAGTTGGCCTTGCTGGCATGTAGATGTTATATCCAGTTGGCCTTGCTGACATGCATATGTTATATCTAATTGGCCTTGCTGGCATATAGACGTTATATCCAGTTGGCCTTGCTGACATGGATATGTTATATCTAGTTGGCCTTGCTGGCATATAGATGGTATATCCAGTTGGCCTTGCTGGCATGTATATGTTATATCAAGTTGGCCTTGCTGGCATATAGATGTTATATCCAGTTGGCCTTGCTGGCATGTATATATTATATCAAATTGGCATTGCTGGCATATAGATGTTATATCTAGTTGGCCTTGCCAACATGTATATGTTATATCCAGTTGGCCTTGCTGGTATGTAGATGTTATATCCAGTTGGCCTTGCTGACATGTATATGTTATATCTAATTGGCCTTGCTGGCATGTAGATGTTATATCCAGTTGGCCTTGCTGGCATATAGATGTTATATCGAGTTGGCCTTGCTGGCATATAGATGTTTTATCTAATTGGCCTTGCAGGCATATAGATATTATATTTAGTTGGCCTTGCTGGCATATAGATGTTATATCTAATTGGCCTTACTGGCATATAGATGTTATATCTAGTTGGCCTTGCTGGCATGTAGATGTTATATCCAGTTGGCCTTGCTGGCATATAGATGTTATATCTAGTTGGCCTTGCTGGCATGTAGATGTTATATCCAGTTGGCCTTGCTGGCATATAGATGTTATATCGAGTTGGCCTTGCTGGCATATAGACGTTATATCTATTTGGCCTTGCTGACATGTATATGTTATATCTAATTGACCTTGCTGGCATGTAGATGTTATATCTAGTTGGCCTTGCGGGCATATAGATGGTATATCCAGTTGGCCTTGCTGGCATGTATATGTTATATCTAATTGGCCTTGCTGGCATATAGATGTTATATCCAGTTGGCCTTTCTGTCATATAGACATTATATCTATTTGGCCTTGCTGACATGTATATGTTATTTCTAATTGGCCTTGCTGGCATGTATATGTTATATCTAGTTGGCCTTGCTGACATGTATATGTTATATCTAATTGGCCTTGCTGGCATATAGATGTTATATCTAATTGGCCTTGCTGACGTATATGTTATATCTAATTGGCCTTGCAGGCATATAGATGTTATATCTAATTGGCCTTGCTGACGTATATGTTATATCTAATTGGCCGTGCTGGCATATAGATGTTATATCTAATTGGCCTTGCTGGCATATAGATGTTATATCTAATTGGCCTTGCTGGCATATAGATGTTATATCCAGTTGGCCTTGCTGGCATATAGATGTTATATCCAGTTGACCTTGCTGGCATATAGATGTTATATCTAGTTGGACTTGTAGGCATGTATATGTTATATCTAATTGGCCTTGCTGGCATGTAGATGTTATATCCAGTTGGCCTTGCTAACATGCATATGTTATATCTAATTGGCCTTGCTGGCATATAGATGTTATGTCTAATTGGCCTTGCTGGCATTTAGATGTTATATCTAGTTGGCCTTGCCGACATGTATATGTTATATCCAGTTGGCCTTGCTGGCAAGTATATGTTATATCTAGTTGGCCTTGCTGACATGTATATGTTATATCCAGTTGGCCTTGCTGGTATGTAGATGTTATATCCAGTTAGCCTTGCTGACATGTATATGTTATATCTAATTGGCCTTGCTGGCATATAGATGTTATATCTAATTGGCCTTGCTGGCATTTAGATGTTTTATCTAATTGGCCTTGCAGGCATATAGATATTATATTTAGTTGGCCTTGCTGGCATATAGATGTTATATCTAATTGGCCTTACTGGCATATAGATGTTATATCTAATTTGCCTTGCTGGCATATAGATGTTATATCCAGTTGGCCTTGCTGGCATATAGATGTTATAACTAGTTGGCCTTGCTGGCATATAGATGTTATATCTAATTTGCCTTGCTGGCATATAGATGTTATATCCAGTTGGCCTTGCTGGCATGCAGATGTTATGTCTATTGGCATTGCTGGCATGTAGATGTTATATCTATTGGCCTTGCTGGCATATAGATATTATATCTAATTGGCCTTGCTGGCATATAGATGTTATATCTAATTGGCCTTGCTGGCATATAGATGTTATATCTAATTGGCCTTGCTGGCATATAGATGTTATATCCAGTTGGCCTTGCTACCATGCAGATGTTATATCCATTTCACACCAGAGCAGATCTACACCTTATCGAGACTTATGTTTTGGGAGTACACGCACCTTTAAAATCATAATTATGAAGAACCAAGCCAGTATTGACGTCGCATTCTCCAGTGGCAAGACCATCAATAATCTTCTCAGAGCCAACGGCAGAGGATCCAGCACTGCAAGCCCCAACCCAAGTGGATGCATCTACCAGATTCCATGTAGTTGTGGACAACAGTGCATCGGGGAAACGCTGCGACCCATCAACACAAGGCTCAAGGAACACCACGCCTCCGTCAACAAGCTCGACCAGAAATCCGCCATATCAGAACATATCCTCAAGAACAAGGACCACACCATCAAATGGGAAGCCACCAAAATCATGTCCAGCAACAACTGGCGCCAAAGGAAGCTACAGGAAGCCATAGACATACGGAGAGAACAGTCAACAGTCAGCCATCAACCGTGATCAAGGGATCTATTTACCATGTGCTTGGGACTCACTTATCTAAATACACACCTTCTCATCCCATGTTCATCACCTATGCTTATCACCACCTCAACAACCCACTAGCCTTTTGTTTGTAGTGCATGCTGGCCTTCCTTACCTCATGTTTATACGGTACCACTGTATCACTGGCCTCCCTTGCCTCATGCTGGCCTCCCTTACCTCATGTTTATGTTGATGCGGTACCACGTCCTCCTGTACCACTGGTCTCTTGTTTGTAGTGCATGCTGGCCTCCCTTACCTCATGTTTATGCGGTACCACTGTACCACTGGTCTCTTGTTTGTAGTGCATGCTGGCCTCCCTTACCTCATGTTTATACGGTACCACTGTATCACTGGCCTCTTGTTTGTAGTGCATGCTGGCCTCCCTTACCTCATGTTTATGCGGTACTACTGTACCACTGGCCTCCCTGTGTTATTCTATACCTTATCAATTACTGAGCCATTACCATGTTGTTTTTAGCTTATCACTGCCTCCTCGTGTTTCTATTATATCACATCTATTACCATGTTGTTTTACTGTATCACTGGCCTCATGTTTGTTTGACATATTCAATCTTCAACAGTGTTAAACTTGTTATACATGTTTTCTTTGTAGTGTCGCATGTATGTATATATATCCCCCTTGCAGTCCCTACCATTCACCCTTCATTAACTCGGCTTTTACTATTTATTTCGTTTATCTGTTTTAAACTTTTTTATTCCAAATTCCACTTAAGTTAACGCCCCAGCATTTACATTTTTGGGGGTACGGTGGTTTATTCCTTATTATAAACTTATTTATTATTATCTTATATCCCACCTACCCCGTCGGCGACATTGGCTACAGTCAGAAGCCGACGTTAAACCTCAAACCATCATCATCCTACCATTCACCTGATGAAGGAGCAAGCATACGCTCCGAAACGTCGTGTTATTCACAATAAAGAAGTATTGACATCCATAACTCTTGCTTTTCTCATAATTATGAAAATGTTAACACCCTGGAAGATATTGTTGTCTGGCAAATCTTACTTCACAATGAATCATACAGCTGGTGATCCTGTAGAGCTTTTCTGAAACACTCTGCCCGTTTCTTGTCAGAGTATAAAGTTAAAGAATTAATATCTGTAAAGTACAGTCATGTACGTACCGGCTTGTTGTCGGTTGTAGAGGATGTGACTGGTGACAAGGAACAAGTGGTATGTAAATAAATAATATATTCCTTTTCACATTACAAACTGTATTGTCTCTCATTCATGTGGTGAGGCGTTTCGATACAGATCCTTGTATCGTTGTCAAACAGCTATATACACAAGTGGTTCATTCATAACGCCTGTCCTTATCTGACTCTCCAACATTTAAAAATGCCACTCAAGGAATGTATAGTCTCTCCCCTGGTGTTACCCCCGGCACATACTGTGTAGTTAATATTGGTTATTGCTTACTTAATGTGACTTAAGTTTTCCCCTCAATAATAAAATATATTTAAGTGATGAACGTAGGCCTTTATCGACTGACACGTTATGTTGCCTAAAGACCAGCTTCCATCTTTTCACTGTAACATCCCAAAGTAAGAGTTGATATATATTTGTCAGGTCACCAGGTACCCATTCAGAGAGCATATTGCTACCGTGCACTGGAACAGACCTAAATCCTCTACACAACTACAAGGAGAACGACTCGTAAGCTGTATCCACCAAATACCCACATATGCAATACCTAACTCTATAATATTGTAAATGGTTCCGACTTGTACATGTATTAACCACGTTGATTGGCGTACTGAGACAAACCTTACACAAGAACAGCTGTGAACGATATACTCCAGTTAGCTGACAGGTCCAACAGTCATTGTCCTGGAATACAGAGGTCTATATGCAGGTGTACGGTGTCATTGGGGACTTCCAGTTGAAATACTTAACAAATAAAAGGTTTATGGATGCGCTTAGGAGCCAAATATAATAAACTTAGGAGAATTTATTGACATCCACGCAAGTAATTTCGACTAGAAAAGCACACAGAACAATGACTTGCAAGGCAGCAAGATGCTGGCATCTGTCCTAGTGCGTCCGTATGTCTTTGAAAAGTGATACTTTTAATTTCAACCTCGGAAGAGACCCAAATTTCTCGTGCGTGTTGTTTCCTATGTTGAACGAATATTTTATTTATAATAACACTGAAGTCTATACGAAAAAGATATCAGTGCGAATCCAACAACTTAGGATTCTATTTTACAGTGAACTAGGTTTACAAATCAACACACGTTACGTTTAGATATTTCCAATGGCAGTGCACTATGTAGGGGCATTACTATATTCAATGGCTGTATATAAAACAGTGGCAATGGTAGTGGCAATGAAGTCCGTGATAATAAAGTTCAACTGGCAGAAACAATGGTCAAGCTTCTACAATAGGTGTAGGTTGGACACGAAGGGTGATAAGGTGACCGTCACACAACCGCTGGTCTTGATGTAATTCGAGCTATTTTCTAAATACCTCCTAGAATGTTTCAATAGGTGTAGGTTGGACACGAAGGGTGATAAGGTGACCGTCACACAACCGCTGGTCTTTATGTAATGTGAGCTATGTTCTAAATACCCTCTAGAATGTTTCATACAATGTCTTGAGTAGTATGTACATTTTCTAGGCTATTACGGGGTTTGCTTTATTCCAAAGAGTGCAATAGAGTGTCTGTCATACCACTGCATGCATTAGATAGTAATGTATGACAACTGGTTATTGTTGTAGCACAAACCTCGTGATCTTCTACTGAATCGTAACAGGAATAATGTACCACGATTACAATACAGTTCATCAATAAACGACACATACACTAACGTTAACATTCACCTAAAAAGGTCAGTTTATGTTTAACTTTGAGGAAAAGCCTTGTGTGGCTGGAACTTCAGAAAAGAGGAACTTACCTTGAAACAGTGTCACGCAGTATGAAACCAGGGCAGCATAATATTACCTTCCCTGATACAGGTCCCACCCTACCCAGGTCACACCAGGAAGTGTATTCTCACTGTATTGATAACCCACACAGTGAACGTGACGCTCTGGTAACAAGGAGTTGGATTCAGGTTCGTGTGTATCATGCTGAAAGGTATGACATAACGCGTGACAGACAAAAAGCACCCTGTACTTACATATATGTGGCGTTTGAACATCCTAAATGAAACAAAGATATCTACTGTATTTACGGTAACTAAGCTATTAACCATGTACCTTGTCAACAAGGTAGTATACACTGAATCAAGATAACCCATCTCGAGTTTACACTTTGGATGTTGTCAAGTAATTCCTTCCATCAATATGTATATATCTGTCTCGCTCGTTATGATGTGGCTGTGGGTCTACATTGAGTGTTCCAAGAGATTGGACAGAATAACGAGTCCTACAATACTTGTATTGCTCATCGCCCCGCGAGCAGGGTTCGTCATGGCCGGAGACATCGTGACTGGAGCTGCATGTAACGTCGGGTCCTTCTCTGTTTGTGGTTGTGTTTGGTTAACAGATGAATGTAGATGTATGAGTGTTCCGGATGCTGTTGTTGTCGATGTTGTTGGTGGCTGTGATGTTCTGGGTGGGGTCAGTGTGTTGACTGAGGTGTTGTTCATGATTGTGATGTTCTGGGTGGGGTCAATGTGTTCACTAAGATGTTGTTTATTGTGATGTTCTGGGTGGGGTCCGTGCGAATTAGTCCAGTCAAAATGTGACAAAACCTCCAAATAATTGATACAGATTTGATTTGAGTGTTTTCAACATGTTTAAGTTATAACAAATGAATATTTAAAAGTCCTCCCTTGAAATATGATGCTAAGTCTTAATTTTTGGGGTAAAAAGTTTATAAATCGAAATCTTCATTAAATAATTTATAAAATCTCATATTGAGAAACAAATTTACCTTTATATATATTTTTTTCAAAGAGTACACAAGGTACTACCAATAGATGAATTAGAAAAGTCAAATAATGTTATCCGAAGTCCTATTTTGGGGTAAAAAGTTAAAAAAATGAAATTTTCAGAGAATATTTTTTAAAAATTTCATATTGAGACACAAATGTACTTTTTATGGATATTTTCAAAGAGAACACAAGGTATTACTAATACATGGGTTATAAAAGTCAAATAGATGTATGCTAAATCCTATTATGGGGTAAAAAAATTGAAAAGTTAAAATTTTTCAGAGAATAATTTTTAAAATCTCATACTGAGACCCAATTGTACTTTTATATGCATATTTTCAAAGAGGACACATGGAACTACTAATACATGGACTGGAAAAGTCATAATTTGAATAAAACCATAGATAAAAGACTTTTCAGAGCATATATTTTCTATTTTCAAGGGTAAAATAAACACAACTTCAGGAACATGCAATTTAGTTCCTCTTTTTGCCTCATCAAAGTTATGATTAATCTGAAAGGGAACTATCCTCTATCAATATGGAGAAGCTGTTATATCTCTAAAACTAACACATATTCATTCATAAACTTTGAACAGAGAGAGAGATCAAGTTATGAACTTGAGCCCTGTGCTATTTTAAGATGTTGAAATGTGTATTTATTGTTTCCTTGGCAATACGTTTGACTTTGTCCATGGTAGTATACTTGCAACGGCTATATCCAAAGCCAATAGGAGTTCAATTAAGAAACTAAGTGGTGCCTTTGCTCTCCAGGTATTTGTCCATGACACTAGGTTTAGGTTTACTAAAAGAAGAGTGTATTTATTGCTAAAGACTGAAATCCACATCAATATTTTTCTGCTGTAACCTCATGGAACCGATTGAAGTACAGGGGACCAGATCATGCATGATGGAACTTCCATGTCAACATATGGGTGACAAATTCTCACAGTAATCCATTACAGTGTCCTATGTGAGATATTATCTGCCAAATACAACCAGCTGACTTCAACATGAATATGAATCTGTGTAGATCACTTGACTCTGGTTAACCTAATATATGTGGCTTGTCGAAATGTGTACCAAAATTGTACGTCTTTGTCTTGACCGCTCACAAACACGTAAGTTGAGCAAATACAGCTTTGAGTCTGGGATTCAGGTTGATCATAGGCACGAAGGTGACATAACTCAATACTGAGAATGATACAATCTTGTGATTCATTTTATATTCTACATGAATTGTTCAAGACATCAAGCAATTTGATTCAGCATCCCCGTAACATATGAACCCAGGACATATGAACCCATCCCTTTTAGCGCATTAACACCTCAGCATTCTTGGCAAACAGTCACCTAATTGGCAGAAACGTCATCGGTATTCGTTAATCCATGTTCTCAGATTGATCTGCATTACCTGTTGCAAATTGAATGACCTGACCCTGTGTACACCCATTTTCGGAAGCGTTGCACTTAGCTCCTTCTTCTGTAACTAGAGATTGTAATAATGAACAAGATATTATTAACATATCGGTTGGCTTGAACTATAGTGATGGTGACCCTGAACACCAAGGGCTTGACAGAGATACCCTTGGTCTCATAGTCTGTATATCTGAATTAATTTCGAGTATCGTGCTTGGTGACAATGCCATTCAAAGCAAAACTTAACAGTAACAGAAGATATTCTGAGTAAAGGAAGTCCAATAATTTGAAGGGTTGTGTTCAGGCTAACTTGAATATTTGAGATGTGGTTTGGTGAGGTGATTTGATTCAACGGTGCTTGCAATAGGTTTTCACTTACCGGTACATTGAATTGTACATGATTTCATGACAGTTACCCCCAACGACATGTAATACCATGGGATATATAGTCATCCCTCTGTCAGTCAGAGATCTTTTCGTTTCCTGAGCAAAATTTAAAGATGGTTGATAAACAAGCATGCACCACCTACTATTTAAGTATTTGAAATACTTAAAGTATTTGTCCATTAGTTATTTCAGTTTAAAAAATACCAATATTATTAAATTTTTTACTAGCAGTAAACAGGACAATACTGGTTGTGCTTTCAAAACCTTTCTAGAGCTTTGATCAAGTAGCCCAGCACCCGTGAAGATCCAGTTTAGAATTGATCTTCAGTAACCCATGCTTGTCGTAAGAGGCGACTAATGGGATCGGGTGGTCGCTGACTTGGTTGACACGTGTCATCGTTTCCCATTTGTGTAGATCGATGCTCATGTTGTTGATAACTGATTGTCTGGTCCAGACTTGATTATTTACAGACCGCCGCCATAGCTGGAATACTGTTGAGCGCGGCGTAAAACTAAAGTCACTCACTACAAGCTATAAGGAGCCTACGTTAATGGTTTTTTCCAATTTTAAGAAAAAAATGTTTTTCAGTAAAAATATGTGTCATATATCTAATTTATGTGAATCAGTTTCAAATTTTTCATGAAGATTTTAGTCTGTTTTATAAATGTTGCTGAGATTTCAAATCAGATAAAGAAACACCAGTTATACTATTAATATTTGCAAGGGTTCACTCAATTCTGCTCACATAAGGGGGGCGGTGGGGTAGCATAGTGGTTAAAGCGTTCGCTCGTCATGCCGAAGACCGGGTTCGATTCCCCACGTGGGTACAATGTGTGAAGCCCATTTCTATTTTCCCCCGCCTTGATATTGCTGGAATATCGCTAAAAGCGGCGTAAAAACATACTAACTCACTCTGCTCACATAATAATATGTAGTTGCCAGTTAAAGTTAAAAACTTTTCCTTCAATCACCTTTTGAAATTGTTTTAAAATTAATAGCATAGAAAATATAAATGGTATCATATTTTCCTAATCTATCATTCTGGCATATGTTTCTGTTAAATCTTGATACAGAATGTCCCATTTATCACCAAGGTGCGTAGTCTTACACGGCCGCAGTGCATATAGTTCTGTGGGCTAATTATGGGAGCAGAATCACCTCAGTCCTCCTCCTCATCTCTCTCTTTTAATTGTAGCTTTTAGCTGTCTTTTTAATCCTTTATCTATTTGGCTAACTATAGCCTCATCTAGTTAGAGTTTTATAAAAGATATAACCTTTCCTTTCCATTCTGCTACTTCAATCTATTGTATACAAAGGGGAGATAACTCTCATTTACTTGTTTCCAGTGTGCTGGAGTGTCCAAAATCCAAGTTCAAACCTCATGTCATAATTTTTTTTCAGTTTTAATTTTCATTATTTACTATTTTGTACACTTCAGTTGTATGTTTTGCAAGATTTTATACCATTTTCTGGACTTATTTTCAGATAAAAAAAAATAATTGAAAAATACCATTTTTCATAGTTTTTGCCCCCAAAAAGCCACTTAGCATCAACATCCAAGGGAGGACTTTTTATATATTGTTTACATAACTATTGTAAACGATATCAACACAAAACCATTTCTGTACCAATTTTTGGGAGGTTCAGTGAATTTTTCCACTAATTTTACTGATCGGGAAGGCCATGACAAAATATTGACGTTAGAATTGGCTAGGTAGCGGACCGTGACGCGAGCTGAATGTGAAGGATCGTTGTCGTGCTGGAACAACTCCCTCTGTGGGTCCATAATCGGGAGCTTGTGGTGTGCAAGGATTTCGTTGGTGCACCGATTTGCTGTCAAATTCCCCTGAACCAACACTTAATCAGATCTTTGTGCGCTGGATATCACACCTCACACCATGACACTGGCTCCACAAATTCTGTCGACCTGTCGAATACAATTAGGGGCAAAGCGTTCATTTCTCCGACGGTAAACACGCTGTCTTCCATCTCGCCGGTGAAGAAGAAATCGCTGAACCAGACTCGCCTCCAGTTTCTCAGGTTCCAGTTCTGGACTGTACGACACCACCGCAAGCGATTGTGCGATGAAAGTCTCTCCTTCCTGGTGGAATCCTCACGTTACGCAATCGATTCCTGAGAGTTTGGTCGGAAATTCTTCTCAAACCAGGGGTGCGTTGTGCAGTCTCCACGGCTGTGGCAAGACGATGACGCAAGTGAGCAACCCGGATGTAGCGGTCCTGGGCTTGGGTGGTAACTCTTGGACGGCCCTTTCTCGTGCGATCTTGGGCGGAATTGGTCTGCAAGGAACGATCCCAAAGGCGAGATATGGTGGTCCTATGAACGTTGAAATGTCGGGCAGCTGCAAACTGTAATTCCCCAGCTTCAAGCAGGCCAATGGCGATGGTTTGAATGGCGGCACTTAGTCGTGGCATGATGATTTCATCTTTTTCAGGCAAAAACAAATGACGAAATTAAAGACAGCGTTTGCCTTTCTATAGTGACCAATACCGCATGATTTTAAGCTAACTTGCACGTGCATCCTGCTTTGCATGTTTTCTTAGAGACGTTTTGGCGAATATTTTTTCAAACGCTTCAAAAACAAAGATTATGTTTGGCCATGAATTAGTATATTTCTATGGCTTTTGCCGCAGCTACAGGAGTCCTATATTCTCAAAATCTTTTTCTTTCTTTTTCATGTCTAGCTTGTGTGTGAGGAGAATGTGCTTCCGATGGAAAGGGCATTTTCGTAAACCCTTGACATCTCGCTAATTTTTACAATATTCCAAAAGGGGTGAATAAGAATAATACAATGGATAAATGCATTCTTCGCCACTAGTACTCCGGGAACCCTAATTTCAAGATAATTGCCTCAACTGGTAAACTGATTAAAAAGAAACAATAGTTTGCAGAAAAAAAATGGATTTGTGCAAAACTGACGACCAAAAGAAGCTTCACCATAGCGTTAAACCCCGAATGATATATGAAAGTAACATGTATTGACAAGATCAAATTCTTAAAGAAATCAACATTAAATATGATTGCCATACAGCAAACGGGCATGATAAGAGGCTGAACTGAGGTAGGGTAGCTAAAACGAGCTTTCAACGTAATGGAAAATTGTCACACACATGCAAAACCACTCAAGTTAAATGACACGTCACACCAGTAGCGTGTATGACCACCCCTAGTACAAGACACGTCACACCAGTAGCGTGTATGACCACCCATAGTACAAGACACGTCACACTAGTAGCGTGTATGACCACCCCTAGTACAAGACACGTCACACCAGTAGCGTGTATGACCACCCCTAGTACAAGACACGTCACACCAGTAGCGTGTATGACCACCCCTAGTACAAGACACGTCACACCAGTAGCGTGTATGACCACCCCTAGTACAAGACACGTCACATCAGTGGCGTGTATGACCACCTAAGTACAAGACACGTCACACTAGTAGCGTGTATGACCACCCCTATTACAAGACACGTCACACTAGTAGCGTGTATGACCACCCCTAGTACAAGACACGTCACACCAGTAGCGTGTATGACCACCCCTAGAACAAGACACGTCACACCAGTAGCGTGTATGACCACCCCTAGTACAAGACACGTCACACTAGTAGCGTGTATGACCACCCATAGTACAAGACACGTCACACTAGTAGCGTGAATGACCACCCCTAGTACAAGACACGTCACACTAGTAGCGTGTATGACCACCCCTAGTACAAGACACGCGAAGTCTGCGAGGAACAGAGAAACGTCTGATAACGTGACGTACGATACGCCGCCGTTCTTGGAATGAATACACAATGCCATTAAGAAAGTGGTCCAATGTTACATATGTTACATTTGGGATTACACTCAGTAAAGTACAGATTCTATTACTGGGGGGTTGAGTCCCATGCGGGATTCGAACCAACACCTTCAGAGTCAGACACATTATCGCCAGCACACAAAGTCAGGCACCTAACCCGCTCAGCCACCCCGGCTTCCACAAATATGGACAACTGGTAGTCTAGACCAAGGACTCCGTGTACCCCTCTGACTACATTTAGAAAGTGGACAAATGTCACACAGACATTCCACCCCCAAAACCACACAGACAGTCCACCCTCAACCCTCAACCCCACACAGGCGCTCCACCCTCCACCCACCACCTCACACAGACTCTCCACCCTCCGCTCCACACAGTCCACCCACCACCCCACACAGACTCTCCACCCTCCACCCACCCACCACCAGACACCACCCCACACACCCTCCGCACACAGACTCCACCCTCCACCATCCCACCCCCACCACACCCAGACCTCCACCCTCCCTCCCCACACAGACACTCCACCCTCCACCCAACACAGACCCTTCACCCACACACTCCTCCACCAACCACCCCACACAGACGCTCCACCCTCCACCCACACAGACACTCCACCCTTCCACCCCACACAGACGCTCCACCCTCCACCCACCACCCACACAGACGCTCCACCCTCCACACAGACAGTCCACCCACCTCCACCCTCCACCCACCACCCCACAGACGCTCCACCCTCCACCCCAGCCCACCCCCACACAGACCCTCCACCCACACCACCTCCGCCCTCCACCCCCCACACAGACACTCCACCCCCCATCCACCCACCACCCCCCACACAGACTCTCCACTCTCCACCCTCCACACAGACAGTCCACCCTTCACCCCACACAGACCTCCACCCTCCACCCACCACCCACACACAGACGCTCCACCCTCCACCCTCCACACCATCCACCCCACCCCACACAGACGCTCCACCCTCCACCCACCACCCAGCACACAGACCTCCACCCTCCACACAGACTCTCCACACACAGACTCCACCCTCCACCCACCACCCCACACTGACTCTCCACCCTCCCTCAAAACACCCACACAGATTCTCCACCCACCACCCCACACTGACACTGGGAAGTTAAACGTAAAATGAAGCCTTAACGAAGTAGTAGTGTTCAGTAGGCACACCTGTTTACATACAACACAGGCTCCGTGACTGTTGTTGATAGTTGTGCACCCGGAAGTAATTGAAGCTGTACGCCTCATAGAACATTAGAACACAAAGAATGATTCAGTCATGATAACATCGGTAATAGGAAGAAAGACGACGGTAATAGATATCCCTGTCTGGCCCATTCGTGATATAGAATTAGGAGCACAGCGTAATGCATGCCTTCGACAATATACACAACCGGTTGTCAGTCACATATCTGGCTGGACCTCCATACTGTTTAAGAAACAAATATGTGTGTTTAAGTGCACGCGTGTATTTGCGCGCATGTTCTGAGGTCGTTTACATTATTTGTTGCCTTGCCTTGTGAATTAGTCTAGTGTATATATATATATATATATATCACCTGTTCTCTGCCTGTACCATTCATACTTGACAACGATACAAGAACCTGTATCGAAACGTCGTGCTCTAGAATAAAAGAAGTTGCCATCCATATATACTTGTTCTATCTGACATCTCACCTGATGAAGGAGCAAGCATAAACTCCGAAACGTCGTGTTATTCACAATAAAGCTGACATCCATAAATCTTGCTTTTCTTATGCATTCCACTTCTAAATACCCTTGAAAGATTTGTTCTATCTGACTTCAAGATTCTACAATTGCCACCCAAAGAAGTAAAGTTTGATCCTATATACAAACGTATTTGCAAAATACCAGTGGTCGACAGTATTAAATACGCTTTGCACATAAGGTTTTGTACATCGCGAGGTGTATGTTGGAAGCACGTGTATTCTGCAATATATGTAAGTATATACCACCAGCCATGATTGTGGGACAAGCGACATAGGCATTACTGTAACGTGACATGCTAAGGTATGCTGGACTTCAGCCTGTTATTGAGGGGAACTAACCAAATCTAGCTGTGTACAGGTGGTTGTACACTGCACGACCGGTGTGGTAGAGACCCAACACACCAAATCTAGCTGTGTACAGGTAGTTGTACACTGCACGACCGGTGTGGTAGAGACCCAACACACCGAATCTAGCTGTGTACAGGTGGTTGTACACTGCACGACCGGTGTGGTAGAGACCCAACACACCAAATCTAGCTGTGTACAGGTGGTTGTACACTGCACGACCGGTGTGGTAGAGACCCAACACACCGAATCTAGCTGTGTACAGGTGGTTGTACACTGCACGACCGGTGTGGTAGAGACCCAACACACCAAATCTAGCTGTGTACAGGTGGTTGTACACTGCACGACCGGTGTGGTAGAGACCCAACACACCAAATCTAGCTGTGTACAGGAAGTTGTACACTGCACGACCGGTGTGGTAGAGACCCAACACACCGAATCTAGCTGTGTACAGGTGGTTGTACACTGCACGACCGGTGTGGTAGAGACCCAACAGTGAAGTGGTCGTGAAGCATGAAGTGAATTCATAATATGCACATTCACCGACATTCACAAAGATACACATACGCCTGACAGTCACACTGAAGCCAAACAAAGGCGTTCGGTAAAGAAAATCAACGTAACACGTGGCTACCGTAAGTCGATATCAGTCAATACACAAACATAGACAACAACCAGGAAGTGTTACATGAGCAGTCATCACATGCTCCACCAACCTCACAGTCTCGTTCTCTACCCCTGACGGTACGTGTATCTTTAGATTTGATCTGATTTCATCCGCACGAGTGACAACATCTATTGTTTAGTTAGAATGCTGCTGTTGAAGCCCTGTGGTCTTACGTTTCTACTTGTCCATGTTCATCTCCATGTTGTTTTAGAAATACTGACCGTAATCAGGTTTCAGTTAAAAGAAAACGCCACATGTCCTACACTTTAGGTATGTAAAGTGTATATAATTCGCCTTGTGGTAAAACCGAGATGTATTTGAGACACATTTCCTACAAATAACGGAGTGGTAGCCCCACACTTGGTCATCAGTATCCCACAATGCAGCTGCACAGCTTCCTCGTCCGTGATCTCCTTGCTAGCTACTCAAGACGCGACTTTGTTGTTTTTGCAATGATTACTGATACCTGTTACAAATAATACTAAATATCATAATATATTACGGAACAGTACGTCGACGGTTCTGGGTGTTTTAAGTCATGGATGAAATAGCCTTCGGTTGTGAAGTAACCCGTTTAGTTCATGCACGATGCAATTCTCATATCGATACAAAAGCCGAGCCGACAACCCGTTTATCTCTCAATTGTTTATCTCTCAAGGAATGTTAACGTGCCTTGTTCTTATCACCAGCAAATTCTGCAAACGGGTTGGTAGTTAGGCACATGAAATTGTGGTCACGTGACCCCGCACATATGCAACTTCAAGTTTTCACAAAAGAGCGCGCTCATGCACCGCATTATATTTTCGCCCATATTAACTAGCTTGTACTATCCATTTTCACTATAATTCATTTCTCCCAATGTGAAGTTTCTTTTTCTATTCAGTATATTACAGGCGAGTTGAAGATTGAGTGAATTTAGTTTTACGCCGCTTCTAGCAATATCCCAGCAATATCACGGCAGGGACACCAAAATGGACTTCACACATTGTACCCATGTTGGGAATCAAACCAGGGTCTTCGGCGTGACGAGCGAATGCTTGAATCCATTAGGCTACCCCACCGCCCCTCGAACTAACGGATACACGAGTTACGTAATACTAATGGCCATATTCACTGAACTAAAAGCGAGAGTTTTACCCAGATTACAATATATAGGCTTTGGCCGTGTGAAGCCAGTGTTGTTGCAAAATACACTAACATCTTCCAAGGATTTGCGGGTCCTGCGTTCGACTGTCTGTTTGTTTGAATGATACAGATGGTTGTTTCAACATCACGGACATCTACGTCCTGCATCACCATTCTACTCTACTACAATCTCTGTTTGTTGTTTTCAGATGGCAAGTCCTGGAGTTACTCCTCTGGAAGGTGCAAGAAACAGGTACATCAGTGAACTGATATCTCAGACACAGAGTGCCCTTGGAGACGTCCCGTTGGAATTACAGAGACAGATTCTACATGAGATACACAACACCTTACACACAGGTTTAGATAACGTTGAAGACAGGATTAGGTCATATGGTGAAGACTTCTGTAAGCCAGACTTGGACCAAGAAGGGCTGACACGGACATTTCACCAGTTGAAGTACATGGAAGCTCTTTTGATGCAAACCTTTCGCAATAGAAGAACAGAATTAGAAATTGATAAAAGTGAAATTGTAGGTAAGTAGAACAAAAAAATGAGTTAAAATGTGTTTGGTTGCAATATAATTTACATAAACAGGATCATGGTAATGTAACCCTTAGTACTGTGTCTTTTTGACGTTTTTGTGATACAGGTTTTAACCAAGACGAATTCCTTGGTATAATCCTTCAAAGAGAAATGTTGATTATAGATGTACATGAAACTTACACCACAGACACCACATATAGCTATAAACCGTCAGTCTACCCTAGAGAGTTACAGGTAGGTCCAGAACAGAAACTTTTAAACATATCGAAATGAAGGGACGCTCTAGTCTTGGTAGCCTCACACCATGTCTGACATTACAAGAGGCAGCACATTACATCGATATATTTTCATGGATGATTCTCAGCCTTGGCCCTTTTTGGGGAAACTTGACCACTGTTGCAGCTTGGGGAATATTGTAATCATTTTCTTTATTGCTATTATCACTGCTTATATATATAGTATTGCAACTGAATCTATACTTCCACGCTATTTTGTACACCACTGTACTGATTTGCAACCTGAATTTTCGAATATAGTTATATAAATTATATCACATATATTTGATGTTTTTAGGTTTCACATTACTGGGAAATGTTTCACTGTAAATGAGTGCAGTATTCATTCAGGTACTGGTGTAGATGACGCCGACTACATCCACCTGAAGGTATTCCAACTGTGTCAACCGGATCTGCTTCACAGTGTAAGCATTGAATGCACATGCATTCTGGACAGACTGATGCAAGATCAGCTTCTGACGGACGATGAACGGGAAAGCATTATCGCCTTAAACCCCACATCCCGGCGAAGAAATGAGGCCTTCTTGGATGTCATGAGAGGTCGACTTTCCTATGCAACTTTGATGGTAAGCCAGTGTTGAATGTTTTGACGCGTTGTAGGGAAGACAAGAGTCAAGTTGCTAAACACGGCCACCCATCCAGGGAGTCTCCGTGGCCAGTGTTGCTTAACTTCAACTGGTTTGTGATCTGAGCTCTACGCACAAGATCACACATCACCAATATTGACAATTATGTGTTTGTTTACAATGTACAATACAATGTGAATATCTTACAGGTGTTTTCATTGATTACATTTTTTGTGGAATTGCAATGCAACCTAGAGTCTGTTGAGAAGTGTTTTCATGTTATAAGTTCTAGATTTGTGTACATTTCAGAATAACTTTATACCAGCTATTGGGGAAGATTATCCAGACGTTGCAAAGAAGTTGAGTGAAACAGCACAACATCTGAAAGCCAAACCATCAAAAATCAATGTCTGTGCCGTTTGCAATATGAAGGAAAATGTCCAAGTCAAGCACCTCGCTGAACACCTTTCAGAACATGGTGCAGTATCCACTGATGATTATCGGGTACTGAGAAACACTCACACATCTAACACCGAAAAATGGTCATACCGTCTAAGTAAATTGACCAACTTAAGCCACATTACTGAGGCCATAAAAATACGTTATCCGCAAATATACAAACAACTTCAGCGCCAAAACAAACTTGATCTCAGATGCAACTGTTCATCGCTAGAGGGAGGAAATGACAGCTGTTCCGCAGAAAAGAAGTCTGCAAGTAACCCTGTGTCTGATGTTGGACGTCTGTCTGATCTGGAATCTCTGTTCGAAACAGGTTTATGGGTGACATCAGGATCATTGTCACAGATGGGTATGAACACCATTCAGATAATCACATTCTTCCCTTTGGTTCCAAACCTATAAGCTTTAAGACTTACTTTACGAAAGTTTATTACTATTGGTTTAACACAGGTAGCACCAAGACGACTGTCACTCTGACTCTAACATACATAGTGCTACGATCACTTTGTGCAATTAGTCCTGGAGGTCAAGTGTTGCAGTACATGATACTACTACAAAAATATGTAGTATCATAAGATAATAAAGAAGTTGTCATCTATAAAGTGTCCTAAAATTCAACCAATTTAATACAGCAATTGTGCTCTACTTAAATTGTTACCCATCCATCCCCATGTGTTTCTCTACACTGTTAATGAGGTCTGATGCCAAGCATGTGACACCGCGTATTGCTGAGTGAGAATATTTTCACTGTTTCAAAATCAGTATAACAGTTATATCCCATAACTGGTAAAGATGGACACAATTAGAGATCAATAATACTCTTTCTTCATTTCAGAATATCAAGTAAGTTCCAACCCTAAGGGTATGGCAATTATCATTTGTAATCCCAAATCAAACCCACATGAAGAAATACATCGGTACTATGTAAATGATGCTGCTAAGCTTTACAGAACATTCCAGAAGCTTGAATTTGATACTCGACTCTATAGAAACATTTCTAAAACAGACATGATAGCACTCTTGGCCAGGGTTGCAGAGATGGATCATAGTCAGTTTGATGCTTTTGTGTGTGTTATCCACACTGAAACGAAGATCATAAATTATCGCCATTGTGTCCTTGATGCAAATGCAGCTCCAGTGCCTTTCAAAGAACTGAAAGATATGTTCAATGCATCAGGATGTCCTACTCTAGTTGGTAAGCCAAAAGTGTTCTTCATCCCGAGTGGAGAGAGGGATAACTTCATGTCTGGCGTTAAAGCCAGGAAGTGGAACTGAACAGGATATTTCTGTCCCTATGGAAGCTGATTTTCTAGTACTTCGTGCTACAGTACCAGGATTTAATGTTATTGGTGATGATGAATTCAGTGGATCTTTATGGGTAAAGAAGTTTACTGAAATGATGGACACACATTCAAATGATGCTGACCTGGTGACCTGCATGACCCATCTTGCAGCTGACATAAGCTGCCAGGACCTGTGGGATGTCTGCAAACAGAGTCCCCACATTGAAAGTCCACTGAGAAAACCATTGTTCTTCAGGGAGAGGATTCCAGATCAGGTATCATCTGGGTAAAGTAAGTTGTTGAATAAAAGCGTTTGTACTCAGCAGTTGTCATTACGAAAGAACAGGTTGATTATCCTCACAGTATTTAGTCAAAAGGATGAGCCACTAACACCACCAATAATGTAAAATTTGTCTTTGAATGATTGAATCTTGGACAGGAACATGAGTTGCTGATACTGTGATAAATGTTGTGGTGTGTAAGTGTCAACGTCTGAAATAGTCATCCATAAAGTCATCCCTCCAGATCAAACAGTTCCTATTTTCATCTGCTCCAATGACAAGAATGAAGAACCGATGGCCCATTCTCACCAGAAATTGGACAGATTGGGGTTACAAAACCCCAGCTTCCCCATCATGATGAGTCCAGACAAGCCATAACAGTGGGGAAGCTTCTGTCCAGCAGTGCTTGAAGCACTTGACTTGGTCCTCAATGTAGTGTACCTGGCTAGGTCACATTGTATGTATATTTAGAACGTGGATATCTGCTTGGATGTATGGTGATCATCAATACTTTTTATCAGCATTTACTAACTGGCATAACTATAATCAGAATCCTTTTTGTACCATGCTAAACGACCTGTTTAATTACATTTAAAATACTTGTGATCTTTTTTGATGTTGTCAGGGCCTTTGCCTAAACTGACTGATTCTGTCCTCAAGAAATAACCTAAGTTACAGGTCATGTTTTCCCTGTTGATCATGTGTATTTAGTCAAACTGCTGAAAAACACATTTATATAAAACAAATCAGTGATACCTTTATTACCAAGTGGTATTCCTCTACAGTTGAACAATATTTTTTTCTTCTTCATAATTACCAGCATCTGTAAAATTGATTAAGAATCTAAAACAATGACAGTGTTAGACACTCAAATGTGGCCTTCAGTCCTCCATAATCATGTGTAGGTTTACTTGTTGAAGATATAAACAAACAAATCAAATCCTTCCATTCGATCACATGAGCCACCAGCAGCTCAACAAGCAAATGCACTAATATCCGACACTGTCTGACATTTCTGATCACTGTCAATGATATATCTGTTTGTAATTAACTCAGACAAATATTCAGTTTATACTATTAATACTGATTGCATTTTGTTATGTATATGACTTTGTTTAAAAACAACAGTGCTTCGATACAAACCCAATTTAACATTAGATTTTAAGCAACTCAGGTACATATGTAAAAAATATATTTATACATGGACGTTGTGATTCAACTAGACATTTTACAGCAAAATGTTGCTTTCATCATTAATGACGATTTGTAAATAATTATTGTATGTTATGTGAATAAGCAAAATAGGATGTCATTAGCTTCCCCACTGCAAGCCTCTATTACTAGGAGTGTTCCTGAAAAACTGTTGGCCAGCTGACAGGTTTTTTTATTCCAGTGATCACTGGTGATAAAAAGTGAGAGACTTTATTGCATAGCTATATATTATTGCATATGGTTAAGAAAATCAGAATTTTTTAAAACTTAATTTTATTTGTCAATATGTCTGTCAAGGGCATAGTTTGTTTCTTTGATCAATCCCTCCAGTTACAACATGTTCCTAAATATATTCACCCTTTTATAGCCTAGCCTACTGGGTTCTCACAAACTGTGTGGAAAAAACAGCCTCCTGCTGCTGTGTAGAGAAACCAGCCCCAGAGCCCCACTGATTCCCAGCAGTTTACACCCTTCATCATCCCTGACTTTCATGTTTTACAACTAAACAAAACAAAAGCATCTTACTTATTGATACATGTAATTTATGATAAAAAAACTGAAATATCAGAGTATCATGATTTATTATGTCACTCTCAGCTTGTATTTTTCTATCACTCTGAAATACTGAAAAGTTCTGCATGTTGATATAAAATAGTAACCTACAGAGTAATTCTGACATTGCAAATGTTTAACTGTTACCATCTGTAGCATTGCTACAACAGTGTAGTTGAGTTCCAGTGTTGGTGAGGACATTACTCAAGCACCTGTGTGGAGACGCCACACACGACCATGGAGGGCTGAAGGCAGCACAGTACATGAAGAAAGTACATATCACAGTCTATCATTTATACACTTCAAATATAACATGTATAATAGTACAATTACATCCTACCAAACACTCCTGCAGTCATAAATATATAATACAATTCACAGTGTAAATGCCAAGCAAACATTCCAGGCCACATTGATTACATATAAAAGTATATGTCAAGTCATTTCAGGTCTAAAACTAAGTGACGACAAAAGTTACAAAATTTAAAAAGCATCATGATAAAGACTAGATCAAATGTTCAAAACTTAAAATATTTCTGTGGAAGTCAATTCCATTGTTAAATATAGAGGGAACAAAAAAAGGATCACATGAAAATTCAAGCATTCCTTTATTATTTGCAGTTTTCCTCACCACAGCTCTATTCAAACCTGGTGATGAAAACTGGAAAATATTCTCTCAGTATATATTCATACAGGGTCTGTCGGGTTGTAACAAAATGCAACAGTGACATGATGGCAGCAGTACAGAGAGTCTGGGTGATATCAACTTTGCACAAAGACATTGGCAGCAGTTACAGATTACTGTCTCTGGATGCCAAGTCAGCAATGGCATTACCCTACGGCCTTCACCCAGGTTCAGAGGTCTGCTTAATCAAATCAATCATAATAGGAAAAATCCTACTTCATCTCCAAAGTAAATATATATATATGTTCATGATTTACAGGACAAATTATTCTCAAGCAACAAAATGGAGCAGAGAAGAGTGGCAATATCTGTAGTTGTACAAAAAGGGAAAAGTAAACACAAATTTTACATGTCCTTGATGCAGAAATTATTTTTAGAGAAGTGTTTAAGCAGTGTATGAAATAAGCCAAAACTCTAGTCAGACATCAGGGCTGTTAAGTTCAAAATGTTACAAGCCCAAAATGGACTTAACCAGACCAAATATGGTGAATTTACTCATATGTATGGAACATCTAAAAATTTTACCAGACCACTGGGCTGGCTAGCTGTAAATTTAGACCGTCCGTCAGAAATCGAGACCGTCTCGGTCGGTCGGACAGGCTGTATTTCATACACTGGTTTAAGTGGTAATGTTCGGTATGAATGTGCTACAATAAGCATCCCCATACATCAGTAAGGAAGGAGATACACATTAGATGCTTGATTGGCATTTTAGAAGATGATATTTGATGAACATAGAGATTTTTCTGTGTGAGATACACATTGTTTTTGGAACCATTTCACACTCATTTCTATAATTTCTGCCCACAAACAAGACTTGAACAGTCTATGGACAGTAAGGGTAAGGAGAGTAACACAGGCCTTAACACCTCCTCTGTACCCAGTATGTCTTGGCTGCCGAAGTTGACATCCACACAGACTCTCTGCTGTCTCTGGAGCAAACCTCTTCCTAAAGAAAGTTGTATTTCTGACCTTAAAAAAATAACGGCACCTGGTACCAGTTGTTAGAAAAACACAGAGTCAAAACTTGAAGTCATTTCATTACAGCTTCAAATATAAAATAAAATCATTTACATACAACAAAGCAGATCGAAATGAAACTTGCAGTTCAGAAATGAAGGTCATATGCTTTCAGAACATCTCTCACCATATTTGTGCTGGATATTGAACCTGTTCTGTGTGGAACTATTGTGAGTGTAGTGAGCCAAACAAGTGGGTCATTTCATGTACATTTCACAACAAAACTAACCAACACTTTTTGGTGATGTTCCCTTTTATCTATCACAAAAAAGCACAACTGACACTTCTCACTGATTATAAAACATTCTGTTGACATAAGCCTCATCAACAGTGTGATTTCTGCATGAATAGAAAATATTTGCTGTCCAATCCAAATCTCGATACTTTGTCTTTACTCTATTAACAACATCACAGCACGATTGTTAAAACCTGCCCAAGTTCTTGTAAAGCTTGATGCATATTATCACAGGACTATCACGGTACATAAATGTGCCACGTTCAATCATAGTGAAATATAATACCTCAATACTGGGTAAAAAGCAAATCAGTGCATGCTTAATTTAGCTGCCAATTGGATAATAGTTTGCAATCAAATACAGTTTGTGCATCATTTTTTTCTGAAGGAGTGGTATTTGTACCTTATTTGTACAAACAGTGTAAAACACTGATTCACCAGATGCTTTGAATGACACTTTGCACTTGCAGCATGTAAAGTGATATGGATTGCATACACATATTTGGCAGATTTGGCGCCAAGAGAGTAAGTATCCCTGCCTTGGAGTCAGTTATTGCCCAAGTACCATTATAGGCAGCTAATATTCCCGCTACTGGTGTCTTATCCTATAATATATGCATTCAATGCATATTACAATACAAAAACATTTCAGGACATATGGGACTTGAATCTGTATATGAATTATTCTGTTGCAATCCAAAGTAGAATATCCCTATCATGGTTATGTAGAAATCAAATATACTGTGTGTTGCCATGACTCTATAATTTATGATGGGAAGGAGTGCCTTTACGAAGAGTCTTTCAAGCACAACACCTGAGATCAGTTCACTTTTGACTTGCAGATAAGCTTATTCTAAACTTTGCAAACCATTGTTGACCTCAACACTGACTATTCCTTCTCTTAACTCTACATTTTTTAAATCTGCTACAGTATAGGTATAAGCTGCACATATATTTTCTGTCAAGTGTCTATAGTTTGCTTAAATTAATACGGTTAATAATAAACAACGTAACTTTACAGACAATGATATGTTACAATTTGTTTGTTCTACTTGTGAATTGTTTTCAGCCCTTATTTAAGATGCCTGTTTCTTCCATCATGAAACACTGACATTGTAAAGGTATTTTACCTTAGAAAAACTGACAACAAAATGTACTCCCTGTGTCGGAACTTAAGTCCTATCTTCATCACAGACAACACACTGATCCCACCAAACCACCAGTGTCCTTCCATCAATATGGCAACATGCACAGAGCTCCAGATAAGGTATGTCAAACATGCAGACTAAATAACCCTAGCCCAAACATTTGAAAACCCAATAGTATAACACTGCCCTAATTTCTCCAGGTAGTTTCTTCAACAAGTATACACATATTTCACTACTAGTGGTGGTCTGATTAATTGAAATAATCAAAGATTGGTCGCAGTGACTAAACGACCAAGCAATCGATCATGTTTTCTCATAATCAAACACAAACAATTCTAGAACACTTGTTTTCATTAACAGTATTTTTCACTAGGTTGGTTTTGTCTGTTACATTTCATAAGCACTACAAGCTCGTTCCAAGTCATGATTGAATTTATCTTAAAGACTCTAAGAAATTTATGTTCCTCCATACTATTCATCCTTTAAAGATGTGAAATTTTGCCCCAAAAAACCCAAAGAACTACATGTTTTTTTCCTTATTTTTGTGAGCATTAACACATTTCATAAATGATGCTAACCAATTATTTTCGATGATTGATCGGTTGTAATGAACCAATCATCAATTATGAGATTTTAACCAATTCCTAACACTATTCACTACAGATCTACAGAAAAGCACATTTACATGCATTCTATGACGCAGAATGGTGCACAGATGTGTAACAGGTCCCTTAGTGTATGCATCATGTGACGGACCCATGAAGATCTGGGTTAGAATTGGTCTTCAGCAACCCATGTTTGTTGTAAGAGGCAACTAACAGGATCAGATGGTCAGGCTCGCTGTCTTGGTTGACACATGTCATCGTATCCCAAATGAGTAGATCGATGCTCATGCAGTTGATCACTGGATTGTCTGGTCCAGACTCGATTATTTACACACCACCATCATATAGCTGGAATATTGCTGAGTGTGGCTTAAACAGCAGAGAAACAAGGCATCATGTGAAGTACTTGGGGTGGCACACAATCATGTGCTAACTGGCAGTCACATAAAGCAATACATAAGAAGAATCATTGGATGTAAACGTCAACTCATCGGTGTAGAAAACCAACTGACTGGACCGTAGAGACTACAAACATTGAATACACCAATAAAGCTATCAATACTCAACAGTAAACTGAGTAAAACACAGTGAGTCTAAACAGTATCTGGAGCTCTGCACACATAGTCTAGATGTCACACTGAGTGTGGATCAACTTCAAATACATAATTTCATCTGTTTTCTAAACCAGACAGACAAATGTGTACAGGTGCTATACTTTCACCTGTATCTCCATGTTTAGGTGAATATATGTGACTCCATCGGGACCCTCAACAAAACATCCTGATCTTTGGAGAAAACAGAATTATTTGCCTGATTTAGCTGATTGCACTTCATAAGAAGATATATGGCTAAAATTAATTTATTACAGGACACTTCATCTCAAATCGTGAAATGTTCAGCACCTCAGACTTACGTCCCACAAGCTCATATCAGTACCTCACTCTCACCTAATGGATTCCTGCTGTGAGAAAAACAGTTTCAACGCTACATAGATAATGGCTTCCTTCAGTGTCATAAAAACTTGTGAATTAACAGCCTACACCTACATGCCAAACTTGTTCAGGTCCCTGCTAAGTCTAGTAATGTATTTACTTCATAAATTAAATATGATCAATCAGGTTGATTAAAACCAAAAAAATTCCTTTTTACTGCATTCACTGCACCCGCATACACAAAGTATCATTCTTGCAACAATAGTTGCAACTACACCATGTTGTCTCGGTCGTCCACAATATCACTTATAACAAATTTGTTTCAAAGCAATTGAACAATTAAGACTTTGAAAAAGATCACATCATCTGGATCATCTCCATGGTAACACAAGTAGAATGAAAGCCAACAGTATCATGACCTATGACCCTTTGATGTCCTTGATATGTCAGTGATGTCACCGCCCATGAAGACTTCCTGACTTGTGTCAGTGCTTTGACTGGCCTTGACATTGTTCTCGGAGGATGGTGTTTCCATGCATGTCCTTCACAGATGTGATGATTGCCTTGCAGAAGAAGCACTCCTTCTTGGCCATCAGCTGCTGAGTGATACACGCCCTGCAAAATGGAAGGAACAGGTGAAGGTCAGTATGTTTATATCACAGGTGATGGACATCTTGTAATGTTGGTGGCGAAGTTGGAATTTACATATTTTTCTGTATCCTGACTCCTCTAAGGAATCTGGTGGGTAAAACAGAATACTTTGGATTAATTAGCACACGGCTGAGCCGTCGTAGATTGCCTGCATGTCCTTCACAGATGTGATGATTGCCTTGCAGAAGAAGCACTCCTTCTTGGCCATCAGCTGCTGAGTGATACACGTCCTGCAATGGAAGGAACGAGTGAGAAGGTCAGTATGTTATATCACAGGTGATGGACATCTTGTAATGTTGGTGGCGAAGTTGGCCCAGTCCTCTAAGCTGCTACGGCTGAGCCCAGTTGCCTCCCTTGAGCATTCCAGAAACCTATGATTGTTGGTTTGAATCCTAGTTCCTGTCAACTGTATTTCCAGGCCTGTCCTAGTAGGTTTCGCCAAAGGGATAACCATCTGAGCCCTGCATCACTTCAGATTTTCCTCCCTTGTTCAGCTGCCACTCCATTACATAACAAGAATACTGCTTAAAGCGGCATCAAATCATTGCATACAATATATTCTCTGTATTGGGTGTGTGATTTCCTCCTGATCTTCTCCGATTATTTCAAATAATATACATCTGAAGGTAAAAAGCCTTGATTGTTTGTTGCCAGTTACAAGTACATGTACTTACTATCCTATTCAAATACGTCACCTCTCAAGACAATCAAAAGAGTGTTTTGTTCCAATTCTAAACTTCCTCCCCTCTTGGTAACGACAAAAGCACAAAAGAAACACATGAATCATATAGTGAAGAGACATCAACATCACGGAAATACCGAATAAACAATTAGACTGTGTAATGCTGTGGCCACTGGTAAACACTCACTGTGCACACCTGTACTGATCATAAAGCTTAGGCTAGTGTACTGTCACATACTTTAACAAGAGAAGTGGCTAGTGTACTGTCACATACTTTAACAAGAGAAGTGGCTAGTGTACTGTCACATACTTTAACAAGAGAAGTGGCTAGTGTACCGTCACATGCTTTAACAAGAGAAGTGGCTAGTGTACCGTCACATGCTTTAACAAGAGAAGTGGCTAGTGTACCGTCACATGCTTTAACAAGAGAAGTGGCTAGTGTACCGTCACATGCTTTAACAAGAGAAGTGGCTAGTGTACCGTCACATGCTTTAACAAGAGAAGTGGCTAGTGTACTGTCACATGCTTTAACAAGAGAAGTGGCTAGTGTACTGTCACATACTTTAACAAGAGAAGTGGCTAGTGTACCGTCACATGCTTTAACAAGAGAAGTGGCTAGTGTACCGTCACATGCTTTAACAAGAGAAGTGGCTAGTGTACCGTCACATGCTTTAACAAGAGAAGTGGCTAGTGTACCGTCACACATTCTTTAACAAGAGAAGTGGCTAGTGTACTGTCACATACTTTAACAAGAGAAGTGGCTAGTGTACCGTCACATACTTTAACAAGAGAAGTGGCTAGTGTACCGTCACATACTTTAACAAGAGAAGTGGCTAGTGTACCGTCACATACTTTAACAAGAGAAGTGGCTAGTGTACTGTCACATACTTTAACAAGAGAAGTGGCTAGTGTACTGTCACATACTTTAACAAGAGAAGTGGCTAGTGTACCGTCACATACTTTAACAAGAGAAGTGGCTAGTGTACCGTCACATACTTTAACAAGAGAAGTGGCTAGTGTACTGTCACATACTTTAACAAGAGAAGTGGCACACCTGTTAGTCCTAATTGACCCAAGTGATGGAGATGGGGATGCCACTGACACCTACCTGCAGGACTGATGTGCACATGGGATAAACGTAGCCGAGCGAGGACTTGCATAACAGATCGTACACAGGTCTTCATCTTTCACTTTCACCTGAGGCAAAATTTCACAATCAGTTGGAGATTGAGATACATGTAAATACGCATACATTCACTATATAGAGTCTTTTCCCAAAATTAAACATCCAACACTAATATTCAATGTATAAATGATGGAAGTAAGTCAAATGGTGTGATAGGTTTTATATAGTTTTACATATGATATTGAAAATAGCAGTGACACAATCTTAAGCACAAGCTTTTACTGTAAGTCATTATTGTAAGTCAAAATATATTGTTTCAGATTGTCATCTTCTTCAACCTACATAGATCATGCTGCATCAGTCTGTGCCATACACTCTAGGCTACCAGCCCAAACAAGGCCAGGCATCATTTTCAGAAGATTTCAGAGATATTTTAAGGACTATCATTAAGTCAACAAAATGTTTTCGTGATCACGAGAGCATCGAGAGTGACTTGTCTAATAATTCCATTTGTAACAAATGTCTGATCATAGCAATCAGCAGGACTGCTTCATATCATATACTTCAGATAATAAAATTGTTCAATACATCAGAATTATTTGAAGTTATTTTAATGTGTATTTCTTAACCCAATTATCGACAGATTAAGGAGGACTTTAATCAGCTGATTGCTATTTCCGGATAAGATTACAAGAAAATGAACACAGCACCCGGTAATCTTAATTAATGCATTTACAAATATGCCTAGCAGAACTAGAGATATAAATTAAAAGGTAAACCATTATGTCTTTTGAAGTATTATCTCAAATATAAAATGTTTTAGATCCAAATTTGTTGATACGTGTTACTTCATATCTGAATTTGCTACAGAGGAAGTTTTTTTCTGTGTATAGTACTTTGAATCTTTTTTTCCAAAACACTGACTCCTCTAAAGGTGGGTATACATTATTCTTGTATTCATGCGCTCACTTTATTCAAGAGACATGGTAGCTGACCGAAATAAAACAAACATAATTTTAGGCTTCAGGTTAGAAGCTACAAATGAAAACTAGTATAAATGGATTTCCCACCTGAGATTGTGACTCGAGTGTGTTCTGCTTGTGCTTGAGGTAGACTCGAAGACTTTCAATGTTCTCAAGTTCTTCCTTGCTTACTTCCTCAACTGCAATATACAGAAAACATACATGTCACTGACAAGTTTTAATATAAATTGTATATTTATATACTTATCCTATCTCACGACTTGCACCTCTCTCTCTCTCGCTTCGACTTTTAGTGGAACAACTGTAAACTTTTTCCATAGGCTTCCTTGTCCATTCGCCTGTGCACTCCATGCTGCTCTCCTTAATTAGCTTCCTAGTTCCTAATAAAGCTTGCAGCAAGCTCCACTAATTGCCCATGTGACTACCCTGAATGATCATTCTCATCTTGGAGCCAATGTTGTAATCTGAGTAGTGGGGAGGCCGGGCGGGCATCCATCGCGTGAGACAGGATAAGTATATAAATATATAATTTATATGAAAATTTCCAAATTTTTAAACTTATCCTATCTCACGAATGCACTTATCCCACGGTTGGACGGCGGGCTGCAGATTACCCTTCTGTCTGGACAGTGCGAACAGCTGGTCTTGGAGCTGTGTGGACTGATGACAACCGTAGATAGCGATGTACAAGGGAGGCCTGTTACGCATGCACGCAACTCCTTATAATGCTTGTAGTAGGTTCTCCAGAACCCCTTGGCTTACTAAGCACAACGACTCCCAGGGGAGATGGGTGCTCCTGAGCGATGTGGTGTTTGGCCGCAACCATGTACAATACAAGGGACGCAACCCAGCAAATAGGCCTCGCCTCACCACGATTTACAAGGTACCCCCGTAATTAAAGTCTAGCGACTAGAATCGAGCCAGCCCCTGCTTCAAGAAGACCCCGCAGACACCGACCGAGGCGGGTGAAAGAGAAACACAACTCGGCATCTCCAAGTTTTAACGTTCAGTTAAGCTTAGTCAAAGGATGTGCCCGGCAACTCCGGAGGCAGAAGGCAACGAAATCCACTGGAATTCGGGAGTGTCACACTTCACTGATGTAATTGCTCCGTGAAGTAGAGGTCAGTAAGTGTGAATGTCGAACACCTCTGCATCGTCATACTGATTGTGCCTCAGGTCCGTAGGGCCATGCTAGGTGGCCGTATTCCGATGCCTTGTTATGGAGGCCAAATGAAGTAGTTCTTAAACCCATATAATGAGAACAAAAGGTTGAGATCCGGTTCAACTTTTATTCAGTATATACAAGGAAGCAGTAACATGAATGCAGAACCGTCCCTCATCTGCGTAGTTGGGCCGATGTAAGCTGCTGAGCCAGTACAAGAGGTCCAAACTGGTGTAGTCCCTGGACATCCGTGACAGACAGGTCTCGCAGGTAATGTGAAGAGAAGACTATCAGAACGCCAGAAGCAACCTTCCATGATAGCGGTCAAGGAGCAGTTGCTATGAAGGGCAATCGTAGAGGCTAGTGCACGAGTCTCATGAGGATTGGAAGCGGCTGGAGGAGGCAACCCTGCAAAGGTGTAGGCTCACAGGATCGTGGCACGCATCCAGAAGGCCAATGTGGTCCAGGAAACCTCAGTTCTTGAAGCGGTCGACAAGGGTATGAAGAGGCGCTCCATAGCCGTCGACGATCCTTGGAGGCAGCAAGGTAAACGTGTAGAGACCTGACAGGGCAGAGTGTCAAATCTTCAGGCTCAAGAATGGTGGACAACGGGGGAAAGGTAAACATCCGGTCTGGTTGCCCTGGCAGTTGGTTTTTCGCAATGAAGTCCCAGTGGAGACCCAGGAAAGCCTTGCCATGCTTCTTCCGCTCGAACTGCACCCGATTGACATCAAGCGCATGCAGTTCACAGGGCTCCAGATAAGGGCCGTATCGGCGTATGTACGGATATAAAATAAGCACGATACGGTAGGAAACTATTTTAAAAACGTAGCAGATACGGACCACAGCAATGGTGTACGGTTTCAGAATCATTCACAGACGTATTTATCTGACAAAGTATTGTTTTATTGTTTACTGACCTGTTTACACAAGAGTAGCAATGTTGTGGTGCATATATGAAATGAAACACAAGATTACTGATACGCCATTAAATTCCATTCAGTACTCTAAATGTACTCTTATTGTTTTCTAGTACTCCTATATTGAAAAAATAAGGAGTACGTACTCTGATCATGAAAAATTATCTGGAGCCCTGAGTTCAGATATACTAGCAGCGGTAGCCAAAGCTACCAGCAAAATGTCTTGAATGTCCTTGTCTTCTAAAGGTTCATAATCTGTAGAAATCATATGACGAAGGACGACGGACAGATCCCAGGCCGGAGGTCTGAACTTCCTGGACTGGTCAGAGAGTCTATAGGAGCGTAATAGACTCTGCAACTCGGGAACAGTGGAAATCTTCGTGCCCGTGGTGGTAGCCAAAGCTGAGTTGATGGCGGGTAAGTAGGTAGGTAACGTAGTACCCTTGAGTTTCTTGGAGTGCGGAGATGCTGGAGTAACTCAGCAATGACCTGAGTCGAGGTGGAAGTGGGAGATGCAATTCCCCTAACCCTGCAATAGTCTTCAAACTTCTTCCACTTGTCCGCCGTGATGTAGCTGGAATATTGCTAAAAGCGGCATAAAAGTAGCCCTTAGCTATGAGAGACCTCTGAAGATGCACCAAACGTGTAGATTGAGGGTCTGAGGTGACCCTTGGTGCAGTTGCGAGTGAGGGTGAAGAAGTTGGTCGTCCCGGTTGGGAAGCGGTACTGGGTTTGGCTCTGCCAGGCTTCTTAGGTTGACGAACCAACTTCTCGCTGGCCAGAAGGGTGTGACCAAAAGCAGTAGTATGTTGCTGGTAGCCAATAGTTTCTGTATTACTTTTGGTAGCAGAGCTGGAGGCGGGAACGCATAGGCATTGAAACCCTCCCATGATATTGCCAATGCGTAGAGGTCCCAAGCCAAGGAGTCTGGGATTGGTGATACAAACTTTGGAAGTTGGTTGTTGAACCTTGTGGCGAACAGATCTATTTGAGGCCGTGATAACGGGTAGATCATCCACTGAAAGATCTGGAGCAGTAACTTCCACTCTGTCGGGGATGGTCGGTTGGATCGGGACAAGGCATCGGCGATCACATTTTTTACCCCGGGAATGTGTCTGGCTCTGGCTACGATGTTGAGTGAGTCGATGAGATGGAAGAACCTGATCGCCCCTTGTAGCAGATTCGCAGAGCCTGTCGAGCCTAGATGATTTATATACCAAACCACTGTCGAACTGTCTGATTGGATCAACAGACTGGTTGATTGAAGCTCTGTTGCCAAATGTGAGATGGCTTGAATTACCGCCTTGAATTCCAGCTCGTTTATATGAAGTACTCGTTCGTTGGATGACCACAGCCCGGCCACTTGGTGGTCGAGGAAGTGAGCTCCCCAACCCATGAGAGATGCATCAACGAATAGGTGATGAGTCGGTGCAAAGGGCATCATAGAGACTCCGGCGCAAACATTCCGTTCGTTGAGCCACCATTGAAGGACTGGACGAAGCGGTTCTGGAAGGCAACTCAGTTCCTTGGGCTTGTTTGTCCTGAAGGTACGGGCGTAGAAATCGCTGTATCGGCCGAAGTTGGTGGTGAACTGTAGCTGGCGAAGCAATAGAATCGAATCCTGTTGAGCCTGGATGCAATCGTTTATGTAGCTTTCGAAGGTGATGCCTTGAAAGTGGAGGAAGCTCGTTATGGGCTTGGTAATTCGGGTAAAAAGCCACAGGGCCATGGAAATTCCAAATGGTAGGACTTTCCATTGGTAGTGATTCCCGTTGAACATGAAGCGAAGGTACTTCTGGTGTTCTGGACGTATCGGAACGTGAAGATAAGCATCCTGAAGATCTAGGCTGATGAAGAAGTCTCCCTTCTTCAGGATGGTGCGTAAAGGTTGATCGACACCATCCTGAAGTGAGTATGGAAGCTCAAAATCGGGCATTGAACAACTTCATATTGAAGATGGGCGGAGTTTGTTGAATTTTTCTTTGGAACGAAGAAGATGGAGGTAGAATCCTGGAGTGACAGGCGATGGACCTAGGAGCTCTATATCGCAAGTTTGTCTAATAAGCACCTATTGTGGATTGCTGAGTTTGAAGCTGGTCCACAGGATATGAGCGATGAGCGGATCTTATGGCGCCAGAGGTGGACTGCCAATAACGGGTAGCTGATAGCTGTGAAGTAGCAGGTTGGTGACGTACGGATCTCTGAGGATGGTCCAATTCAGGGCGAAGATCTGTAATCTCCCGTCTACCGGAGTGTTGTAAATCGAAACGACTGTGACGGGGGAGGGGGGGGCACGAAAAAGATTATGTAAATCCGGATTGGTAGGGGTGAACTGTTAAGTTCGACGCTGAGTCCTGGAGCTGTGACTTCTGTATCTTTAACAGTTCAATCGAGACTTGAAAGTTGGTTTCTTTATCAACTTTAGTAGATACTTCTTGGATGCTACCATTGAAGAGGGAGTCAGTAAATCATGGCTGGTGAAACAGTTCTGTTTTAAATCGCTCCTCCCATGAAGAGATGTTAAGGTGTCCACGTCCGCCAACAGCAAGAGTGTAGCCCAAAAAATGAGACAACTGATCCAGGATAATTTGGAACTGGTCCAGAGCTAAAGTCATGCATCCTCGGATGTAAGCGTCTTGATCAGAGTAAGTATGCTCCAGAGCAGTGTTAACAGCATCGACTGCTGCAATCACAGAACTAATAGATGGCAACGTCTTTCTCACGGCTGAATCCATGTGAGTCAACTCTCAGTCCTCAATAAGGTTGGGGCTGAAGCAGCTCTTTTGCCACACAGGGTTCCAATATCCTCATCAACTGTTGGAGCCGTAGAGATTTTTGTTAGGCCGTGGACATGAGAGGTAGAAGAATTATATCTGGGAGCAGAGAATCCGTCCTTAATTCGTTTCAGGCTCTTGAAACCATCATTTAGTGTACTGGAAAATTTCCGAAGTTAAATGCGATGGTAGACCAATCCTGGTTCTTAGAGTATGAGAGTGATCCAGGTCATCTGCTGAAGTACTCAAGGGAAGTTGGAGCTTCTCAACAATCCAAACGAGTACCTGAGGTGTCTCAACTGCTGCAAAGCTACCCCCAGGGGTAGATAACTCAGAGTGAGCGGGAGATGCAGGCATGGCTATTTGGACTTGATCAATCTCAGGAGGTGGACCAGATGAAGAGCCAGGAGCTACCAAAGCCGGATGGGCTGAAGTAGAAGGCTGTATTTGGTTCCAGGCTGAGGTTATGGCCCTGATCATCATATTTAGATCTGGAGTCGCTGTAGGAGTGGGATTGTTATCAGGTTCCCATGACTCAGCAATGATCCTAGAGTGAGTCGAAGGATTCTCAGAGCGTGTAGGCAGAACATCGTAAGAGACTGTAGGCCTATTAGTGGTATCAGAGCAATGACCACCCAACGTCGGTCGAAGAAAGTGTATCGAGATCTCAACGTGGTAAGTACCGAAGTAGGTTGGTAAGCCGGTGATCTGGATTCCCTAGTATGGCAAGGTGATTCGGTATGATATGAACAAATAGTCCGGGTCGCTGTAGTTTGAGTTGGTGATCTGGTTCTGATTGGAGCTCTGAATCAACCATTTGAATAGGATTGGCCATGAGATGTGGATCTGTACTGTGATCCCAATTGGTCAATGGCTCTGTAAGGTGATCTAGATCGTATAGGTGACCTGGGTTGGTAAGCTGATCTGGATTTGTAAAGTGATCTGGATCGATTTGATGCACTAACTGGAAACTGTGATCGTGATCTGGATCTATAAGGTGATCTGGATCGAACAGGTGATCTGGTTTGCAGTTGCAATCTGGCTTGATTTGGTGATCTGGATCGGTCCGGTGATCTGATTCGAAGTTGTGATCTGGATCCATTTGGTGATCTGGATTGGTCCGGTGATCTGATTCGAAGTTGTGATCTGGATCGGTTCGGTGATCTGGATCGGCTAGGTGATCTGGATTGGTCCGGTGATCTGATTCGAAGTTGTGATCTGGATCCGTTTGGTGATCTGGAGGGGTTAGGTGATCTGGATTGATCAGGTGATGTTGATCATAGTTGTGATCTGGATCGATCCGGTGATCTGGATCAGCTCAGTGATCTAGATCGGGTTTGTGATGGTGATCTGGATCGTGAAGGTGATCTAGATCGTTGTGGTGATCTAGAATGATGTGGTGATTTGGATCGGCGATTAGGTGACGAAACCTGAAGTTTTGATTCATGATGAACGTCCCCAGCTCCGTCCGGTTCAATGAACTGTGGGGGGACAGTTGGCTGGTTGAATAAGGCTGGCTAGGCTCCAAACAAACTGAGACAGTCGAGACGATATGTACCCATGATCTGGATGATGATAGTGTCGATGAAGGTAGTGTAGATGGGACAGAACTATGAATTATCGATCACAACTGGTAGGTAGTGATCTAGATGGACAGGTGATTGATGCGATGAAATGTCCTCAGATAAGTAAGAATCTGATGAAGCATCCATAAAATCCTCTTGAACCACAGACGCCGCCTCTCTTGCGTGAAGGCACGCGATTTTCTGTTGCTGTAACTTGATACGCTTGGCGGGAGTGGGATCAGATTCTGTTGATTTCCTGTCCCTATTGGCGATTCTCCGGGAGCAAACACAAAGGTAGGCCTTAAAATCCTCATCTTTTAGTGAATTACACTTGTCACATCATTAGTTCCAGTTACATTGTCCAATACAGTCACTGCAAGATGAGTGAGAGTCGAGGGACAAATAATTCGTCTTGCATTGAGCACAAACTTTCCTTTTCCTTGACTGAATATCTGTTTTCCCCATGATGTTAGGGTGAAATAATGTCCCTAATATACAGCACGTCCACACAGTCGTGCGACAAGAAAGAGAATGATCATTCAAGGTAGTCACATGGGCAATTAGTAGAGCATGCTGCAAACTTTATTAGGAACTAGGAAGCTAATTAAGGAGAGCAGCATGGAGTGCACGGGCGAATGGACAAGGAGGCCTATGGAAAAAAATTACAGTCGTTCCACTAAAAGTCGAAGCGAGAGAGAGAGGTGCAAGTCGTGAGATAGGATAAGTTTAAAAATCATATATGCCTGAACATGTCATGTTTATACATCAATCTAACACGGTTTTGAGATTCACAGGTTTACTTACATGTTTTCAGAGAGAATTTTTTCCCTTTCTTGCCCTTTTCAGGAGGTATCTCTCCAAGAACAAAGTCAAGTGTAGACAGCTTGAATCCTGCATCCAGCAGCAGAGCTCGTGTAGCCTTGTCTTGTCTGCAAGATTAACAAGTGCACATTTTCAGGAAGATCATTTACAACAAATAAACTTAGACTGCGTTATGCAGTGTCTTGGATTATGTGCATAATGCCACACCTGCCAAGATGCTAATCTGAAATGATTCCATAAATAACAAGTTACACAGACAATGATCCAAATGAACTCTATCAATAACAGGGTAACAGGCAACCACTGGCTGACGGCATCGGTAACAGTACACACCATCAAGATACTAGACTACTGTGCGGAAAGCACTTCACTTTAGCAACAGACCCGTGAAGGTCCGCGTTAGAATATTGGCCTTCAGTAACCCATGCTTGTCGTAAGAGCCGACTAATGGGATCGGGTAGTCAGGCTCGCTGACTTGGTTGACACATGGCATCGTATCCCAATTGTGCAGATCGATGCTCACGCTGTTGATTACTGGATTGTCTGGTCCAGACTCGATTATTTACAGACCGCCGCCATATAACTCGAAAATTGCTGAGTACGGCGTAAAACTAAACTCACTCACTCACTAACTCACTTCAGCAACTGGTCTGAGACAGTATTTTCTAACATCACCTGTCTTGGACTGCTTGTTATGAACAGTATCCTGGTAATTTGCAACATTGCTTCCTTGTGTTGCAATATTTCTTCTGTGTTCCAGTAATTTGGGTAAAACAAACATACCAAGTTTTGCCTTTACGTGTATCATTTCACAGAAATCCGTTTACAAATGATGTCTCCCCTCAGAACATGAGACTATCGCCATATAGCTGGAATATTGCTGAGTGCAGCGTAAACCTAAACTCACTCACTCAGAACATGACTGACAATGTTATCTCCCCTGTGTCATTACTACAAAACGTCAGTGTACTCACTATGGTGACTTTACTTTAGTAGGTAATATGATTTCAGTGTATAATTAGGGTCAGTCACTTTTAAGCACTTCAGCTCCCAGTATAGTGCACAACATATAGCAATACAGATACCTACACTGCAATATACTACTATATAATATTTTACCAAGACACATTTTTGTTTGATCCAGAGATCAACAGCATGAGCATCGATCAACACCATTGGGATACGATAACATGTGGCTACCAAGTCAGCGAGCCTGACCACCTGGTCCCTTTAGTCGCCTGAAGCATGGGTTCCTGAAGACCAATTCTCACGAGTTATCGCAAGACACAGCCCAACACATGAGCAACTTACCTCTCTCCTTGTGTGTCAATCAGCAGTTTGATAAGGATGCCCACTGCCACGGTCAGCACTGGGAAGTATGTGACGCTGTCCAGGCCTGACCAACATAGACGTCAACACATAAACAAACAAATCATGGGAGCAGCTCCATGCTAAATATCGACCTTCAACTTGAGTTGCTAGAACCAAAGGTTTGAACATTTCTACATCTGGGAGGAGTGAATATTTAACATCTGACAAAGAACAAGAAGTGATGTATGCATTAAGACCTTGATAGAGTGGTTAAGTCTACTTCACATCAGTGGCACTCCTATCCAACTTACAAAGAGAGTGTGTGGTCCACTCACCTGGCAGAGGTAGAGACACAAGCTTCTCAAACGCACCATTCCTTGATGTGATTCTACTCATCACCTGACTAAGTAGCTAGAGACACAAAAGGTATCAGTAGATATCTCAGAGCTAATACATCCATTTGGAAAAAAGTGTCTAGTTGGCTTTAATGTACTTATCTATGTAACAATATAATATATCTATCTATGTAACAATATAATATATCTATCTATGTAACAATATAATATATCTATCTATGTAACAATATAATATATCTATCTATGTAACAATATAATATATCTATCTATGTAACAATATAATATATCTATCTATGTAACAATATAATATATCTATCTATGTAACAATATAATATATCTATCTATGTAACAATATAAGGAAAAATAATATATCTATCTATGTAACAATATAATATATCTATCTATGTAACAATATAATATATCTATCTAACAATGCTTGCTGGACTTGTCTGCCCCTACAGTAGTTGAATCTTTGGACCTTGTTAACCTCTAGCTTTAGACTTTTGATCCAGACAATGAAACCTTGACACTCATGCTTAATTTCACGCAGTTACAGACATTTAATCAACTAAAAGCATTTACATACACCTACAGATTACCACATTAGACAAGCCTTGTGTGCTTATAGTTAGGACTGAATGATTTTCTTTTCATCCAAAACCAAACACAGATCTATATATCACCACAGGCTATGAGAGTAGCCTGTGGTATATCACACCTGTAGTTACCTGCATGATTCTCTTGAGGAAGAGTTCGGCAGATGGCCTGGACCAGTCTGTAAACAGCTGAGATGCTATGGACACCACCATCTCCAGAACCCTGAGTAGACACACAGAGATCTCGAAACATGCCGCACAGATCTTCAGCTGCCGCCCTTCAAGGAACATGTGTTCCGTGTGTGATACCAACTGGTTAATCTAAGACAAACAAATCAGAAGATGCTTGTATTGTGACTCAGTTAATTAATTACCAGGAATAAATATAGATATCTCTTATGCACTAGTAGCAGTTTGACAAACAACCTATACTTATTAGGGCTGGATATTGCCCTGATTCTCATATTGTGATATATTGCAATAATTTAAGAGATATTGCAATACATATTGTGATATATTGACCGGAAGATTTCTGCCCAAGTGTGTACATCATTAATTCATAATAGCTCTCTGTGTGTGACATCGTCTTCCTGTAGCTGTTACACCATACTTTCAGGCTCCCCGTCCCCATTGTGTATGGCTGTATGCCAATGGTTTACAGATAAATGACATGATATAGAGCCTTAATGTAGAATGTGTAATTGAAGTACTGTATTGCAACAAAGTTTTGCGGACATAGTGATATATTTAATAGTATAACATGATTTTCATTATCAGCATTGTTTTCTTCAACAGAATGCACTTCAAAGCAGTATGTTATTATTGTTACTGTATCTGAGTGATTCATTCAGATCCAACTCAAATATAAACATGTGTTAACGTGAGCTATTGCAAAATGAAAACAAAAATATGATTTAAGTGGCCTACTTGAGCTTAAAATCTCATGTGACATCCAATATATTAGTAAGATTCTTGACTAGAATGTCATTCAACAGTCCTACAAAATTTATAAGACTTTGGTCTTTATGATAAATTGACAACATATGTCCTATTATAAAACAAAATGGTCATTCAGAGCCAGAGGTTCTACTAATAAGTCCATGCATAAGACTTATAAGTGGAATGCATAAGAAAAGCAAGATTTATGGATGTCACCTTCTCTACTGTGAATAGCACGAAGTTTCGGAGTGTACGCTTGCTCCTCCATGACTCGATGAAGGAGCAAGCATACACTCCGAAACGTCGTGTTATTCACAAAAAGAAGTTGACATCCATAAATCTTGCTTTTCTTAAAAGATTGGTCCATTTGAGGCCACTTAATTCCTCCAAAACGTCACATATGAAACCATTCATATCCACAAAACTTAAAGCATTTGGTTGAATATTTGGCACTTTTGGAGCCACTTATAAAGACACTTCCACTTGTAAATTGTAACATGTTACATGAAACCAAGTGAAATAAAGGCATATTTGGTACTTTTAGAGCACATTTTGTTGCTATGGCAATGAAGGGCAGATAATTCAAAGGGAGCTAATTCTGGCTGACCCAATATATTGCAGAATCTGAACCATATCGCGATAATCGTATCGCGAGATACTGTACCGGTATATACCGGCTTACCGGTAATATTGCACAGCCCTAATGCTTATCCAAAGTAACAGTTAGTCATCAACTTGGGTGTTGAATTCCAATGAAGTGTTGAATTATGTATCAGTGACAGTCTCACCTCCTGCATGATGCCAACAAACTCGGAGAAGGACCAGTTGAGCTGGTTCATCAGGGTGTCCAGGAACCGGGTGGACATGGCCTCCTCGTCCAGGAGTATCTTGGCCAGGATAGACTGATACACATACGAGGGGCACGGCTCTAGAAGGAAACACTAAATATAGACTGATACACATACAGGGGCACGGCTCCAAAAGGAAACACTAAATATATACTGATACACATACGAGGGGCACGGCTCTAGAAGGAAACACTAAATATAGACTGATACACATACGAGGGGCACGGCTCTAGAAGGAGACACTAAATATAGACTGATACACATACGAGGGGCATGGCTCTAGAAGGAAACACTAAATATAGACTGATACACATATGAGGGGCACGGCTCTAGAAGGAGACACTAAATATAGACTGATACACATACGAGGGGCACGGCTCTAGAAGGAGACACTAAATATAGACTGATACACATACGAGGGGCACGGCTCTAGAAGGATACACTAAATATAGACTGATACACATGATTTTGGCCTAACAAAGGGATACAACCTTGCATGGGGGGACATGAGTCAGCACACCAATTGAGTTCGATATATTATCACATTGTACTCACTTTGAAGACTGACGAAGCTGAACTCGGTTGGTTGTACTTTAGAAGGTACCAGATTGGGCAAGAAACGATATCGAAATGAAAATCCACAACCCTAGCGAAAATGAGAGGAATTGTTAAAACAATTATCACATACACCATGTCAAATATAAGAATTAACCAAGCATTAATACATCAAACAATCATCTCAATTATCATTACACTGATTACACTTGACCGTCTGAGGTGACTTTAATGATACTTACATATAACAGGAAAAAACATCACTTAAAAAATACATAGAAATGAATCATTCAACAGAAGGATCTCACCTTCCACAGTCGGACCAGTATCCAGTTTGTGTGTGCCCAAGATCTATTCTCATAAGGTGCTATAAGTGACTTGATAACTGAGGCCTGCCTAAAATTCAAAACAAAGAAATATAACAGTTTGTCATTGCTTGACAGAGTAAGTTTTCAGGCACCTTTGAACAATATTCTAGCAATATCATGGCCACCAGAAATGGGCTTCACACATTGTACCTATGAAGGGAACCTGGGTCTAGAGTGTGATGCTTCAGCCAGAAGGCTACAAACTGCCCCAGTCTCCAGGAAGGCAAAACATACTGGCTAGAGGCTAATATTCCTTGGATATCTTAAAGCAGAATATATCATTTTTAACCAAGTCTTCTATTCCTGTTTCATTATCCTATGCACCGGTTTACACAACTACTACCAAATGAATATTTTACACAAGGACTTGAACTGATGAAATAACTTCTTTGTGCTTTCTGTAAAGAACCAGTTTACAACACAGACTGGTTTAACACCACTTGGTTCAGAAACAATATGTCAGCTTGATGTAGAAGTTACCCCTTTGTGAAACCCACATGCACAGGGTTTGCTGATAAACCAAGGGACATATAAGAGCAGATCAGATCTGGGATTCAAAGCCACAATCATTCTGCTCAAGCACAGCTAAGGAACACAGCTGTGCAGACTGCTGCTTCACTTGTGCCCCAGATAATACGTAGCGACTGAGACATTACCTCTCCCATGGTAGAGACTCCAGCACCTCCAGGGTACGGGGGTAGCAGGTGAAGCAGGCCAGTGCTTGCACCAGGTTGTCCCTCAAGTCTGAAACACATCAACTCATGGTCAACCAGCCAGGAACTCCATACTATCATATTACCTAATTCCTCTTTCCCACCCAACCAGGCTATGTATATTACTGCATCTAACTGGTAACACTGTCCCATTGTTCATTCACTTTGTTAGTTTATTCATCCATCTACCCATCAGTCAGTCTGTGCACTCATATACACCCCCACCCACCCATCCATCCATCTATCAACCCACCCATCCATCCATCCATCCACCCACCCACCCATCCTCCCACTCATCCATCCATCCATCCATCCATCCACTCAAACATCCATCCATCCATCCATCCACTCAAACATCCATCCATCCACCCACCCATCCATCCATCCACTCAAACATCCATCCATCCATCCACCCGCCCATCCATCCATCCATCCATCCATCCATCCATCCACTCAAACATCCACCCACCCATCCATCATACATCAATCAACTTAATGAGTGAGTGAACATAGTCCCCCATTGCAAGAACGCTGTATCACAGAGCCTGTACAATGTTAGCAATACTGGAGCAGACAAACAGGTGGTTGATAGTGAGAGCTTCAACATAGCCTAAGTGTCTGAGGATATGTTCATAAACTAGATTACTGATAACAGTAGTTGGTATGCCCACTTGATCTTCCTTTCCACTGATGGGGACCCTTACATCCAAGATGTCTCAGTGAAAATACATTTTAAGCAACTTTCTCTTGCAGTGCCTAAGGACATCTGGAGACCTCCACTCAGTGTGTGACCCTCCTTGGTCCTAAACCAACTGAAACCCTGCATGTTGTTATCTGTTGTAATGTTACTGTCTTGGCTATCATGATCAACATCAACAGCTGGTGCTTTCATTCCTGTTTAAAGTGATATTCATTTTCATTAGCAGATTCAATGTTTATTATCAGCTTCTTACCATTGCTGACAATCCTGGAATCGGCAAAATGGCTCGTCAGAAAGTTGGCATACTTGACTAGAAGGTTATCATAACCTGAAACAAGCCATGTGAAAAATATCTTAACATCTTATCAACTTCACCAAAGTCTGTGTGGTGAAGCTGATCAAGCCTACAACTTGTATAAAGTCAGTGTATGCTCTCAAGCAATACTCCAGCACTAACAGACCAGTGGCCAACAGCATGTTTGTTGTATAATGCCACATTCAACAACATTCCACCTATATAATTGAATCTGGACCAAACAGCGACTGACAGCATTAACACTGATCTCCAGAAATGGGATAAGTGACATACATCAGCCAAGTCCATGAGGCTGACAACCTGACCTTGTAGTCTGACAACACGCACAGGAAGAATGAGCTCTTTCCTTGGAGACTAACAGGACAGCACCTGTCCAGACTACTGCAGTAATATGACACACAATCATCCAAGTCACACATTGGACAAACATGACTGATAGGAACCCAGGATGATACAGAATTGTCCACCATAAATCCCCAGACTTGTGAGAAGAATGAGTACTACATCTCTATGTTCCCTCAGTTACAAATATCACTCACCTTCAATTTGATCAAACTTTGTTGTCGGATGTAGGTAGTTTTTAAGTGCGTTGTAACTGTTGATACAGCTCTCTATGTAGAGTTCGGGAACAAACTGGAACAGCTGCTTGTATTTGGAAGCCTTCTCTATTGTTGTCAGGATAACCCTCAGCATCCAGGCAATGTCATTTTGCTTGGACTGGACGGAGGTAACAGAGTGATACATACAATGTGACGTAACATGAGTTACACGGGTTGATAGATAAATTCTGAGTTACAAATAGACTTAAAGACATCAAAATTTCTTTTTGTCTTTTTCAACCTAATCCCGCGTAAAAACCCTGCTTATCTCAGTTTTGAAGAAGTCCTTCTCTTGACTGTCCACAAAGACCTCAATAGCGTCTACAATATTACCATTCCTGTCAGAATGGGTTTGATCAGGCACATCTGTTGAATACAACGTAGTCTGAGTCATAATTTCATCCCTTAATTGGGCAACAGTGTAGCACAAGATGCTCATTTATTGTCTGGCCTTTTGGCAAGTAGTCTTCCAAGATGACACCCACTGCATTCAAAGAACAAGGATGCTATAACCTTTTCAACTGAAGGGATAGTCTTTGCCTTCAATGGTGGTGATGTTATCATATTCTTCTGCATCTTTGATTTCTGTTTGGATTCAAGTTTCTCCCATAGTTACACATTGTAGGAACCTTCAGTGTCAGCTTCAAGACATGCTGTGTGTGGAGAGTGTTTCATCGCATAAGAGAAGTATTTGAACGGTGTCGTGCCGGGATGGCTAAAATATATTTTTAAGATGTCCCGGAAAGGCTAAAATGTATATTTCGTATTTCCCGGGAGAGCTAATTTCCAAAAACGTAGGGGAGTACCGCCAAAGCTAAAGATACGGTGCCGGGAAGCATACTCCATGTCGGGAGTAGATAGATGTCTTTTCATAACATTGCTATAGTATTACTGTTGTCTGTACACTGGTTAAAAAATATTTTTATAAATTGCACATTTCGATGAGTTGGACAGTTCACTAAAGAAAACTGAATAGCCTGATCAGTTTTTCTTTGTTTCATAATCTAGAAGTAATTCTTGCCTTAACCATATTTCACTTAATCCAGTGTTTGACAAAATATTTTAACCTGATACACCCAATTTTTAACACCACGGGTCTCCACCTCCTCATACAAATACTCATAACAACACTGTAAAATGCTATTTTCAGACACAAGAAGCTTTCACCAATATTTAATAATACTATATCGCCTCTTAAATACGAGCGGATAACGGCCTAACTCGGCATAAACCATGGAATCACACGTTGATTTCTTAACTCCTAATAACCTTTTACAAAACTCAAAATGCAACCTTTCAATATTTAAGCCTTTATTATATCCCCATATCTCAGATGCATAAGATAGTATACTACCAACATAACAATCAAAGACAAATAAAAGAGATTCCGGGTTGAGAGACAGCGACCTGATATTACTGTAAATTAAAAAAGGGCCTTCCTACCCTGGTCAGACAACTGCAGCTGTGCCTTTGAGAATCGGTTATTATAATTAAAAACTATTCAGAAATATGTAAACGTATCGCCAACCTCAGGACACAACCATTATATATAACCAATGTTCTGACAATTTAACTTTACCAACTCTTCTGAAGACCATTATCTTTATTTTAGCAATATTTACTGTAAGTTCCCACCGTCTGGAATAAGCTGACAACGAATTCAACTGTTTGCAACCTTTCAACAGATTCAGAAAATATTACAACATCATCAGCATACATAAGCAGAAACATATTTAAAGATTTAAACTCGTATGGTATACATTTATCTTTTAGGAAAGACTCCTCAAAATGAACTATCTAATGTCGAATTAAAGAATATGTGTAATGAAGAATAGACGTGAAAATGTGTAAATAACTTTATTTATATTTTTAGATGTGCCCAAATTAAAGAGCGTCCCCGTTAATCCTGTTTTCTTTGTAATTTGTCAGAGCCTCCAAGTGAGACGCGCCGTGTTCATTCAGCCATAACACTGCATTGCAAGTACCGCGAAGGCTACGCTCATTGAACCGAGAAGCGTCACGAGTTTAGCCTTCCTGGCCATGAACCATTTGAACACACTGAACTGATACTTTCTTCAGGGCCATACTTGGAAAGTACTCTCTATTGGGAAATGCCTCTCAACTACCAACGTAACACTCAGTCATAACCATATTGTGGATTTTCATTTCATTTTCGGCCTTCTTGGATGGGGCTCATCTTCCTGACAAGCTTAAATTCTGTTGCTCACAAATGTGACAAAAGGAAGCGGCATCTTTCTGCAGAGTGACACTGACATCTTTATGGAGAGGTTTACTTGCAAGCACTTCATCACGGCATGTTTCTCAATTTTGTCCATTTTCCAAAGGTAATTCACAAAAAGTGGCTCAAGTAAATGCCGTGGCTCAAGTGTAGAGACACACCTCTATGACAGCATCTAATGTCCACAACAAAACATTTCACTAGTAAGCAATTCCTTCCAGACGAGGCTCAAAACCTTTCAATCAACCAATATATATTGAGTGGTCTGTAAGGACATCAGTGCTCTACTGATTGATACAGTCATGTACATTGCTCAACCATGAGTCTCACAGTGTACCTGCCCAATGTACACCACTACAGACACATGTAATGTACAATACTCCGTCATGTCCTACCTTAGAGTATATAACAGCAATAACCCAACCCATCTGGCGAGACTGTTCAGTGATCTTCTCCAGGAAAACCTTTTTGGCCTGTTCCAGGTCCTCACGGATGTCATTTGTCTATGTTGGGAAAAACACACAGAAAAGTTCACGTAATAATACCATACACATTGATGCAAAACAATATGACCATCCTTCAATGACTCTCTAGCCTGGAGATCTTTAGACAATGGAATAATGTCAGTATGTTGCCTGAGAAGGCAGTAAAGGTAATATTGGCAACAATCATTAACTGCAAATGCACAATGACACTTACCAATGCTTTGAACATTGCTCCCGTTACATCTTAGCCTGTCAACTGAATGCAAGTGGAAAGGTCAAAGTGACACAGGCCTCAAGACAGGCAAGGGTACGGTGCTGACAACACACTCAGTCCTCTCCACCCCAACCCCCCTAACCCCATCCCCCTACCCTCAAAAACAAAATGGGGTCAAAATTGAATTCTGTTATGTGCAAGGGCTGCAACTTTGCACAGCCAACTTTACACATGTGCCATCTCTACCCACCACAAGCCTCAGAAATACACTATGACAGGGATATTTTCTGATCTATTATTTACATCACTTTGAGTGTTGACTCCAGGTAATAATAATATCAAGTCATATCATTGCACAGAAGCCTCATATGAAAGACAAGTAGGTTGCATAGACTGACAGTGAAGTGAATGAGGGGTAACTGTCATCATGAATAGTATTTCAAGTACATGGTGCTGACAGAACAAAGGTCATCCACAGATCATAACACAGGTTTCACACGGCGAACACTGCTAACTAAGGGAAGCAACTGCACAGAAAATTGTAGGATCTAAGAGCAGTAGCCAACCAATGCCCACATTCATGTTGAAGATGACTACACACCTCTGTGGAGCACCTGTTGATTTTCTCCTCTGTATCCTGCAGGGCAAACACGAAGTCCCTCATGTTGTCTCTCAGTGCACACATCTGAAATACATACATAGAATGATAGATTCAAACAAAACACATTGACCAAAAACCCATGAAACAAACAGTGTCCCATCACTAGTTGGACCCAATAGTCCATGAAACAAAGTGCTACACGTAGCCAGACAGCCCAACTTGTAATGCAGTACATTCTAGTCTTAATCCATAATTTCACCAAGTAATGGATTCACTGATGTCATGGAGACAGTTTGAACCAGCCATGGCCTACCTTGCCGAGCTGCTTGTGAGCTGCTATGTGGTACAGGATGATGAGGCTATCCAGCAGCTTCATCAGGGAGTTTCCACTGGGCATCTCGGGCTCGGGGTACACCTCCGTAGTCACAGCTGCAACCAACAACTCTGCTTTAGTCCACCACCAATTGTGATCCTCTAGTAATATTACAGCCATATTATTCAGCAGAAAATTTGGTCAGGCTCAAATAGAGGTTGTTGCACATTACATTACATTAATCCACAACTGTGAAGTTCAGGAGTAGTATATCTGGGCAAGATATAGATTCCAATATAGATATACACCAGTACGGTGTGAAACGACACCTGAGGGAAGCAGTACTGTATCACCACGTACAGACACAATCACTCTGCTCCTACTCTGCTCACCTGCTGCTGACTCCTTGGACTTCTTCTCTGTTCGAACAACTTTTCCATCATCAGAAACTGATATACCCTGAGCTTTATTTACCTCAGCTGAAAACAAAACAACACAAAAACAACATTGAATAACTGTGTGATTTTAACACCAACATTCATTTCACCCTAATACACCTCTTCTAATTACTAAACACCCTGTCTAAATTTTACACCACTTTGTAAGTGTATGCCACAAATTTACTGGGCAGTCCACATATTCCTGTGTATGTTACATATTCTTTTACAGAGCAAAGCAGCATATTGATATAAAAAACAATTAACATCTTTGTGAATTATTCAAATCCACTCAACATCCCTGATGCCTTGCACATTTACTGATTGCTTGAAACATAGAGCCGATGACATACCACCAAGAGTTCTGTTCAGATGTGACATCAGACCTCCACACCTCTGGAAATCATAATATTCTCGAGTATCCACCCAAAATTCTTGAACTGGAACAAAGGCACCTGAAAATACATCATTTCACTGAAAGACTGGCAAACAACAAAAAGTAACTTACATCCCTTCCCTAAAAAATATCTGCTTAAGTTCATGGAGAGTACATCACTGTAGTTATTTCACACAAGAAACATTTGATCCTCAAGCTTGTGAGTACTAGTGACATTATGACTGATGGCAGAACCAGATGATCCCTCTATTCTCTAAATCCTATCAAATTCAATACATTCCAATGAGAACAATGATGGTAGAGTTACTTTCAATACAGAGAGCTTTCCATGCCATACAATGTTACTTGTAACTATTTCAAATCATTAAACCATAATTCAATAACAAAAGAGCAAAATGTTCCAACAATTGCAGATGTATGATGCTGAGCTTGTTTCACAGCACCATGAGCAGCATCTGACACTGTCAGGGTGTGATGTCACACTATCAACCCTATCTTCAACCCTCACCATACAATCCATTCAGCGGACTCTAAAACAAGAATAGGGTTATTGATCTACATTTAATCCTGAAATTCCAACATGTTTGTATGGTGAGTAATAACTCAAGTGTCCACAAAGTTTCACCAAAAATTAGAAACAGTTTATAGTACCATTCTTGGAGAATTATTCTGTCACCCCCTCTCTCATATGAACACAAGAATTCAAAATGCAAAAAGCATTGGTTCAGCATATAAATGTGTAACGTATGTTATATTTGGGATTACACTTACTTAGTGAAGTACAGATTCTAGTACTCTTGGGTTGAGTCCCACCTGGGATTCGAACCCACACCCTCAGAGTCAGGCACCTAATCGCCAGCACACAAAGTCAACCGTCTAACCCGCTCAGCCACCGCAACTTCCACAAGTCAGAGAAGTCCCCAAAGTCCCCAGTCTAAACTACCAGTTGTCCAACTTCCATTTGTGGAAGTTGCGGTGGCTGAGCGGGTTAGGCAGCTGACCTTGTGTGCTGGCAGGTGTTAAACCATGCCATATCTCCCTTCTTCAGTATTCAGATGCAACATTACTTGTCCAACAGTTCCTCAACACATACGCTGTGCAGTTCCCCAACAAATTACGAACAAGTGAGGTGTGATCCTCCATGAACTCTGCAGTTCCCCAACATACCAGGTGTGTTCCTACCTGAGCTATGTACAAATCTGCCTGTGTCCTCCTTCTGAAAGAGGTCCCAGTAGTAGCGCAGGGCTTGGATGAGTCGATGGTAGAAGCACAGAGACACCGGCAGGGGACATGTGTGGATCTGGTGCACCTGTTCAAGTAAGGAAACCAGATCAAGAAGAAAAGGCCAACATGTTATCATAGTACGATATGACTTGACTGCTGACTACAACCGTTGAAATACTAGTCAGCGATCAATCTGACCAAAGCTGAAATGATTCACTGATGTACATGTAAATAACAGTACATGATTTCCATCAATACATATGGTTTCAAAATTATTAAAATCTAAATATTTTAGATATTTACCTTACCTTACCTCATGGTAATGTGCATATTACCTTTGCTCATCCAATACAAAGATTGGAAATGTGATCGATAAGTGTCCTTGCTGAATGCTATCATGAAAATGGTGACGTGTCGATCTTGTCCGGCGAGAGGAAGCACGCCCCCAAATCCCGTCATGTTACAACGAGAACACGTCACTTTATCCGAATCCTGAAATCTGAGCGGAGTCCAGAGCGGGGAGGAGATGATCCATCTTCAGGAGGGCGTAAGATGCCATGAGGTAAGGTAAGTATTTAAATATCTAAAATATTTAGATTTTAATAAATTTTTAACTTACCTTACCTCATGGTAATGTGCATGTTGATCCGACAGAAAGGCAAGAGGGTCGGACACCGGTGAGGACCAGCCAAAACTATCAGACCAAAACAGCACAACCGGGGACGTGGAAACTGTCTTGTTGTTGAACTGGAATCGTTGAAACAAGAACAGTAAACCACCGATAGAACCCCTGATAAGGAAAACACAACACGAGAGAACGTGGGTTAACCTTAAAATTATCACTAAGATGATTAGACAAAAGAATAACCCCCCAATGACAAGAGGGCTCTGTCAGTTGCTGAGCTACCACGAGGGGCCAAAGAATTGAAGCCCCTGTACATCCTGGACTGCCAGATCCCGGAGATAATGGCTGGCGAAGACTGTGTTAGGCCTCCAAAAGCAACCTTCCATAAGCAACCTTCCTGGGGACCAAGCAGTTTCTGTGCAGAGCCATGGTGGACGCTAAGGCCCGGATCTCGTGCAGGTTGTTGGCAGTTGGGTGAGGCAAACCAGCGGAGTCGTAAGCTGCGAGGATAGGCAAGCAAAGCCACAAAGCGATGGTATTTCTGTTGACCTCACCGTTCGAAGAAGAAAACGAAATAAAAAGGTCTTTCCTGGTACGTCTCCTGACTGCTGACTGCTTGATGTACTCTTTAAGAGCCCTGACGGGACACAACGCAGTCATCACTGCCCACTATAGAAGACAAAGGAGGGATGACAAACATACGATCCGGTTGACCAAGCAACTGGTTCTTGGCAATGAAGTTCCAGAGAAGACCCAAATGGGCGGAACCGTGACGAGTCTGTTCAAACCTAATCATGGTGACATCTATGGCGTGAAGCTCACTAACTCTGGCCGCAGTACCTTCCTATCAGACTTGACAGCCAGCACTGAATTAAGGGCTGCCAGATAAGTAGAAATCGTACCACTCTTCATATGGCGAGAGTTGCATAGGTACAGGAGGAATTCCGCAATAAATTGAGGACAAGCTTTAACCGGATTCTTAGAGCGATCAGCTAAAAATTTCTCAAATGCAGACCATTTGTCATCGTACAAGCTGTGGGTGGACATTCTATGAGCGCGGGCGATGATCGTAGCCACACCAGCTGAATAACCCTTGGATTTGAGAGCTTTCTGAACATGACCCAAGTGCATAAATGAAACCTGTCCGGATCTGGGTGCAACAGGCGGCTGTGAGGATGCCGTAGAAGGTGAGGCCACTGTGGTAGCGATTGAGGATCTCCTTAGACGAGTCGACGTAGTTCGGGGAACCAGGTTCTCGCCGGCCACCAAGGCGCAACCAAAAGCACAGTCATCTGCTTGGGTCTCCTTGAGCTTGGCTACGACCTTGGGAAGAAGAACTGGAGGAGGAAACGCGTAGGCGTCTAGACCCTTCCATGAGAGGGACATGATCAGGAAGAGGAGACACGTAGACCGGAAGTTGATGGTTGTGCTTCGTTGCAAAGAGGTCCACTAACGGTCTGTGAAGGAGGTGACAAACCAGATCGAAAGCTTCCGGATGAAGCATCCACTCTGTTAGGGATGGCTTGTCTGGTCGGGACAGAGCGTCTGCCTAGTCGTTCCTGCAACCCGGAATGTGATGAGCTCTGATCTGGATGTTGTTGTCTTCCAAAAGGCAAAACAAACGAAACGTCTGATTCAAGAGAAGACCCGAGCTGGTTGTTCCCTGGTTTGCGGATCAACCAGACCACTGTCGAGTTGTCCGACGCCACCAAGAGCTTAGAACCCCGTAGTGAATGAATCCAGTGCTGAATGGCTAAGATGACAGCCTGAACCTCTAGGTTGTTGCTGTGCCAACCGGCCTGTGCGGTTGACCACAGCCCTGCCGCTGTCTGAGAGTCCAGGTGAGCGCCCCAACCCTGCAGAGAGGCGTCCACAAACAGTTTGCGGTTGTGTGTGAATTCGGTCAAAGAGACACCACCGCAGACGTTCGACTCGATTGTCCACCACTGAAGAAAGGGATGAAGATGAAGGGGCAGTGGAAACCGCGACCTGAGGTCGTCTAAGAGGATGAAAGGCGAGAGAAACCGTTGAAGCGGTCTGAGCATTAATCTCCCTCTGGTGGTAAGAGCCTGAGCCGACGTCAACAGACCTAGTAGGGACTGCCATTCCCTGAGTGTAAGCGGGTGTGACAAACCCCGCCGAGCAAGACTGAGGATACTTTGCCATCTGTCCGGTGGAACCCGCAGAAGGTCTTGATCTGTCAGGAACAAACCCCCTATGAAAAACAACAGCTCTAGGTGGGGCTTCTTGAGGTTGACAATCCAACCGAGTTGGTGGAAAAGCTTGATTGTAAAGTCCCTCTGTCTGCGTAGCAGCCGGCACTCCTTGTGACTCATGAGAGAGTCATCTATGTATGGGTCGAACTCTATCCCCCGAAGATGAAGATACCGGGAAATGGGTGCTGTAATTCGAGTGAAAAGCCACGGGGCCATAGAGATGCCAAACAGCAGGACCTTCCACTGGTAATGGTGACCGTCGAAAATGAACCCCAGAAACTTCCGGTGAGGTTCGCAAATGGGAACATGTAGGCATGCGTCTTGAAGATCCAGACTGACCAACCAATCCTTGGGGGACAGTTTGGTTCGTAGCTGGATCAGAGATACCATCCGAAAATGTGGCGGCTCCGGAAGGTAAAGTTTGTTGAACACCACCATATTGTGTATCATCCTCATCTTCTGAGAATTCTTTTTGGGTACTAAGAAGATTGGAGAGTAAAACCCTGGGGAGTTGCTGGGCTCTAGTACTTCTAGTAGTTCTATGGCCTTCTTGTCCAACAACGCCTGAATGTTGGTCAACAGGTGCTGGTGTTGAACGATGGAATATTCGTGAGACCGGGGCGAGGTGGTAAAAAGGCGGCGACATGGCTATTGGCAACTTGTAGCCTGTCTTGAGAAATTGGTGACAAAGGGGGTCTCCTAGGATTGTCCAGTTGGGCCAGAAGACCCCGAGTCTCCCGCCTACAGGTATATCGCGTATCAGCGGTGCTTGTACTTTGGTTTGCCGGTCTTGCCCAAGTCCTTTTGGTTACCGGCGGAACGATGTTGGAAGTCGTTGGGACGTCCCCTCCCCCACGAACCGACGTCCTCCTGGATTGGTAAAGGTTGGTGGTCCTGGTAGCTGGCGCTGACAAAGTGGCGAAGTGACGAAAAGATTGGAGCGCAATGTCAGTTTTGGTCAAGAGGGCATGCTCTGAAAAGACATCCGAGATCTTATCTGCGAATAAGGTGGGAGCCGCAAATTGGGGCACGCATCAGTCTTTTCTTGAATTCCTCCTGCCAGGTACAGGGAGCGAGTAACCCAGTCCTCCTAGTCACAGTGGTGGTAGCTAAGGCCGAACGAACGTGATCCACCAGATCAGACAGAACTCTAGCCTGCCATCTAAACATAGTGGTAAGATGATCTAAGCGGGAAGGGTTATCCTCCATATGATCTTGAGACATGGCCTCCGTGGCCGAAGCAAGCACAGAGAGGGGCTACAAGGTTCGACGGAGTTCCGTATCAATCGCAAAAAAACTTGGCATCTGGGACCTTGTATTGAGCTTGAGAAGCATCCGACAATCGTTTGGCCGCTTCATCTTGTGTAGCGCCAAACTCCACAAAGTCTAAAGAATGCACCTTGTAATCCTGACGGCGATGTTTAGCAAGCTTGATGGACGGATTGAGAGATAACTTTTGGAATTCTTCATCAAGTGAAGCAATGGCATCAGCAACCATGGGATGCGGTGGCAGAAGGAGCTCTGGTTCATCCCAAATGGAGGTAGCATGAGGAATATCCGACCCTGGAGACGGGCATGTGACAAGTCTGTCAGCTATCCAGGCGTAAACACTCTCCATGCCCAAGTTAGTCTGACCCTGGTTGTCTTCTTCCTCGTAATCTGGAACAAACTAAGCCTCCGACACAAGAGACGAGGAATCCCGCGACCTAAACAAAGGTGATCGGGATCACGAACGTCGATGAAGAGGTGAAAGGTGGGCACCTAGGGGAGCGCCGTGGTGAACGCCGAGGAGAGCGCCGTGGTGAACACCGAGGTGAGCGCTGTGAAACTAAACGACAACAGAGAGCACACACAGGTAGCTCTGCATGTATGTGCCACGCCTAGCGACCGCCGCCACTACTGGCAAGCATGTGAAAAACCTCTACGAAGAAAAACACACAAAATATGACACAAAGAAAGAGAACAAGATACATACAATGGTCAAGCAGGGACAAATACAACCCAGGCTGACCAAAGAGGTACCTAATTCTGCCGACGCGAAGCTGGATAAACAACGCGAGGCAAAACAAAGCAAAACAACACACCGCGAAGACCGTACAGTGAGAAAAAAAACAGCCAACGGTGAGTAGCTTTTCGTTATATCATAATAGAAGGATACAATAGGAAAACCTTACCGTAGCAAAACACAAAGAAACAGTAAGAAAAGAAACAGAAATATCGTATACACGTCCAACTGGCTGTGCGATAAAGGATAAAGTGACGTGTTCTCGTTGTCACATGACGGGATTGGGGGGTGTGCTTCCGCTCACCGGACAAGATCGACACGTCACCAGTTTCATGATAGCATTCAACAAGGATACTTATCGATCACGTTTCCAATCTTTGTATTGGATGAGCAAAGGTAATATGCACATTACCATGAGGTAAGGTAAGTTAAAAATTTCATAAATTTTTTCTGCACTTTCCTCTTTCTGAGTGAGTGAAAGAGTGAGTTTGGTTTTACGCCGCTTTTGGCAATATTCCAGCAATATCACAGCGGGGACACCAGAAATGGGCTTCACACATAGTGCCCATGTGGGGAATTGAACCCGGGTCTTCAGCGTGACAAGCAAACGCCTTGACCACTTGGCTACACCACCGCCCCAGAACTTTCTGAAATACTGGAACCAATTAATAACATGAACTTGTGGCGTTCATAAATGATTACAAAAAATGTTGATTGATCAGCACATAAGATAAAGTGAGAGGCAAAATTTTCATTCAACAAGAAGACAAAGTCATCAATTATCCCCCGCAATGGCAAAATACTCTTCATGATTATGTCTACGAGTTATGATTTTGTCAAATATTTAGGTGTGTATATAGAAAAGTGGAAGGAGAGTATTGAAAGGTTTTGAAAGTTCTGCTCCAGAAACGCCATGGAAACGCCAAAAATATTTTATTCAGAATTTCAAAACTACCAAAAGGCACCAGTACACCACCAGATCTATCTATGTGCCAAGTTTGGTGAAGACATATTGAACGGTTTTAGAGTTCTGCTCCGGAAAAGAGCACTACCACCAATTTCAGTCAAAGTCGAACTTGTTGCCATGGAAACGCCAAAAATATTTAATTCAGAATTCCAAAACTACCAAAAGGCACCATTACACCACCAAACCAATCTATGTGCCAAGTTTGGTGAAGAAACATTGAACGGTTTTAGAGTTCTGCTCCGGAAAAGTGCACTACCACTAATTTCAGTATTAGTCAAACTTGTTGCCATGGAAATGACAAAAATATTTTATTCAGAATTCCAAAACTACCAAAAGGCACCAGTACACCACCAGATCTATCTATGTGCCAAGTTTGGTGAAGAAATAGTGAATGGTCTTAGAGTTCAGCTCCGGAAAAGAGCACTACCACAATTTCAGGCTAAGTCAAACTTGTTGCCATGGAAACGCCAAAAATATTTTATTCAGAATTCCAAAACTACCAAAAGGCACCAGTACACCACTAGATCTATCTATGTGCCAAGTTTGGTGATGAAATAGTGAACAGTTTTAGAGTTCTGCTCCGGAAAAGAGCACTACCACCAATTTCAGTCAAAGTCGACCTTTTTGCCATGGAAACGCCAAAAATATTTAATTCAGAATTCCAAAACTACCAAAAGGCACCAGTACACCACCAGATCCATGTATGTGCTAAGTTTGGGGAAGAAATATTGAACGGTTTTAGAGTTCTGCTCCGGAAAAGACAAATGTGCACGGACGGACGGACGGACGGACGCTTATCGGAGGAGTCCATTTTAATACCCCTCGCAAAACGCGTTGCGGGGGATAAAAAACATATAAACGAAAAGGCTCACTCTTGTGTAGGCACTGTTTTCCCTCAGAAATGCCCGCAACTTCTCCATGAAGATATCTCGTGTGGTTTTACCCTGAAAATATCAGGTAAGTCATGGAGCAAACCATTCCATTTGTAGCCAGATACAGGTCACTACCATGTATTGAAAACCTGTGTTACTTTATCTTTTTATCATCATTAAATATTTAATGTAAACATTTAAGGGTGACCGTATTCCAAGAAATAACTTACATCTTTGGGATCATTCCAGATTAGAAGTACTTTCAGCATCTCCACTTGGATATCTTCAACCTCTATAAGAACCAAAGGAATAATAGTTATGTGCCAGTGAAATAATCAATCATGATTCTGCTGTAATGGTATTGAACTATTTCTGTTTAAGTCAAAAGTGGGCTGTGGTGTGCTAGTTACTGCATTTAGACTGGAGAAAAGATAAATCTGGATGTTTCTAGAACTGAAAGACTAAACCAACAAGGAATACAACCTTCCAGTTGCTATTTGACCACCTATAGAAGCAGAACACAACCACTCATATTATATCACCTATAGAAGCACAATATAACCAATCATATTATATCACCTATAGTAGCAGAACATAACCACTCATATTATATCACCTATAGAAGCACAATATATCCACTCATATCATATCACCTATAGAAGCACAATATAATCACTCATATTATATCACCTATAGAAGCACAATATAACCACTCATATTATATCACCTATAGAAGCACAATATAACCACTCATATTATATCACCTATAGAAGCACAATATAACCACTCATATTATATCACCTATAGAAGCAGAACACAACCACTCATATTATATCACCTATAGAAGCAGAACACAACCACTCATATTATATCACCTATAGAAGCAGAACAACCACTCATATTATATCACCTATAGAAGCACAATATAACACTCATATTATATCACCTATAGAAGCACAATATATAACCACTCATATTATATCACCTATAGAAGCACAATATAACCACTCATATTATATCACCTATAGAAGCACAATGAACCACTCATATTATATCACCTATAGAAGCACAATATAACCACTCATATTATATCACCTATAGAAGCAGAACACAACCACTCATATTATATCACCTATAGAAGCACAATATAACCACTCATATTATATCACCTATAGAAGCAGAATATAACCACTCATATTATATCACCTATAGAAGCACAATATAACCACTCATATTATATCACCTATAGAAGCAAATATAACATATTATATCACCTATAGAACAATAAACCACTCATATTATATCACCTATAGAAGCAGAACACAACCACTCATATTATATCACCTATAGAAGCAGAACAGATTATATCACCTATAGAAGCAGAACATAACCACTATTATATCACCTATAGAAGCACAATAACATAACCACTCATATTATATCACCTATAGAGAGCAGAATATAACCACTCATATTATATCACCTATAGAAGCACAATATAACCACTCATATTATATCACCTATAGAAGCAGAACATAACCACTCATATTATATCACCTATAGAAGCAGAATTATAACCACTCATATTATATCACCTATAGAAGCAGAACACAACCACTCATATTATATCACCTATAGAAGCACAATATAACCACTCATATTATATCACCTATAGAAGCACAATATAACCACTCATATTATATCACCTATAGAAGCACAACATAACCACTCATATTATATCACCTATAGAAGCAGAACATAACCACTCATATTATATCACCTATAGAAGCACAATATAACCACTCATATTATATCACCTATATTATATCACCTATAGAAGCACAATATAACCACTCATATTATATCACCTATAGAAGCACAATATAACCACTCATATTATATCACCTATAGAAGCACAATATAACCACTCATATTATATCACCTATAGAAGCAGAACATAACCACTCATATTATATCACCTATAGAAGCAGAACACAACCACTCATATTATATCACCTATAGAAGCAGAACATAACCACTCATATTATATCACCTATAGAAGCACAATATAACCACTCATATTATATCACCTATAGAAGCAGAACATAACCACTCATATTATATCACCTATAGAAGCAGAACACAACCACTCATATTATATCACCTATAGAAGCAGAACATAACCACTCATATTATATCACCTATAGAAGCACAATATAACCACTCATATTATATCACCTATAGAAGCAGAACACAACCACTCATATTATATCACCTATAGAAGCAGAACACAACCACTCATATTATATCACCTATAGAAGCAGAACATAACCACTCATATTATATCACCTATAGAAGCACAATATAACCACTCATATTATATCACCTATAGAAGCACAATATAACCAATCATATTATATCACCTGTAGAAGCAGAACACAACCACTCATATTATATCACCTATAGAAGCAGAACATAACCACTCATATTATATCACCTATAGAAGCAGAACACAACCCTTCATATTATATCACCTATAGAAGCACAATATAACCACTCATATTATATCACCTATAGAAGCACAATATAATCACTCATATTATATCACCTATAGAAGCACAATATAACCACTCATATTATATCACCTATAGAAGCAGAACACAACCACTCATATTATATCACCTATAGAAGCAGAACACAACCACTCATATTATATCACCTATAGAAGCAGAACATAACCACTCATATTATATCACCTATAGAAGCACAATATATCCACTCATATTATATCACCTATAGAAGCAGAACATAACCACTCATATTATATCACCTATAGAAGCACAATATAACCACTCATATTATATCACCTATAGAAGCAGAACACAACCACTCATATTATATCACCTATAGAAGCAGAACACAACCACTCATATTATATCACCTATAGAAGCAGAACACAACCACTCATATTATATCACCTATAGAAGCACAATATATCCACTCATATTATATCACCTATAGAAGCACAATATAACCACTCATATTATATCACCTATAGAAGCAGAACACAACCACTCATATTATATCACCTATAGAAGCAGAACATAACCACTCATATTATATCACCTATAGAAGCACAATATAACCACTCATATTATATCACCTATAGAAGCACAATATAACCACTCATATTATATCACCTATAGAAGCACAATATAACCACTCATATTATATCACCTATAGAAGCACAATATAACCACTCATATTATATCACCTATAGAAGCAGAACATAACCACTCATATTATATCACCTATAAAAGCAGAACACAACCACTCATATTATATCACCTATAGAAGCAGAACATAACCACTCATATTATATCACCTATAGAAGCACAATATAACCACTCATATTATATCACCTATAGAAGCAGAACATAACCACTCATATTATATCACCTATAAAAGCAGAACACAACCACTCATATTATATCACCTATAGAAGCAGAACATAACCACTCATATTATATCACCTATAGAAGCAGAACACAACCACTCATATTATATCACCTATAGAAGCAGAACATAACCACTCATATTATATCACCTATAGAAGCACAATATAACCACTCATATTATATCACCTATAGAAGCAGAACACAACCACTCATATTATATCACCTATAGAAGCACAATATAACCACTCATATTATATCACCTATAGAAGCAGAACATAACCACTCATATTATATCACCTATAGAAGCACAATATAACCACTCATATTATATCACCTATAGAAGCAGAACACAACCACTCATATTATATCACCTATAGAAGCAGAACATAACCACTCATATTATATCACCTATAGAAGCAGAACACAACCACTCATATTATATCACGTATAGAAGCAGAACATAACCACTCATATTATATCACCTATAGAAGCACAATATAACCACTCATATTATATCACCTATAGAAGCAGAACACAACCACTCATATTATATCACCTATAGAAGCACAATATAACCACTCATATTATATCACCTATAGAAGCAGAACACAACCACTCATATTATATCACCTATAGAAGCACAATATATCCACTCATATTATATCACCTATAGTAGCAGAACATAACCACTCATATTATATCACCTATAGAAGCACAATATAACCACTCATATTATATCACCTATAGAAGCACAATATAATCACTCATATCACCTATAAAAGCAGAACATAACCACTCATATTATATCACCTATAGAAGCAGAACACAACCACTCATATTATATCACCTATAGAAGCAGAACATAACCACTCATATTATATCACCTATAGAAGCACAATATAACCACTCATATTATATCACCTATAGAAGCAGAACACAACCACTCATATTATATCACCTATAGAAGCACAATATACCGTATACCGGGAAATTTTCGAGGTATCTAATTTTCGAGGTTTTCGAGGTTAGAAACGCAACCTCGAAAATATTATATCCACGAATTTTTCCGAACTTCGTACCTTTGGGCTAGATTTCCTATCGATAAGCATTTCAACTGCTGGCAAACAATGACTTCCTGACATGCGCATTAACTCTGTAATGCCTGTCAACAACCACGCTATTAGACTCATTTTGTCTCATCAAAATGTAACTACATCGAGTGAAACAAACTTTTATTCGTATGATGGCACGCTTGAGTCAAGCTACTTACATGTATAAACTATCGTGAAAACAAAAGAGTTCAACCTTCTTAGCTTTCTACAACAACATAGTTTCAGCAGAGACCCATGCATACATGCTTATAATTAGTTGTTAAGAAAACAATATCGCCTGAGAAAAAATGGCGTCATGTTTGAACTCTGCCGACAGAGTGTTTAAGTGGGCCATTTATCATAACAAAGGATCAAACGCTTGTTTTCATTACTATTATTGCTGTCATGGACTGGTATACCAGTTGTTATAACAGTCAGACAGCAGTTATCACTGGCTACTGGGAGTTTTGCCGATAGCTCAGTGAGAATTGGTCCGTTAAGTGATGTTTCTGGCCACTTTCTTCTAACCTCGAAATTAACATTGTCCCCAAACCTCGAAATTTAAATCACCTCGAAAGCTCTGGGGGTCTCAAACCTCGAAATTTTAATACCTTGAAAATTTCCCGGTATACGGTAACCACTCATATTATATCACCTATAGAAGCAGAACATAACCACTCATATTATATCACCTATAGAAGCACAATATATCCACTCATATTATATCACCTATAGAAGCACAATATATCCACTCATATTATATCACCTATAGAAGCAGAACATAACCACTCATATTATATCACCTATAGAAGCACAATATATCCACTCATATTATATCACCTATAGAAGCACAATATATCCACTCATATTATATCACCTATAGAAGCAGAACATAACCACTCATATTATATCACCTATAGAAGCAGAACATAACCACTCATATTATATCACCTATAAAAGCACAATATAACCACTCATATTATATCACCTATAGAAGCAGAACACAACCACTCATATTATATCACACACTGCCATTGTAACTGTGCAACTACTCAATTTCAATTGCCAATCTATTTTGTATTGCTACTGAAATTCCTTTGCAGTAATTTGAGCTGATTTGTAAATTTTACATATTTCAAACTCTTTTATATACCGATTTCTTTTTAGCTCAAAGTTTCAACTAGGAAAGTCGGCACATGTTAAAATTCAATATCTAATTAACCAAACTGCTAAGAATTCAGAACTACATATTTTGAGGTGAGTTCATGAACTGGACCCTTCTTGTATGGGGAGCTCAATGCCACAATACAAGTACAATCATGGTCCTACCACTTCAAAATGGGCGTGGAACTTATCTTGAATATTTTATCTGACACTAGTTCAGAATTCACAATTAACTTATAAAATGTCTTGATTCAGACATAGAAGCCAATGTGGCCGGAGGGACATTTCACCTTCAATTTGTTTCCGGAGTTGTTCACAGGATGCCAGGTAGTCTTTCTTCTTTCGGAGAACCTCAGGAGGTTCCACAGGAACAGGGTCATCTTCTTCCTGAAATTGTTGGGGTTTATTTACACCACAATGACCAGCATTCCAGCTATATTCCAGTAGCCTGTAATACATCATCATATCTGGCCCAGGTTAAACTCTGACATGTGATGGAGCAGCATCCTCTGTCTCAGCTTACAATGAGGGAAATGTCTGGTTAATTAATAATATCTGACCCCTTGAATCCAAACCAGGGTCCTTCTAACCTTATTGATATCTGTTCATGCTTACAGGCTGTGAAAACTGATATGAACACAACTTGCCTTGGTCTGATACTCCCAGTACACTATGGGTACCATCTCCGCCAAGCCTCCGTCGTCAGGGGGCTTGATGTGTAGAAAGATTGGGAACTTTACTTTGTCAAATGTGCGCTAGAGTTAAGGATTAAAAAAGAACAAGAGAAAGATTCAGTGTTGAACTGAAATGTTAAGATACTGTAATAAAGCATGCTGTGATGTTTCTGTTGACAGGAACAGAACGTTAAAAATTCACAATACCAACTGACAATAGCAATCCATGTATTCATGACAGGTTTCTTTTAAAATTGTGGAAACCACAATGTATTCTTAATTTCTAGAACTTTAGTACATTTTTATAGCAATGATTGGAAAATACAAACTTAATAAAGATTATCGAAGGAACTTCAGCAAACATTTTTCACTATTTCTTAGAATTTATCAAATCCTCTTCCACAAAGGGATCTGATTCAGTTGACTAAAACATACAGAAAATGACATAGGACAAAAGGATATAGGACATTGGCCAGCAGATGCTTTCTTGTCCGTCCATGTTGTAATATTGCAAGGGTGAGGTTCAGATACAGCTTCTGAAACCAAGAAAAGAGGCAACTGTTGTTCACACACACAAACATCATCACACAGAAACAGCTTGGAGCCACCATATGCATATGAATGGTTTCATACAAACAGTGTTCACTGCATAACCCTGGTCACTGGGAGATAAACACAGCACCACATCACTTATAACTCCTTTAGTTCCTTCATGCAGTATCTAAGGCGACCCACCTAAATCAGGAGTAGTTCACTTAATTAGCCAAAGCTTTACCTCAGGACCACGAGGGCCATCACAGTTGAGGAGTGCTTGTTAACAGCTGATTAGCACTTCACTGACACGCATGCACAATATTGTAAAAATGAAAACATACCATTGCGCATACATGTTACTAACGTACACTTTCCACATTCATCTTTTACCAAAGCTACAACCCCCATTGTTTATCAACCATGAGCAATCTATCAAGCAGCTCTATGGTGTATGATGTCTATCGCCTCTTGTTGACTGACTGACTGACCATTCTTGAGGGCCTCGAAAATTTTTAATTGGATAGATTATGAGTATGAAGTTGAATTAAGGTGAAATCTGTCCCTAACCTAAACCCTAACACTAAATCCTATCCCTAACCATAAAGAATGTGAAGTGATGTTCACCTCGACTTATCAACTCCTTAAGGATCATAGACAGACTTAGACAGTCATTTGCCTAGATAGAGGTGTGACCCACGAGAGCACTGTAGCATGAGCCAAACCCTGCCATTGCCAGACAGTGGGAGCGCTGTGTGTGGTCAGGGCTCTACTGAAGGGGGTTCGGCCAATCCGACTACCATCAATAAACTACACTCCAGCCCCTAAATCTGTTTTGGCAGAAGTGAATGTCTATGGTCAGCATTATCCCCATCACTTTCACCTGTCAACTATGAAAGTTTTATCCCACAAATCAGTGTTTGATATGTTGTGTAATCAACTACGTCACTGACTCTGATCCATTCCAGCCGCCTCTCAAAGTAGGAAATATGAATTAAATGCAAGTGTCACACATTTTCCACAATATTTTGGCCTATATGTTATATTTTGGGGACATATGCACTCACTATAGCTTCCTACTGACGCAATAAAAGACTTATTATCCCTTACGACTTGCCTGAAATTGATAATTGAAACTTCGGGGCAAACAGCTTCCAAACAGATAACACTTGCCATATATGGAATGTAAGTTTGCGTACATTGAAAACTGTTGCACATGCGGTATTGTTGATGTTTGCCGAACTGTTTTCAATCACAAGTTGTGTGTAAGATATTCGTAAAGAGAGCTCCAAGGGACATAACTCTCTGGGGTTTGCTTGAAATAATGTTCGGCTGGTAGCAGCCACGAGAGTCAATTTCATGCAACATTGCATTAATTCATTCAAACTTTTTAATTTAATATTGTAATCTAAATACATATTATTTTTTTAAATAAATTATATGTTAGCTGATAGGGCTGATAGTTAGTATTATTAAGAAAAAATGTATCATGTATCTTTAGAGAAGTGTGGTGTGACATTGTGCCTTTAAGGATGCAGTTTTAAGTATATCTTACCGGATATCGGAAATCTGACGTTACAGGAGAGAAACGATAGGATGACAGTAGTGTGGTCACCAGATGCTCCAAACATGTCTTCAGTTCAAAATCCTGGAGGAAAAGAAAACAGTGTTAAATGGTGTGAGATATGTTGCATTAAACAAAATACACATACTTTTCAGAAATGGTCAATCTTTTCAGAGATGGTCAAAGAAATCCAAGTCAAATCCAATGTCTAATAGTTCATTCTGCACGAGAAACACATGGATAAGTTTCATAGATGTTTGGGTTTGGGGTCTTAAAAACATTGTATTGCCAATACAACAAATATCTTTGTTGCGATGGGTATTGTGACATATTAGAAGCAAAAGGTTGAACATGCACACATTATTGTCTACATACTGTATATATTATGAACATTACTTTATAGTGTAGTAGTTTTGCAGTCATGGAAACAGCATGGTAAGTTTGTAGTCATGGAAACAGGGGAGATAAAGGAGATAAGTCACTTCAGTGGTTCTGACATTTTTGTCAATCAGTTTTGAAGAGGAACACATTTGTAAATAAATTTCTGTGATGATTTTTAACAGGTTATACAATACACACATCAACAGAACCTGTTATGTTCATTTTACCCAATAGACCATACCACAGCAAATATTGCAATATGTATCATTGGTGTATACAGCAGGTACCTTGGTGTCAGGTAACACGTGGATGTATCACCTGTTTATACTGTGTATGGGTGTATACAGCAGGTATCTTGGTGTCAGGTAATACTGTGTATGGGTGTATACAGCAGGTACCTTGGTGTCAGGTAACACTGTGTATGGGTGTATACAGCAGGTATCTTGGTGTCAGGTAACACTGTGTATGGATGTATACAGCAGGTATCTTGGTGTCAGGTAACACGTGGATGTATCAACCGTTATACTGTGTATGGGTGTATACAGCAGGTATCTTGGTGTCAGGTAACACTGTGTATGGGTGTATACAGCAGGTATCTTGGTGTCAGGTAATACTGTGTATGGGTGTATACAGCAGGTATCTTGGTGTCAGGTAACACGTGGATGTATCACCCGTTATACTGTGTATGGGTGTATACAACAGGTATCTTGGTGTCAGGTAATACTGTGTATGGGTGTATACAGCAGGTATCTTGGTGTCAGGTAATACTGTGTATGGGTGTATACAGCAGGTATCTTGGTGTCAGGTAACACTGTGTATTGGTGTATACAGCAGGTACCTTGGTGTCAGGTAATACTGTGTATGGGTGTATACAGCAGGTATCTTGGTGTCAGGTAACACTGTATATGGGTGTATACAGCAGGTACCTTGGTGTCAGGTAACATGTGGATGTATCACCCGTTATACTGTGTATGGGTGTATACAGCAGGTATCTTGGTGTCAGGCAACACTGTGTATGGGTGTATACAGCAGGTATCTTCGGTGTCAGGTAATACTGTGTATGGGTGTATACAGCAGGTATCTTGGTGTCAGGTAACACTGTGTATGGGCGTATACAGCAGGTATCTTGGTGTCAGGTAACACTGTGTATGGGTATATACAGCAGGTACCTTGTTGTCAGGTAATACTGTGTATGGGTGTATACAGCAGGTATTTGACGACTGAGTTTAGTTTTACGCCGCTGTTAGCAATATTCCAGCAATATCACGGCGGAGGACACCAGAAATGGGCTTAACACATTGTGCCCATGTGGGGAATCGAACCCGGGTCTTCGGCGTGACGAGCCAACGCTTTAACCACTAGGCTACCCCACCACCCCAGCAGATTTGAAGGAGTGCCCAGAACCACCACCACTAGGCTACCCCACCACCCCAGCAGGTATTTGAAGTAGTGCCCAGAACACCCAGTATTTGACGAAGTGCTAAGAAACCCCCAGTACCTGAAGTAGTGCCCACAAACCCCAGTACCAACCCCCAGTATCTGAAGTAGTGCCCAGAACCACTAGTATCTGAAGTAGTGCCCAGAACCCCCAGTACCTGAAGTAGTGCCCAGAACACCCAGTATTTGAAGAAGTGCTGAGAAACCCCCAGTACCTGAAGTAGTGCCCACAAACCCCAGTACCAACCCCCAGTATCTGAAGTAGTGCCCAGAACCACTAGTATCTGAAGTAGTGCCCAGAACACCCAGTCCCTGAAGTAATGCCCACTCCACCCAGTACCTGAAGTAGTGCCCACAACACCCAGTACCTGAAGTAGTGCCCACAACACCCAGTACCTGAAGTAGTGCCCACAACCCCCAGTACCTGAAGTAGTGCCCACTACACCCAGTACCTGAAGTAGTGCCCAGAACACCCAGTACCTGAAGTAGTGCCCACAACACCCAGTACCTGAAGTAGTGCCCACAACACCCAGTACCTGAAGTAGTGCCCACAACCCCCAGTACCTGAAGTAGTGCCCACAACACCCAGTACCTGAAGTAGTGCCCACAACACCCAGTACCTGAAGTAGTGCCCACAACACCCAGTACCTGAAGTAGTGCCCACAACCCCCAGTACCTGAAGTAGTGCCCACAACACCCAGTACCTGAAGTAGTGCCCACAACACCCAGTACCTGAAGTAGTGCCCACAACACCCAGTACCTGAAGTAGTGCCCACAACACCCAGTACCTGAAGTAGTGCCCACAACCCCAGTACCTGAAGTAGTGCCCACAACCCCCAGTACCTGAAGTAGTGCCCACAACACCCAGTACCTGAAGTAGTGCCCACAACCCCCAGTACCTGAAGTAGTGCCCACAACACCCAGTACCTGAAGTAGTGCCCACAACACCCCAGTACCTGAAGTAGTGCCCACAATACCCAGTACCTGAAGTAGTGCCCAGAACACCCAGTACCTAAAGTAGTGCCCAGAACCGACAGTCTCTGAAGTAGAGCCCACAACCCCCAGTACCTGAAGTAGTGCCCACAACACCCAGTACCTGAAGTAGTGCCCAGAACACCCAGTACCTGAAGTAGTGCCCACAACCCCCAGTACCTGAAGTAGTGCCCACAACACCCAGTACATGAAGTAGTGCCCACAACACCCAGTACCTGAAGTAGTGCCCAGAACCCACAGTACCTGAAGTAGTGCCCACAACACCCAGTACCTGAAGTAGTGCCCAGAACACCCAGTACCTGAAGTAGTGCCCAGAACCCACAGTACCTGAAGTAGTGCCCAGAACACCCAGTACCTGAAGTAGTGCCCAGAACACCCAGTACCTGAAGTAGTGCCCAGAACACCCAGTACATAAAGTAGTGCCCAGAACACCCAGTACCTGAAGTAGTGCCCAGAACCCCCAGTACATGAAGTAGTGCCCAGAACACCCAGTACCTGAAGTAGTGCCCAGAACCCACAGTACCTGAAGTTGTGCCCAGAACCACAGTACATGAAGTAGTGCCCAGAACCCACAGTACCTGAAGTAGTGCACAGAACACCCAGTACATGAAGTAGTGCACAGAACACCCAGTACATGAAGTAGTGCCCAGAACACCCAGTACCTGAAGTAGTGCCCACAACCCCCAGTACCTGAAGTAGTGCCCAGTACCTGCCCAGAACACCCAGTACCTGAAATAGTGCCCACAACACCCAGTACCTGAAGTAGTGCCCACAACACCCAGTACCTGACCTGAACACCCAGTACCTGAAGTAATGCCCAGAACACCCAGTATTTGAAGTAGTGCCCACAACCCCCAGTACCTGAAGTAGTGCCCACAACACCCAGTACATGAAGTAGTGCCCACAACACCCAGTACCTGAAGTAGTGCATGAGAAACACCCAGTACATGAAGTAGTGCCCAGAACACCCAGTACCTGAAGTAGTGCCCACAGAACCCAGAACACCCAGTACCTGAAGTAGTGCCCACAACACCCAGTACCTGAAGTAGTGCCCACAACACCCAGTACCTGAAGTAGTGCCCAGAACACCCAGTACCTGAAGTAGTGCCCAGAACACCCAGTACCTGAGTAATGCCCAGAACAAGTATTTGAAGTAGTGCCCAGAACACCCAGTATCTGAAGTAGTGCCCAGAACACCCAGTACATGAAGTAGTGCACAGAACACCCAGTACATGAAGTAGTGCACAGAACACCCAGTACCTGAAGTAGTGCCCAGAACAGGTCCAGCAGCTTCGATATGTAAGGCTGTTCTGATAGATGTTTCTCACAGTCACGAAACTTCAACAAAAACTTTAACAAATGCCCCTCTACAATATAGGCACTTCTCTGAAAATGAACAATATGAATCATGTTTAACAGTGGTGGTAATGTGTGCCATAACAGTTTATAGTAAAGTTAAATATAAAAGCATAACCAAACATATTTCAAAATTATTGCCATCACATAATGAGCATGATTTGTAGTCAACTAAACTTTCTTTAAATCTGAATAAGGCAGCTAACAATTGCATTTAAGACTGAAATGAACTTCATAATAATGAAGAAAGACAATTTGGAGCTGAAAGCAGACTTTCCGTACAATACATATTAAAGGAGCACTGTATAATTTCTGGCAGTGTCAAAATTATACACAAACAATATCCTTTGTACAGCACTTAGAAGATGTATTATTCATAGAAGACCTATGTATTTCAACCTCTCCATTATTGAACTGAGAAATTACTAGTCAACTCCGACCTTATCTACACTACAATTTCTACAATGCCACCTAAAGGTAACGTCTGCATGGAGACATATGTTGAATAACAGATCACGGTAATCTTACAGCAGAAATCATAATGTCCTACCAAGAGTGGTGCCAGTTTTTCAAATATATGTGCAGCCACTAGCATGGCCGTACATCGCCGTGTACGGTGTTCTGTCAGGGGAGGTAGTGCTTCCTCACCTTTGCCCTGAATCACTTCAGCACCAATAACCTAAAATAGAAATAATGTCTTCCTTCATTTGAATCTCGCTTAGCTAGACACTTGTATCTTCTCACAATATAATCCAGATAAGGAGTTTCCAAACATCTTAATCCCTGATGTCTGTACAGAGTTACCTCCCCTGCTAAGAGGCAATAAAAATACTCCATTATGAGTACTCCATAATACCAGTATGAGTTCAGATGCTGTATACATGCAGAGAAGCAAACCTTGGTCTTATATGTCATAGGTAAAACTTGATTATATATAATACATATTTAATATCTATGTTTTGTCAAGCTTATTGTCATTAATTATTTCAGTAAGAACGCCCTGCAAAAAAGTCAATAACAAGCGGCACAATGACTCTTCTGATCTGTTTGCCAACAATCTGAACACATCACTCAACAACCACTGTCCAACCTGTCTCACCTGATCATCTTCTATCATAACAGGCAGGAGTTTCTCCAGGTAGCCAAACAGTACTTGCGCCCGAACCAGATCCGACTTGGGAGGGTCCTGCAGTGGTTGGTAACCTTCCAGTGGATATCTGTTCAACATGAGTCAGTAACACATACAAGATTTTATACTGATTTCATGTCTTGCAGCAAAGGTCTGATGTCTCTGGTGGTTACCAGTCTTATCACCAGCTACTTACTCTTCAAATTTCACTGTCGGAAAAATACAATCTCATTTGTGATGTAGTATATTATCATGATTGAATTAGCCTTCTGTTACCATGAAGTAGCCATTCCTCCCATGGCTTCACCACTACCTCTCTGATCACCAACATAGCACATTGATGAGTGTATTTCGAATAATGTAAACATACACTGGATATTATACACTGTGTGGAGACACTTATATGTGAACTTCAACCATTCAATGAAATGTGTATCCCTACCTCAGAGGTGTGGCACCAAAATTGGCTCGGAGGTTCTCCGATATTGAAAGACTAACAGCAGGGAAGTAGGCCAGGCCGGGCCCTCTACGAACCGTTGAAAAGGCCTGGCCCATGCAGTTTCCATTTCTGAAACATTGAGAGTTCAAATCACCTGTTGAAGTTATTCAAAGAAAGCATGGGAGAGTATACTTAATTTGTTCAGAATATAACATAACAACAAAAATAGTGAGTGAGTGAGTACTGTTTTACGCTGCTTTTAGCAATATTCCAGCAATATCACAGCGGGGGACACCAGAAATGGACTTCACACATTGTACCCATGTGGGGAATCGAACCCGGATCTTCGGCGTGACGAGCGAACGCTTTAACCATTAGGCTACACCTCCGCCCCATAATAAATATAAACATCAGCTGTATTGCTTAATGAGGTGAAGATGCACATACAGTTATTCTGTTTTATCACAATGATGAGGATATTTAAGGTGGCACTGACAAACACAAAATATACAAGACACTACATCTGTCCACAAATGAATGAAAGGAGACATATCCACCACATGCGAGACCTGGATACTCCCGTTGTATCGTACCTGTAAAATGTCATTGTTCCTTCATCACAGTCAATGGCACAACTGATCACATCTCCAGTCAACCAAGGCTGCCAAAATATGGATAGCATTTTGAAATATACGATCTCATATCAAATATCTGAAGGGCATTTAGAAGTGGAATACATAAGAAAAGTAAGATTTATGGATGTCAACTTCTTTATTGTGAATAACACAACGTTTCGGTGTGTATGCTTGCTCCTTCATCAGGTGAATGGTAGGGAGGATGAGAGGGGTATATATATATATACACATACATGGGCACTTACAAATAAAACATGTTTAACAAGTTTAACAATGTTGAGGAAGGAATATGTAATAAAAACATATGCCAGTGATACACTAAAACAACATGGTAATAGATTTGATGGGATATAATAGAAACACGAGGAGGCCAGTGATATGCTAACACAACATGGTAATTGATAGGGTATAGGGCTTCCCTGTGTAATTCTATTCACTGCAGCAAACATACACTCCAAAATGTCCTGTTATTCACAATAAAAAAGTGTTGACATCCATAAATCTTACTTTTCTTACGATCTCATACCGTAGTCATACAAACTTAACCCTGTCATGTTCTACACAATCTACCCAGACTTGTGAATAGTGCAATTGTTTAAAAGCCTTTATTTTTTTCACATCCCCAAATGTATTAGATATTCAGAATACATGGATGGTATGGTAAATAGTGTAGTTTGTGTTCCCACCTCTCCATATTTCTGAGTCTTCACATTCCACTTCCTCAGGCGACTGCCATCGTAAGCGTAAGAGTCTTGAGTGTCACCAACACCCTCCTGTAAGTGAAACACCATCATTATGATCCTGATAATTGTCATCCTTGTCAACAGGTAGCATGCTTTAACCAGTCGCCTCAATGCTGCTTTCACCAGACATCTCCATGCGGCAATTTGGCTGTGCCAGAAACCTATGAGTCAATGATCATCAGTAGATCATGTTTCAATCACAGTCACCTTGATGATAACAACCGATTAGTGAAAACCATATCCATGCCAGCAGCTTTACCCAATCACTGACTGAATAGGATCTGATTCATCTTGAGCTTGCTCCTACACTCAGCAGACATTCTGTTGTAAAAATGAAATACTGTTCAAGGTATCACACTCACTAACTCACTGTCAACATGAATGATGTCATCCATGTCATTACTCCTATAACTCCTCCCCTCCCATCACCCGGGAGAGACAGCTTGGCACTGTCCCGAACATACTCATCCCCTCCCATCACCCGGGAGAGACAGCTTGGCACTGTCCCGAACATACTCATCCCCTCCCATCACCCGGGAGAGACAGCTTGGCACTGTCCCGAACATACTCATCCCCTCCCATCACCCAGGAGAGACAGCTTGGCACTGTCTCAACATACTCATCCCTCCTCATCACCGAGAGACAGCTTGGCACTGTCCCGAACATACTCATCCCCTCCCATCACCCGAGAGACAGCTTGGCACTGTCTCGAACATACTCATCCCCTCCCATCACCCGGAGAGACAGCTTGGCACTGTCCCGAACATACTCATCCCTCCCATCACCCAGGAGAGACAGCTTGGCACTGTCTCAACATTACTCCTCCCTCCCAACATACATCCCCTCCCATCACCCGGGAGAGACAGCTTGGCACTGTCCCGAACATACTCATCACCAGTGACAGATGAACATGTCCCCAGATCACTGCTTCTTGAAGTGGGTTATTGAAGAGAGGTTCGGAACTTAAAGGGTTTCCCTGAACCATGCCAGCACTAAATAAGCACAATCTTCATCTGCACATATATTTCAGCATCATTATCATGAGTGAGTGGAAAAGATTTTTGGCATCACTGTCAGCAGCATTTCAGGTTAGCGTAACAGGGGAAAACAGCTGGAAGTGAGGCAGCTCTTGAACATTGAATCCAGGTTAGAATTGATCTTCAGTAACCCATGCTTGTCATGGGATTGGCTGGTCAGACTCACTAACTTGGTTGACACATGTCATCGTATCCCAATTGAGTAGATTGATGCTCATGCTGTTGATCACTGGATTGTCTGGTGCAGGCTTGATTACTTACAGACTGCCTCGATAAAGCTGGAATATTGCTAAGTGTTGTGTAACACTAAATTCACTCACTCACTTGAACATGTAAAACTCTGAGCATGAGTGTGGTATTGATGATGATAACCAGAACACATAGTTAACACATTCAGGTTCGATCTCAAATAGTGGTGATTATGCATTCATTACCTCTTGAGAAAACTTGCACTGCATTGTACACCATCCAAGCTGCATCACCCCCTTGGAGCCCAGCATCAGCTCATACACCCACTTCCCTGGAGACAAACAACAGTTTACAGTCAAGGTTATAATCTGTAGGAGTCTCAACATTGACTCTTTAGTTAGTCAGTACAAAAACACTATGTCTCGTCAAGGAATACTTTGATTTCAGCACTAATTTTTAGTATAACTTAGTCTTAGTGAAGTTTAAGCTGATTGGACAAAACCAGAAGAACACCAACCAGACTAAGGTTACAGAGCAGCCGTTACAATCACAGACGATGATTGATAGCAATACTGAAGACTCATCGTAATATTTACATTAAAACTACAAGTGGGAACAATAACAAAAGTACTCTTGGATATATTACCTTTGTAGACACAGGTGTTGGCCCTCATACTGCTGAAGTTACTCAGGCTGGACACCTGAAGCCCAGACACTCACTGTTACCTTGACAAACTATCTTGTTATCACAGAGGCAGATCATGCTCACACGACAATGTTACCTTGACAACATCAAGTATATAGTTAAGGCAAGGGAATATTAGCCTGACAGGTCATTGTTACCTTGACAACAGCAACAAATTATAGTGTTAAAGCAAGGGAATATTAGCCTGACATGACACTGGCTGCTACCCTGACAACAACTATACAATTAAGGCAAAGGGAGATTACCCTGACATGACACTGACTGTTACCTTGACAACAACAACTATACAATTAAGGCAAGGGAATATTACCCTGACATGACACTGACTGTTACCCTGACAACAACTATACAATTAAGGCAAGGGAAGACTACCCTGACATAACATTGACTGTTACCCTGACAACAACTATACAATTAAGGCAAGGGAATATTAACCTGACATAACACTGACTGTTACCCTGACAACAACTATACAATTAAGGCAAGGGAAGACTACCCTGACATAACATTGACTGTTACCCTGACAACAACTATACAATTAAGGCAAGGGAATATTACCCTACTGTTACCTGACAACAACTATACAATTGGCAAGGGAATTTACCCTGACATACATTGACTGTTACCCTGACAACAACTATACAATTAAGGCAAGGGAATATTACCCTGACATAACACTGACTGTTACCCTGACAACAACTATACAATTAAGGCAAGGGAATATTACCCTGACATAACACTGACTGTTACCTTGACAACAACAACTATACAATTAAGGCAAGGGAGATTACCCTGATATGACACTGACTGTTACCTTGACAAGAACAACTATACAATTAAGGCAAAGGGAGATTACCCTGACATAACACTGACTGCTACCCTGACAACAACTATACAATTAAGGCAAAGGGAGATTACCCTGACATGACACTGACTGTTACCTTGACAACAACAACTATACAATTAAGGCAAGGGAATATTACCCTGACATAACACTGACTGTTACCCTGACAACAACTATACAATTAAGGCAAGGGAAGACTACCCTGACATAACATTGACTGTTACCCTGACAACAACTATACAATTAAGGCAAGGGAATATTACCCTGACATAACACTGACTGTGACCTTGACAACAACAACTATACAATTAAGGCAAGGGAGATTACCCTGATATGACACTGACTGTTACCTTGACAACAACAACTATACAATTAAGGCAAGGGAGATTACCCTGACATGACACTGACTACTGTTACCTTGACAAGAACAACTATACAATTAAGGCAAAGGGAGATTACCCTGACATAACACTGACCGCTACCCTGACAACAACAACTATACAATTTAGGCAAGGGAATAATTACCCTGACATGACATTGACTGTTACCCTGACAACAACATCTATACAATTCAGGCAAGGGAAGATTACCCTGATATGACACTGACTGTTACCCTGACAACAACAACTATACAATTAAGGCAAGGGAAGATTACCCTGACATGACACTGACTGTTACCCTGACAACAACAACTATACAATTAAGGCAAGGGAATATTACCCTGACATGACACTGACTGTTACCTTGACAAGAACAACTATACAATTCAGGCAAGGGAATATTACCCTGACATGACACTGACTGTTACCCTGACAACAACAACTATACAATTAAGGCAAGGGAATATTACCCTGACATGACACTGACTGTTACCCTGACAAGAACAACTATACAATTAAGGCAAGGGAATATTACCCTGACATGACACTGACTGTTACCTTGACAAGAACAACTATACAATTAAGGCAAGGGAATATTACCCTGACATGACACTCACTGTTACCCTGACAACAACTATACAATTAAGGCAAGGGAATATTACCCTGACATAACATTGACTGTTACCTTAACAAAAACAACTATACAATTCAGGCAAGGGAATATTACCCTGAAATAACACTGACTGTTACCTTGACAAGAACAACTATACAATTCAGGCAAGGGAATATTACCTTGACATGATACTGACTGTTACCCTGACAACAACAACTATACAATTAAGGCAAGGGAGATTACCCTGACATGACACTGACTGTTACCTTGACAAGAACAACTATACAATTCAGGCAAGGGAATATTACCCTGACATGACACTGACTGTTACCCTGACAACAACAACTATACAATTAAGGCAAGGGAATAATTACCCTGACATGACACTGACTGTTACCCTGACAACAACAACTATACAATTAAGGCAAGGGAATATTACCCTGACATGACACTGACTGTTACCCTGACAACAACAACTATACAATTAAGGCAAGGGAATATTACCCTGACATGACACTGACTGTTACCCTGACAAGAACAACTATACAATTCAGGCAAGGGAATATTACCCTGACATGACACTGACTGTTACCTTGACAAGAACAACTATACAATTCAGGCAAGGGAATAATTACCCTGACATAACATTGACTGTTACCTTGACAAGAACAACTATACAATTCAGGCAAGGGAATAATTACCCTGACATAACATTGACTGTTACCCTGACAAGAACAACTATACAATTCAGGCAAGGGAATAATTACCCTGACATAACATTGACTGTTACCTTGACAAGAACAACTATACAATTAAGGCAAGGGAATATTACCCTGACATGACACTGACTGTTACCCTGACAACAACTATACAATTAAGGCAAGGGAATATTACCCTGACATGACATTGACTGTTACCTTGACAACAAGAACAACTACAGGCAAATTCATTACCCTGACATGAATGACTGTTACCCTGACATAACACTGACTGTTTACCCTGACAAGAACAACTATAACAATACAATTCAGGCAAGGGAATATTACCCTGACATAACATTGACTGTTACCTTGACAAGAACAACTATACAATTCAGGCAAGGGAATAATTACCCTGACATAACATTGACTGTTACCTTGACAAGAACAACTATACAATTAAGGCAAGGGAATATTACCCTGACATGACACTGACTGTTACCTTGACAACAACTATACAATTAAGGCAAGGGAATATTACCCTGACATGACACTGACTGTTACCTTGACAAGAACAACTATACAATTAAGGCAAGGGAATATTACCCTGACATGACACTGACTGTTACCCTGACAACAACAAGTATACAATTAAGGCAAGGGAATATTACCCTGACATAACATTGACTGTTACCTTGACAACAACAACTATACAATTAAGGCAAGGGAATATTACCCTGACATGACACTGACTGTTACCCTGACAAGAACAACTATACAATTCAGGCAAGGGAAGATTACCCTGACATGACACTGACTGTTAGTGTTACCCTGACAACAACAACTATACAATTAAGGCAAGGGAATATTACCCTGACATGACACTGACTGTTACCCTGACAACAACAACTATACAATTCAGGCAAGGGAATATTACCCTGACATGACACTGACTGTTACCCTGACAACAACAACTATACAATTCAGGCAAGGGAAGATTACCCTGACATGACACTGACTGTTACCTTGACAACAACAACTATACAATTAAGGCAAAGGGAGATTACCCTGACATGACACTGACTGTTACCCTGACAACAACAACTATACAATTAAGGCAAGGGAAGATTACCCTGACATAACACTGACTGTAAAATGATACCATACAACCAATATCAGTGGTATTCATAATGTTCATAATGGATACTGTCTCTACATTGTCCCTGTGACACTTTATCAAGGTAAGTAAGTGTATACATTGAAATATTAACTCTGTCATATCCATAACTATTTAATGTGCCGTCTCATGGCTGGTTTTACCATGTTTTCACTAAACAAGATTTCACAGTAAAAGTGTGCTGGAAAGAAATATCAGATTACCTGAAAGAACCAATTTACCCAAATTTTAAAACAACATAATACCATATAAGACTCAAGTACTAACATTGAACATTTTATTACTTAAACAAAAATATTACAAATCATACTAATATATTTTGACACAAATGCCTCTCTTACCCCAAGTCGGTCTGGTTCCACAATGAGTGTCCCGACATTGGAGTAAATATCAAAGAAGACCTCTTTACTTCCAATTCGACCTGAGTTTTCATCCAGGGATGACTCTGAAACAGCAATTCCTTCCTGGTAAGATGCCCATTCGGACAGAATGGAGAAAGGCAGCTTAGTCATCTGGTATATCATCTGGTATATCATCACTAGCATACTGGTATATCCCCAAATCAAGGCATTTGCACCAACATATTTGTGTGGAGGTTTCTGTCTCCTGGACCCAGGAAAACCCAGAGATTCGCACTGGGTCAACTGCAAGTTCCACACAGACAACTGTACCTTAAGGTGACATGTTCCATTGCTCTATTATGTGAAAGTTAAAAGCTTTATGATCACGAACTGATGTCACATAATGATAAAGTCCCAAGAGAAGTCTCTATAGGCCAGTTTGTAACAAGATCTCATGCTGACATGCTGGATCAATCATTACTGATTGTGAGACAAATGCAGAACCATAAACACTGACTTCTCCCCATGTATGAATCACTAGATAACCCTGCTGCAAACAGACCTTCTCCTCATGTAAACATGACTTGGTAACCTTCCTGCAGTCAGACCTCCTTTTTGTGTATATACAGCCAGATAACCTTGCTTCAGAAATACCTACTCCCCATGAATACACGACTAGTAACCCAGCTGCAGACAGTCCTTCTCCCCATGTATATATGACTAGATAACCCTGCTACAGACAGACCTTCTCCCCATGTATATATGACTAGATAACCCTGCTACAGACAGACCTTCTCCCCATGCATATATGACTAGATAACCCTGCTACAGACAGACCTTCTCCCCATGTATATATGACTAGATAACCCTGCTACAGACAGACCTTCTCCCCATGTATATATGACTAGATAACCCTGCTACAGACAGACCTTCTCCCCATGTATATATGACTAGATAACCCTGCTACAGACAGACCTTCGACTCTTGTATACACGTCTAGACAACCCTGCTACAGACAGACCTTCTCCCCATGTATATAGGACTAGATAACCCTGCTACAGACAGACCTTCTCCCCATGTATATATGACTAGATAACCCTGCTACAGACAGACCTTCTCCCCAAGTATATATGACTAGATAACCCTGCTACAGACAGACCTTCTCCCCATGTATATATGACTAGATAACCCTGCTACAGACAGACCTTCTCCCCATGTATACACGCGTCTAGATAACCCTGCTACAGACAGACCTTCTCCCCATGTATATATGACTAGATAACCCTGCTACAGACAGACCTTCTCCCCATGTATATATGACTAGATAACCCTGCTACAGACAGACCTTCTCATCTTGTATACACGTCTAGATAACCCTGCTACAGACAGACCTTCTCCCCATGTATATATGACTAGATAACCCTGCTACAGACAGACCTTCTCCCCATGTATATATGACTAGATAACCCTGCTACAGACAGACCTTCTCCCCATGTATATATGACTAGATAACCCTGCTACAGACAGACCACTGACTCGTGTATACACGACTAGATAACCCTGCTACAGACAGTCCTTCTCCCAGTGTATATATGACTAGATAACCCTGCTACAGACAGACCTTCTCCCCATGTATATATGACTAGATAACCCTGCTACAGACAGACCTTCTCCCCATGTATATATGACTAGATAACCCTGCTACAGACAGACCTTCTCCCCATGTATACACGACTAGATAACCCTGCTACAGACAGACCTTCTCCCCATGTATATATGACTAGATAACACTGCTACAGACAGACCTTCTCCCCATGTATATATGACTAGATAACCCTGCTACAGACAGACCTTCTCCCCATGAATACATGACTAGATAACCCTGCTACAGACAGACCTTCTCCCCATGAATACACGACTAGATAACCCTGCTACAGACAAACCTTCTCCTTATGTACATATGACTAGATAACACTGCTACAGACCTTCTACTCGTGTATACACGACTAGATAACCCTGCTACAGACAGACCTTCTACTCGTGTATACACGACTAGATAACCCTCCTGTTACAGACCTTCTCCCAGTGTATATCGTCTAGATAACCCTGCTACAGACAGACCTTCTCCCAGTGTATATACATCTAGATAACCCTGCAACAGACAGACCTTCTCCCAGTGTATATACATCTAGATAACCCTGCTACAGACAGACCTTCTCCCAGTGTATATACGTCTAGATAACCTTGCTACAGACAGATCTTCTCCCAGTGTATATACGTCTAGATAACCCTGCTACAGACAGACCTTCTCCCAGTGTATATACGTCTAGATAACCCTGCTGCAGACAGACCTTCTCCCCATGTATATACATCTAGATAACCCTGCTACAGACAGACCTTCTCCCAGTGTATATACGTCTAGATAACCCTGCTACAGACAGACCTTCTCCCAGTGTATATACGTCTAGATAACCCTGCTACAGACAGACCTTCTCCCCATATATATACATCTAGATAACCCTGCTACAGACAGACCTTCTCCCAGAGTATATACGTCTAGATAACCCTGCTACAGACAGACCTTCTCCCAGTGTATATACGTCTAGATAACCCTGCTACAGACAGACCTTCTCCCCATGAATACACGACTAGATAACCCTGCTACAGACAGACCTTCGACTCGTGTATACACGTCTAGATAACCCTGCTACAGACCTTCTCCCCATGAATACCTTCTCATTGTATATGACTAGATAACCCTGCTACAGACAGACCTTCGACTCATGTATACACGTCTAGATAACCCTGCTACAGACCTTCTCCCCATGTATATAGGACTAGATAACCCTGCTACAGACAGACCTTCTACTCGTGCATACATGACTAGATAACCCTGCTACAGACAGACCTTCTACTCGTGTATACACGACTAGATAACCCTGCTACAGACCTTCTACTCGTGTATACACGACTAGATAACCCTCCTGCTACAGACCTTCTCCCAGTGTATACGTCTAGATAACCCTGCTACAGACAGACCTTCTCCCAGTGTATACACGTCTAGATAACCCTGCTACAGACAGACCTTCTCCCAGTGTATATACGTCTAGATAACCCTGCTACAGACAGACCTTCTCCTCATGTATATATGACTAGATAACACTGCTACAGACAGACCTTCTCCCATGTATATATGACTAGATAACCCTGCTACAGACAGACCTTCTCCCCATGAATACATGACTAGATAACCCTGCTACAGACAGACCTTCTCCCCATGAATACACGACTAGATAACCCTGCTACAGACAAACCTTCTCCTTATGTACATATGACTAGATAACACTGCTACAGACCTTCTACTCGTATATACGACTAGATAACCCTGCTACAGACAGACCTTCTACCCTGTGTATACACGACTAGATAACCCTCCTGTTACAGACCTTCTCCCAGTGTATATACGTCTAGATAACCCTGCTACAGACAGACCTTCTCCCAGTGTATATACATCTAGATAACCCTGCAACAGACAGACCTTCTCCCAGTGTATATACATCTAGATAACCCTGCTACAGACAGACCTTCTCCCAGTGTATATACGTCTAGATAACCTTGCTACAGACAGATCTTCTCCCAGTGTATATACGTCTAGATAACCCTGCTACAGACAGACCTTCTCCCAGTGTATATACGTCTAGATAACCCTGCTACAGACAGACCTTCTCCCCATGTATATACATCTAGATAACCCTGCTACAGACAGACCTTCTCCCAGTGTATATACGTCTAGATAACCCTGCTACAGACAGACCTTCTCCCAGTGTATATACGTCTAGATAACCCTGCTACAGACAGACCTTCTCCCCATATATATACATCTAGATAACCCTGCTACAGACAGACCTTCTCCCCGAGTATATACGTCTAGATAACCCTGCTACAGACAGACCTTCTCCCAGTGTATATACGTCTAGATAACCCTGCTACAGACAGACCTTCTCCCCATGAATACACGACTAGATAACCCTGCTACAGACAGACCTTCGACTCGTGTATACACGTCTAGATAACCCTGCTACAGACCTTCTCCCCATGAATACACGACTAGATAACCCTGCTACAGACAGACCTTCGACTCATGTATACACGTCTAGATAACCCTGCTACAGACCTTCTCCCCATGTATATAGGACTAGATAACCCTGCTACAGACAGACCTTCTACTCGTGCATACATGACTAGATAACCCTGCTACAGACAGACCTTCTACTGTAGGTATATACAGACAGACCTTCTCACTAGATAACCCTGCTACAGACCTTCTACTCGTGTATACACGACTAGATAACCCTCCTGCTACAGACCTTCTCCCAGTGTATACGTCTAGATAACCCTGCTACAGACAGACTTTCTCCCAGTGTATACACGTCTAGATAACCCTGCTACAGACAGACCTTCTCCCAGTGTATATACGTCTAGATAACCCTGCTACAGACAGACCTTCTCCCAGTGTATATACGTCTAGATAACCCTGCTACAGACAGACCTTCTCCCAGTGTATATATGTCTAGATAACCCTGCTACAGACAGACCTTCTTCGTGTGCTACAGCACAGGCTCCCTGCAGGTTGACAGCATCACAGAGGGACAGATCAATGTAGCTCTGTAGGTTGTGTAGGTCCATTGCCTTCCTGAAAATGTTTAGTTATACATATATACATGTACTTGAGGTCATGTCAGTTTCAGGCATGACAATTCCATAATGATACATCAGTCTGTCCTACCAAAAGCAAAATCATGAAAGTGACCTCCTTTGCTTCCAGCAAAACCAGCTCATATCATATATATATCAAATGAAACAAAAACATTTATCATTTAGAAATAACTAATCATATGCAAAATATAAAGAGACATATTCGCAGAACATATCTAATGAAACATAAAACACACATTATGAATTTGGTGTCATCAATGTTATTGAAGTTATTTGAAGCCCCATTCACAGGGGAGGGAACCCCATCAATGGGCTTTCCACATCTGGGTACCTGGCCCTCTATTACCAAACCCTATCTGTCACAGTCAGGTGCCCATCCCCCTATTTCCCAAGGATCCCTATCTGGGTACCTGGCCCTCTATTACCAAACCCTATCTGGATGCCCATCCCCCTATTTCCCAACCCTATCTGGGTACCTGGCCCTCTATTACCAAACCCTATCTGGATGCCCATCCCCCTATTTCCCAACCCTATCTGGGTACCTGGCCCCTATTACCAAACCCTATCTGGATGCCCATCCCTATCTGGGTTCCTGGCCCCTATTACCAAACCCTATCTGGATGCCCATCCCCCTATTTCCCAACCCTATCTGGGTACCTGGCCCTCTATTACCCAACACTGTTTGGATGCCCATCCCCCTATTTCCCAACCCTATCTGGGTACCTGGCCCTTTATTACCAAACCCTATCTGGATGCCCATCCCCCTATTTCCCAACCCTATCTGGGTACCTGGCGCTCTATTACCAAACCCTATCTGGATGCCCATCCCCCTATTTCCCAACCCTATCTGGGTACCTGGCCCTCTATTACCCAACACTGTCTGGATGTCCATCCCCCTATTTCCCAACCCTATCTGGGTACCTGGCCCTTTATTACCAAACCCTATCTGGATGCCCATCCCCCTATTTCCCAACCCTATCTGGGTACCTGGACCTCTATTACCAAACCCTATCTTGGTACCCATACCCATACCCCTATTACCAAACCCTATCTGGGTCCCTGGCCCCCTATTACCAAACCCTATCTGGGTACCCATACCCCAATTACCCAGCTCAGACTGGGTACCCATCCCCTATTACCAAACTCTATCTGGGTACCCAAGCCCCCTATTAGCCAACCCTATCTGGGTATCTATACCCCTATGACCAACACTATCTGGGTGCCCATCCCCTATTACCCAAGCGTATCTGGGTACCCATACCTATGTTACCAAACCCTATCTAGGTACCCATCTCCGTATTAGGCCTAAAAAAAAAAAGCTTTTGGTTCCAATTTCCCGACCGACCCTAAATATTCCCGCCGAGCCTAACACTTTTACTCACCACATAATAAATTAAATTTATTTTCTGACACATGAGTATTGTAAAAATATTTTGCAAAAAACAAAACAAAACCTACCTACCTACCCTAGTTCTGAAATGTAGGAAATCGGAACCATAACATATATTTTTTTGGCCTTAACAAACATTATCTGGGTACCCATCCCCTATTACCCAACCCTCTTTCAGTACCCGTGCTCCTATTACCCAACCCTATATGGGTACCCATACCCCTATTACCCAACCATATCTTGGCACCTGACACCCTATTACCCAGCTCATATGGGTTACCATCCCCTATTACCCAACCCTATCTGGGTATCTATACCCCTATTACCAAACCCTATCTCAGTACCCAAACCCCTATTACCCAACCCTATCTGGGTCCCCATACCTCAATTACCCAACCCTATCTGGGTACCTGTCTCCCTATTACTCAGCTTATACAGGTTACATAGCTAACCTCAGTTCCCACACTTTCAGGATTAGACATGTTCTGCAAATCCAACCATGTCATATACTTACTCGACACCAGCTGCCCCTGCCTCAGATGACTTTTCTTGATCAGAAAACACATGACGCAGCAAACTGTGGGTGTAGGGATCTAGAAAAAATGATAATTGACAACCAAGATCATTGTCAGCAGCTGATTCATCACACGTAAAATAAAAAACCAATATAATCTGCAGTTTGTGTTGTGTAGTCAAAATGTGAAGACAACTGACATGGACATTGGGACATAGGACCCTCATAGACAACTGGACATCAGGACCCTCATAGACAACTGGCAACCGTGTGTGGGTAGGTACACCCAGTGGTCTCAGGACAAATGACTAATGAATGTATGTAGGGACACCAAGTGGCAGGGTTTCAAAAATCCCATCGCAAGGACAAGTAAGTTTTCATTTTGGGCGATCAATTACTTGTCTGTGGGCTACCAGAAACTTTCTGCAATGCTATCAGTTTCAAACTACAAATAAACTCGGATTTCATTTCATATCGGCTCAAAATGTGGCTATTAAAATTTGACATGATACAAGAATGAAATGAACTTCGCAATGATAATATTAATATTTTTAATATACTAGAGTTTCTTTCTTTGCTCTTTATCACTCTTCGATCGGGGCCTCGCAGTAAACCCATTTACAAAGAAGTGAGCATTTCTATAAATATCTGACCAATCACTGACAAGAAAGCCATCATACTCTGAGTCGACAGTCAGGCCGAGACAGAATAGCAGACGACAGGTTATGGCCAAGGTCGTCAATGGCGAATCAGCACGACACAATTCTGTTTGCGATGAATAAATGTATGTAAACTCATTACGTGATGTGTGTGTGATGTGAAATTGGGTTTAACGTCGTGCTTGAGAATATTTCGCTCATATGACGACATGCATGTGTGTGTATGTGTATGTGCGGCTGCTTGTACTAGCCCAGACTTAAGCTGTTTTTATAGTGCTACCCCACTGAGATACCATGCCGCAGTGAAGCATGATTGAATACCCCACTCAGACACATTATACTGACTCCAAGCCGACCAGTCCTTGTTGTACCCATTAATGCTGAGCGCCGGGCAGGGACCAACAAGTACCATATTTGAGCGTCTTTTGGTATGACGCGGTCGGGGATCGAACCTGCGACCTTCCGCTCTCTGAGCGGACGCTCTAACCACTATACCACGGAGGCAGTCTAAACTCATTATGACAGTGAGATGTAAGTGTCTCCGAAAGAATGGCAACTAGCACGCAGACAGGCGCCATCAGTTCAACATGTTTTGGTGCATGTCGTTTGTGTATACTGTGAAATAAACAAGTAAATGGGTGAGTTACCGCTGCAAATTCTGAGCAGGGATTTTGGCTCAGAATCAAGAAATCACAATTTTTCGAGCTTCCGAAGACCCTAGCTCCCAAAGTACTGCTTCGATTTTTGTGCTGTATGTATCATTTCCTAGGTAAATCTATTTGGCTTGAAATGTGAGCATACTTTAAAGGGGATAAATGCAGTGAGTATTGTTGAATTCGCCCTCAAACAAACCTGGTGTGTTGACCTCGTTAATCCCTTTCCTCTTATATAGTACTAAGACCCCGTCAGTGACAGTATATACCTTGATCGCAGTTTATAGCATTACAAGCCCCTGTGTACTGATCCAAGTGTTCTCCAAGGGGTACTGTGTGCTTTAACTGGGCATAATAGTGATATTCACCGACAGCTTCAAACCTTAGCACCTTTATGCCTTAATCCACAACAAAACATTTGTCAGTTTGGCTGTACCTCTCCCTTGTACACCCTTTGCTTTGACAGGCAGCTTCTCATTCTTCGATGATAGATCTTATTTCATACAGGTCCATGCTAAACATAAGTACTGTCCAAGCCATCGTCCACAATAAGCCAGTTTGTATTCCGCGAAGAAACAACCGATCCATATTTCGACAATTTCAAAGTTGGCGTTTCCTTCCCCTTTAAAGGTCACATAAACCCTAGGGGGTACAAATACATAAATCACTAACTGGCATCGTTATAAATGAAACCCTGTCATTAAAACTACTCATTTCGACCTTTAATTGACTTAAATCGACCTTTTTGACAACAGTGCACAATTCTCACCCGCGAACGAAATTTCAACCAATCAGAGCGGCGCGCCTCTGTGACGTCATATGAGGAATAGCTTTGAGAGCCGATGCAGAATTCATCTACATTTTAGGGGGTAAATTATCGTGTTTACAGGCTTGTATAAACCTGAAATCGTGACAATTGTTGTGGAAAATGAAAGCTATATGTTCTCACAATCTACTGTCATTTAATTTTGTCTCCTGCTTTGCCTAGTTTCCGAGTTACAACTTGTTTTCATAGACGATTCTGTCAAAATCGATTGGTGTCGTTAGGCCCTATTTGTATAATGACTGATCCAAATTGATCCCATTTCTGTGTTGTTTTACCTCGATATTTAATCATGTCATGTAAAAATCTGTTTGTATTCACAAAACAGTGTCGGCCCATAAGTTTTCACATGCAATACAGCAATTAATACTCCCTCGTTGTAACCCGTGTTAGGTGGTATAAACCTACACATGTTATTTGTCATCATTCACTTGATTGTCAGTTAATGAATTTATAACAGGTATAATTAGTGGTAACACACTTAGATTACCCGACAAAGGTTCCCATTTGGCATTTCTTGTGTCTGGAGTAAATATTCAACATTATAAACATCGATTAAAGGATTAACCGATAACACGCTGATTGAGTAATTACTTTTATCTTGCACAGCGGATTAGTCAAAAGGTAGTGTTTATGTATGTATGTAGATTTAATAATCTATACTGAATATACTCTGTGGTATCTGTGTCTGTGAAAAAACGTCCTTCTTTCAAAGGATTAACCACCAATACATTGATTAATTGCTCATTACTGGCTAACTAAATTACTTTTTTTAAAAGAAAGGCGGATATTATGCAATTAGTTGCCAGGTGTGCTATCTTGGGTGACCAATGAGACTATACACCAATACCTGAAACGATATATCACCTTTTCGTATATTAAACTGTTAAAAGACACATCATTTGGAACAGTTTTGTGGATATTGATGGATACATTCCTCGAACAAGGTAATGGCCTGATATTGTTCCTATAACTTTAATCTGTTTTAATTTTAATATTTGCATTTTGTTTTTATTCATTTGTCGTAGCATTCAACAGAATCATTGTTTTCGCCGTAAAGTGTAATGAGACAGACAACATGCACTAGGGTGTGTGTGCGAATTATGATTCACATTGGCAAACTATAAAATGTCTAGATATTACAGTTCTGTTATAAATTCACTATAAGTATCAGCAGATCGTCTGCTTTTTATTTAGTTTCAAAATGCATACAAGTGTGATAATAAACTAATTAGGATTATAAGACCAAATATAAAGACGCATTATTGACTAGTATCTACATACTGGTGAGTGGACATTAACCATGTGAATGTAGCAAGAAATTTATCAGCAGTATTGTGACTTCGACCCCACATCGCTTCCGTGGAAGAAATCGTTATGTTATAAGTTGTGTCATGCAAAATCCTTTTGGTTATGATTCCAATACATATTTAACAACGAGTAGAAAGTAGTCTTGATTTTCTAACTTGATGAAAACAAACTATAATCTCATTAATTCTAACAGATTTTTTATTTTTAAAATGAAGGGCGCTCTGTCGGGAACATCCGCCAGTCTGAGGATAAATGGTATTTAGGTTTGTTTTCACCGAAGTTACAAAATCAAAACTACTTTCTACTGGTAGTAAAATATGTATTTTATTGATGGCCAATAGGATTTTGCATGACATAGCGTATATCATAACAATTTCTCTCGTGGCAGCGAGGTGGGTGTCAATATAATACTACTTACAATATTATTGTCACTTCGACCACAACCTCACTTCCGAGGAAGAAATCGTTATGTTACAAGTTGTGTCATGGAAAATCTTTATGGTCATCAATCATATACATATTTTACTACAACTAGTAAGTGGTTTTGATTCTTTAACTTCCGTGAAGCTATCTGAACACAAGTAAGATATCGTTTCAGGCTTCCACAACGCCGCTTTGCACTCACAAACATAACCCATTTAGCACTTAACTGCGGGTCCTGTGGAAATCTGTGCATGGGGACACCATCATCCCGACCCTAGGAGCAAGTGGCGACAAAGCAACGATTCGGCATGTCGCCGTTGATGTCGAAAAATCATCAAAATGATGAGCGTACTACACATTTTCTATACAACTAACTGAAAATCGTTCCTCATATGACGTCACTGCAGTGCTCTGGCGACAGAGTTACGTAACCTGTCTGTGGTTTCGTTGGCGGGCGAGAGGGAAGCAGGCGACTTTTTGGCCACTTTTAATCGCTCGGTATTAATTAACCACAAGTTTTTAAAGAATAAATTTGGTGTTCCGCATAAGACTAACCACAAATCTTTCATATGTAATGGTTAAAAGAGTAACAAAAAACAAAGTTTAGTGGTTCTTTAAAGGGCCACTGATGCAGAGTAATTTCCGTTGACTGGTTGTTGCTTTTGTTATTGTTTTTCTCCCCTGAGTACCCGGATCATATCCCAGAATTCATGACTGGTTCGTTACCTCTGCTGCGCCACCACAATGCACAATTGATAGAAAACGTATAGACTGATCAACAAAGATGAAATCCTGTTTATTCGATAATCTTGATGTTGTTGTAAAATTATGTACACTGTGATGAATAATTTGGATTCTTATAAAAACAATATTCACTTTGATAAAAATGCTGATTTTGATGTAAAATTTTGATTTCATAGTAATGTTGTCTTCATGAAATTGTTACCGTAAATGGAAGTAGAATTTGATTTAAGAAATAGTTTGACCTCGATTTTGGTGAGAAGCCTGATATAATAGCATTGTTTGAAAGTAAGAGTAACTAAGTACATGGGGAGTCTTGGGGAGAGTAGTAAGCTTGGGTTCACTACTAGTCAATCTTAAACTTAATGTTGTATTAAATGGCATTGTTTTGATAACAAATGAAAACATTTTAAGTTTAACCATCTGCCAGTGGTAAAAAATGTTAGGACTGAAATAACGAAGTCAATTTATGTATTTATATTTTGTCTTATAATCCTAATTAGTTTATTATCATATTTATATGAATTTTTAAACCTAATAATATGCACACGATCTGCTTATACTTAGTGAATTTATAACATGACTGTATTATCTAGACGTGTATCATATTTCACACACACGCCCTAAGTGCGATCTAGTGTATGTTGTCTGTCTCATTACCTTTCGCGGCAAAAAAATGATTCTGTTGAATGCCATAACAAATAGATTAAAACAAAATGCAAATATTAAAATTAAAACAGACTAGAGTTATCGCAACAATATCAGGTTATTACCTTGTTAGGGGAATGTATCCATCAATATCCACATAAAGTAATGAGATGCCATTCATCTGCAGCTGACAATGAATCCTGTTCCATGTCATGTGTCTTTTAACGGTCTAATATGTGAAAAAAGTGACCTATCGTTTCAGGTTTTTCACATTTGTGTATCCCATTGGTCACCCAAGATAGCACACCTGGCAAGTAATTGCATGATGTCCGCCATTAGTTAGCCAATAATAAGCTACCAATCAAGGTTTTGGCGGTTAATCCTTTGAAGAAAGGACGTTGTTTTAACAAAGAAACTTTACGACAGGGTGAATTCAGTGTAGATTAGTGAATCTACATACATAAACACTACCTTTTGACAAATCCGCTGTGCAGGATAAATGGAATCAATCAATCAGCGTGTTATCGGGGTTAATCGTTTGATCGATGTTTGTTTTGAAACTCAGCTGATAATTCCTCTAGCTGCACTTCCATGCGTATATTACATAAGATGTAATACATTTGCCACATCAGACCTAAATTTATAATGATGAGTATTTACTTCAGACACAAGAAATGCCAAATGGGAACCTTTGTCGGGTAATCCGAGTGGTGTTATCACTAACTATACCTGTTATAAATTCATTAACTGACCATTAAGTGAATGATGACAAATAACATGTGTAGATTTACCAACAAACAACGGTAACAGCAAGAGAGTAGTAATCGCTGTATTGCATGCAAGTTTGATTGTCTGAAAAAAACTTATGGGCCGATACTGTTTTGACGATACAAACGGATCGAACTTCATTGTTACATAAGAAATATATATAAACATTTGCTGTGTATGAAGTACTTATTTAGAAATTGTATATACCTATGTACCTAAGTACAATTTCAGATTTGTTTTAGCAATGGCAAAGTGGGGTTGTTTAGTTTATGGATTCAAAAATAACAAATGTGTGTTTTTGATATCATAGCATACGTAATAGACATCATATTTTTACATGATTAAATATCGAGGTAAAAAACACAGAAATAGGATCAAATTGGATCAGTCACTATACCATCCAAACATTTGTAAATCTGAAAATGTCTACACTCCTGGGATACTTTATTACAATCAAATAGAACTACCGGGAATATTTTCGGCAAGACTACAGAATACCGGATACCTTCCGCCATCTTTGAAAGCTTATTTTAGAACTGCGCACAAAATGTGCGCAACTGAGTTCCTTAGTAACGGCGTTTTCTTTATGTTGCATACTTGACATTAGGGTTTAGGGTTTAGGTTTAGGTTTAGGGTTAGGGTTAGGGTTAGGGTTTAGGGTTAGGGTTTACGGTTAGGGGTTTTTTGCCGCACGATTTCCTTGCTACATTTCCAACACAAATTGTCTTTGCTGTAGCTTTTATCTTTACACAAATAAAATTTCCCAATACAACATTTACCGCATGTTTTCCCGTCCCAGTTTCCAAAAAGTCCCTTGTTTCTTAAAAATCGATGAAGTTCTACTTTGTCTTCCGATAACTTGAATACGTCCCACAATCGCATCTTCTGAACGCCGAGTAGTAGTTGTAGACTTCCAAATACGGCCGTTACTAGGCTATGACGTAGACACAAACTGACCAATCACTGAACACTTACCTTTCAGAAATTTCCCACGCTCATTCGCTCCAACTCCCAGAATTCCGTAGGTCCGGTTTTTTCAAAGGCGCATATATTTTGTATTTGTGATAACTTACCTTTCATTTTAAAAATCGTTGGTTAGTTTTACTAACCGGAAGTCGTCTCAATCAATCCGATTTCAATGTTTATTTTTCATTTTAATGCTCGCTTATTGTTTCGAATAATATAGCTCGTGCTTCCCTATAATAGGAAGTGCGCGTGCTAACAAAGAATATGGTTGGTAGGTATCCGGTATTCTGTAGGTGTACCATATTTTCAAATAACGGCATCTGATGGGCATCCACCTAATGTCCCCCTGATTATGTTGAAGAAATTCTGCCAAGGTGGACAGTAGCCAAGTCCCCGTGTCCGTCACGGTCGAGGGAGCAGGGCTGACCAGTTTGCAGCTAGGTTTCGTAATTAGACTGTTGGCTGGAAACATTAATCCCTCTGCATCAGTGGCCCTTTAACACTTTTAAGGGGGTGATTTACTTTTCATAAACAGACATAAAGAATCTCCGTTTCTGTGACGGAAATGTTTGTATACATGTTGTGGAACCAAAAAGCGTGATTTCGTCCTATATGTTCAGGTAGGGCTCTTATCCACACGTTTATTTGCCTTACACTCAGAAAACGTAACATTGACATGAACAACATATCACTGAAAACATTGAACAACTTCACACATACCTTGATCTGCAGACTCGCGTTGTCTTACGACGTGACTCAACCCTCTGCTCTTTCTGCTGTCAGCCATGACGAATAGTAATAATGTTCTTACAACAATATCGCAGTCATGACAGATAGGCGTCTGCTCAAATTATCTGAGGGAGAAATTCCTTGTTTTCAACCGGAAGTCAGCTTTTTCAAAGATACGAAGTGAATAGGATCGGGCGAAAAGTCTTCCTTATGACCTATCATCTTCATAATTATTGTTTCCGTTATTTAAACCAGCGATATCAAGGAAAGTGCATGCATATCTTTTCTACCAAATATGTAATATTTTGATTTATTGAGTCCGTATTAGGTAATCATTGAATATCATTACGCCTATCAGCCGATGTTTTTCAAAAGACAAGCATCTATCATTTGTGACACAAGAAAACATTTTAGTAGTCATAATTCAATGTCTTTAGTAAAATAAACACCAACAAGCGGTGGTATATATAGGTGTGTGAATGTGAGTCCGTTCAATATCTTGAACTATCTCCCCTAGGTGTGTTTATCCTTCCGCCCAAGAGAAAATGTACTACAGTATGAACAACTGTTGTTAAGTAAAGAAGGAGCATCAGCTGAAACGAGAAATGTTTGACATGTTCCCCCGAGTAGAGAACGGCTAACAGCTATAAATAGCAGTTGTTTGATTCTGCGTCACAATAGTGACACAATACAAAATCCACCTCTATATAATAACGCGTATCAAATCTCATAGTACCAGTAAATGTAATAGGCTTAACTACTAAAACATTTGCAACTACTCCCTTATTTTCACATTATCGTACCAATAACAATAATCTTATGAATATAATACAAATACGTGTACTGTACGACTCAATTTCAGAGAAGCTTAGTGCAAACAGAGATCGTTGGCCTTTCTTGGGGAACAAGTTCACAATAATAGGTTGAACACTAGAATAATAAACATATCTCTTTCAAAACTTGAGTATCTCCGATATGAGCAAACAAAATAGATACATGCAGTAGTAACAGCCTCTGTTATCTATATGTGTATGTGCTATACAGCATAAAAATAGTTTTTGTTTCGATGTTTTTATAAACATCACGATAGCTGGTGTGGATGACTGCAAATCTCTGATTAAAGAAGTTGTTTATCCATAAAACTCAATCGTTCCTATTCATCATACCAGCTTGTAAATGCCACTGAAAGACGTTCTGCTACAGTTGTCACTGACCAGAGAGATCCATGTATCTACTTAGAGCATAATTTCCTACGTAGTCGCTGCTCTACATAGGGAATGGCCATGCACACAAGTTAACGAACGTTATTAATTACTCGTGTTTCGCCTTGTCACAGTAATAAATGATCTATTCCAACAGTGGTGTGAAACCTCCCATAAAGTTCGACCCGTGAAGGTCCGGGGTAGAATAGCCCTTCAGCAACCCATGCTTGCTATAAAAGGCGACTATGCTTGTGGTAAGAGGCGACTAACGGGATCGGGTGGTCAGATTTGCTGACTTTGTTGACACATGTCCTCGTATCCCAATTGCGTAGATCGATGTTCTTGCTGTTTATCACTGGGTTGTCTGGTCTAGATCCGATTATTTACAGACCGCCGCCATATAGCTGGAATATTGCTGAGTGCGGCGTAAAACTCAACTCACTCACTCACTCACTCCATTAAGTTCAAGTCGTGCACTTACACACAATGAACAGCTGCATGTAGTACATTGTTTTCTTCCTGCATGATAATGCATATTACAGCATGATGCATGGATGCGCTGTTCTCCAAGTGTTCCAGGGCCCAAGAAGGGGTCTGTGTGTTTAGGTGCTTGTAACTCCCGTACTTTTTGAAATGTTCCCTGTTTTCCGTGTTCGGAAGTAAGAGAGTACAATTAATGTCAGGTTTACAATAATAAACGAAAAAGAGTTTACAATAAATAGTCTTAACGAAATCATGAATATTCATGAGTGGGCGGAGATTTCTGTGCACTTAAGACCATTGTGCGTTTAAGGGCACAACAAACGGTTGGGGGAAGCTTTACGCCGCTTTTAGCAATATTCAACTAAATATCACCTTGGGGGACATCAGTGTGGAATCGAACCAGGTTCTTCGATGCCGACGAACGAATGCTTTAACCGTTAGGCTACCCCACCGCCCTGAACTAACGAGACAAGCATCAGTATGTGTTCATGTCAGTCGTTTGACCCGCAGCTGAGCGTATGAGTTGCATATAACGCTGATGTCAACGCGATCATAAGGAGTGAGCTGGATGTGGTAGGAAATCTTAAAGTGATGCAGGTCTAAACCTCAAGATCTCCAGTTAAACCGAAGGGTATGGAGCTGACAAACTAGGTAACATACACAGGACGAAGAACCCGGACAGTGTGGCGCCACTGAACTACCGAGAGCCCTCCCTGCCCTAGATCACTCCAGAATGGGCGGGCATGCCTGCATGTGAAACACTTTCTGGCATGGGCAGGGATTGGGTTTTAGAAAACGTATATGTATCCCGAACAACACAAAATCTCATTCATTTATTCATTCATAACCCGTGAAGATCTGGGTTAGAACTGGTCTTCATTAACCCATGCTTGTCGTAAGAGTCTACTAACGGAATCAGGTGGTCAGGCTTGCTGACTTACATGTCATCGTATCCCAACTGCATAGATCCATGCTCATGCTGCTGATCACTGGCTTGTCTGGTTCAGACTCGATCATTTACAGACCGTCCCAATAGAGCTGGAATATTGCTGAGTGCAACCTCACTCACTCACTCGGCATCACAGACAAACATGTTCTGTATTCCTATTTAATATCTAAATATACAATCGGTTGTCAAACTGACCTGTCTCGTGGACTGTAACAGCCAGCTTTAGCATACGAGACAGCCATGCAGGGGAAGTGTAAAACAGTTTACGGTTATTACGAAACACAGTTTTAACTTTGTCCAATGACGACGAAAGTTCAATATAAGTGCCTTTATATATATTAGGTCACTTAAAACAGATTGCACGTAATTATAATGAAAGCTTAAGTTACATAACGAGTGAACTTTTGTCAATTATTTCAAAATAACATAATTTCATAATGTGGTATCGTTCGTTCAAAATATCTTTTAACCACACGAGTCTCACAAATAAGGCTTATAGAAAAGAAATCAAACTTGTAAATTTCGGGTGACATTTTCATTTGGCTCCCCGTGCTTGATCCCCACATTTTCATTGTGCGTGCACATGGAGTGATTATTTTCTTCTCTTTTGTTCTTCTTTAAATCTCATACAACTTCTACATATTATCTTGCACATTACGAAACGAACCCGGAACCCGTACACACATTTTAACTATTTTGATGGAATCGAAAGATTCGCGAATAAAATACCCCCAAATAAAGGAAATCAAAACTCTAATATACTTTGTGAAAAAAACTAGGAAACATCATAATTTATTTTAATTCATGTAGCTATAGATGCCTAGATTTATATGATAAGTTCAATGACTTTGTAACTGAACTTATCTGCGGTACAGAAATGTTCAGTGGGAATATATGAGAGTAAACGTTGACCCAACTACCTGTTCCTGGTGTCACTTGTTGGTGGCTGAGGTAGACATTATAGGGACAAAATTATATTCGACTCACTACCCACACTCCACCCACCTGCCACAAACACAATAATGTTATGTTACTATATAAACCAATTTGACGAGAGTCGAGGTTTTTAAGCGGTAAGATATTAATCGCTCAAACACATTATCCTTTTCACTACCCACCAGACGCCCTGACAAAAGCGCTCATATATTGGAAACAGTTGTCGGAAGTACGTATTAGTTTTTCGGAGGGTGTTAGCCATCTTGAGAAGAGCCGGTGGCTGTCCAAAGAAAACGTTTCGTAGTGTCCGTGTAAACAGTGTAGACTAGTAGCCATGGATGAAGAATACGATGTCATCGTTTTGGGTACAGGCTTGAAGGTTGGTAGTTTTGTTTCGCTGAGTACCTATTAGTTCCGAATGAGTTGTTTTTCTATGATCAATTTATTGTGATGTCGGGGAGTCATGCGACAGAGACGAAAATAGGACCAACACGTCATTATAGTAGTGACACGAACTGATGTAATTCTAGATTGTTTTAGTCATATGTAATGTAGTTTATCCGATTCCTGAAGACAGATTATGTCTTTAATCACACACACACGCAATCCTATATACCGTGGTACTCCAGACGCTAGCCCTACTTGTGTATCCAACTGGCCATGTCATTATCAAAAAGTGGGAGGTACTCGCTGATGCTCTTAATAGATCTAGTGTTTATATACACTAACTTAAAGGTGAATTTGTGGTCTTTTCTCAAAACGTGTTGTTTCATATTGCATGGCATCTTTTGTTTGATTTGAGGATCTTATTTGGATTCATTTCTTTCAGAATTGAGGAAAACAATCTTATCATAAATTTACAGATCCGTTTATCTTCTGTTGAATTTAAACCTTGTTTAAAGAACAGATAAACTTTACATATGAAAGATTTGTGGTTAGTCTTATGCGGAACACCAAATTCATTCTTAACAAACTTTTGGTTAATTAATACCGAGCCATTAAAAGTTACCAAAAAGTCGTCTGCTTCACTCTTGCCCGCCAACAAAACCACAGACAGGTTACGTATCTCTGTCGCCAGAGCACTGCAGTGGCGTCATATGAGGAAGGATTTTCAGTTAGTTGTATAGAAGTGTGTAGCAAACTCGTCTTTTTGATGATTTCTCGACATCAACGAAGACATGCCGAATCGTTGCGTTGTCGTCAATTGCTCCCAGGGGTCGGGCGATGGTGTCGCCATGCACAGATTTCCACAGGACCCCAAAGTTCGTACTGAGTTATGTTTGTGAGTGCAAAGCAAGCGTTGTGGAAGCCTGAAACGATATCTTACTTGTGTTAGATCGCTTCACGGAAGTTAAAGAATCAAAACTACTTACTAGTTGTAGTAAAATATGTATATGATTGATGCCCAAAAAGATATTCCATGACACAACTTGTAACATAACTATTTCTTCCTCGGTAGCGAGGTTGTGGTCAAAGTGACAATAATACTGTAAGTAGTTATTGACACCCACCTCGCTTCCGGGAGAGAAATTGTTATGTTATGAGCTATGTCATGCAAAATCCTATCGGCCTTCAATCAAATACATATTTTACTACCAGTAGAAAGTAGTTTTGATTTTGTAACTCGGTGAAAACAAACCTAAATAGCATTTATCCTCAGATCGCAGATGTTCGCGACAGGGCGCCGCCATTTTTGAAAATCGTAAAGTCATGGGCTAAAGTATGTTAGAATTAATGAGATTATGGTTTTCTACTTGTAGTTAAATATGTATTTGAATCATGACCAAAAGGATTTTGCATGACACAACTTATAACATAAGGATTTCTTCCACGGAGGCGAGGTGGGGGTCGAAGTCACAATACTGCACGATAAATTTCTTGCTACATTCACGTGGTTAACGTCCACTCACCAGTATGTAGATACTAGTCAATGTATGTCTTTATATTTGGTCTTTTAATCCTAATTAGTTTATTATCATACTTGTATGCATTTTGAAACTAAATAATAAGCTGACGATCTGCTGATACTTATAGTGAATTTATAACAGGACTGTAATATCTAGACATTTTATAGTTTGCCAGTATGAATCATAATTCGCACACACGCCCTAGTGTATGTTGTCTGTCTCATTACACTTCACGGCGAAAACAATGATTCTGTTGAATGCTACGACAAATGAATAAAACATAATGCAAATATTAAAATTAAAACAGATTAAAGTTATAGGAACAATGTCAGGCTATTACCTTGTTCGAAGAATGTATCCATCAATATCCACAAAAACAAGTGATATGCCATTCATCTGCAGCTGTTCCAAGTGATGTGTCTTTTCACAGTGTAATGTACGAAAAGGTGATATATCGTTTCATGTATTTCACATTGGTGTATAGTCTCATTGGTCACCCAAGAGAGCACACCTGGCAACTAATTGCATAATGTCCGCCTTTCTTTTAAAAAAAGTAATTTAGTTAGCCAGTAATGAGCAATTAATCAATGTATTGGTGGTTAATCCTTTGAAAGAAGGACGTTTTTTCACAGACACAGATACCACAGAGTATATTCAGTATAGATTATTAAATCTACATACATACATAAACACTACCTTTTGACTAATCCGCTGTGCAAAAGTAATTACTCAATCAGTGTGTTATCGGTTAATCCTTTAATCGATGTTTATAATGTTGAGCATTTACTCCAGACACAAGAAATGCCAAATGGGAACCTTTGTCGGGTAATCTAAGTGATGTTACCACTAATTATACCTTTTTTAAATTCATTAACTGACCATCAAGTAAATGATGACAAATAACATGTGTAGGTTTATACCACCTAACACGAGTTACAAGGGAGTATTTAATTGCTGTATTGCATGCAATTTTAACTGCATGTGAAAACTTATGGGCCGACACTGTTTTGTGAATACAAACAGAACTTCATTGTTGCATAAGAAATACATTTAGGCATTTTCTGTGTGCTAAAACTGTATGTACCTATTTACCTAAGTAAATTTTCAGATTCTTTTAGCAATGGCAAAGTAGGGTTGTTTAGTTTACGGATTCAAATAAGTCAAATGTCAATTTTTGATATCATGCGTAATAGACGTCATATTTTTACATGACATGATTAAATATCGAGGTAAAAAACACAGAAATGGGATCAATTTAGATCAGTCATTATACCCCCATCCAGGCATTAGAAAACCTGAAAAAGCCCACACTTCTTTGATACTTTATTACAATCACACAAGAACTACCGGGGATATTTTCAAATAACTGCATGTGATGGGCATCCACCCTTCTTAATGTCACACTGTTTATGTTGAAGACATTTAACCGTAACCGTGATGAGCGAGACTGATCATCGTTTTTACTATCACTAGCGTCTAGTGCCTGCAAACACTGCAAGATTTCATGAAATGTAAACAAAGTTACATAACAATGAAATTATGACACAAATACAAATAATTTTTACAATTTTTTTACATATAATACATAGTAGTTTTTGCCTAAATCCATACACAGAGTAATTTTGAAGAATAGGACCTAAATAAAAAGGATATAATGCCGTATATATATCTATATACGGGACTCCAGTGCTCGCCCAACCATCCACTTGGGCGAAAAGGGAGAGAGCGACAAGTAAGGCTGGTGACATGACTGTTTACGTGGGAAAAGGCAGGTAACTCGTGGGTGAGTGTATTTTTACGTCCGCTTCAGGAACTCCAAGGGATTCAAGTGTTCCACTACCATTCGCAAGGAAAAGGGAGATATACAAAAGATCATGAGTCAGAATAAGTATAAAAATATCAATTTTACTTTAAAAGGACATTATTTGTACCCCCCTAGAGTATATGTGATCTTTAAGTAGTTCTTATCTCCTCTCATGAATTTTCGTGAGAAAGGAAGAAATATGAAGAAGATGAAGTGTCTTCTGTCTGAATTATGTTTCCTTTTAACTTACTAACACCTAACAAACAATTGCTATAGAGGTATGAAAGAGAAGTAAATTATAAAGTTGTCAATCTAGGTCTTGTATTTGACCTGATTGAGAATTTGTTGAAATGAGAAGAAAAAGATACCTCAATCTAAAAACCCCAATCTATTTTTGTATATAGGTAGCCACCGGTAAGATCAAGAAGCAAAGCCAAAGTTGTAGATAGCCAAGGATTTGAAATTATTTATCAGCAATATCATTTACAAGCACATAGCAGTAACAAAAATTATGTAAGAAAACCAGTGAAACAATATGTAGAAGGCTATTACATATGGAATTGTATTATGTGTCTCTGTATGCATGTCCATTAATATACCAATGCATATTATCTTGTTTAGTCATGTATTTGTACTGGAATCACCATTATAAGTTGTGGAGTAGCACCTTCTGGAAGAAGGTACTTGATATTTACTACTTGTACGAGGTGAAGTGAGGTGAGATTGGGTTTAACGTCGTGCTTGAGACTATTTCGCTCATATGACATGCATGCGTGTGTATGTGTATGTGCGGCTGCTTGTACTAGCCCAGACTGAAGCTGGTTTTATAGTGCTAGCCCACTGAGATACTACTACTTGTACGAATAAGATCTATCCACTGGAAACTGGCTAAGTTAACAGGTAGATTTGGTTGCATCACAGGACATCTCTGAAAGAGTAACAGTTGGCTAGAATATGCACTCCAGTCTGTGCATGCTGTAGGAGGTGTTTATGATAGACATTTCTGGTGTCCCCCGCCGTGATGTTGCTGGAATATTGCTAAAAGGGGCGTAAAACCAAACTCAGTCAGTCAGTTTATGATAGATCAGACGGTCAGACAGCAGAGAGTTGAATTCAATCTGCTGATCAAGTTTACAGACTGAATACACTACTGGCTTGTAGAAATTGCTATTCCATGCTTGAATGAGTCACCACATACCAGTGACATGAAAAAGGTTTATTTGATTTGAATTATTTTCACTTTTGCTGGAAGTTCTTCAAAATTTATCAGTAATGGATCGATATTTAGTTAGCAATTATCAATCTTTATCATCTATGTCAATAGCTTGCCTTTTCTAAACTATCCTTTCACTGTACCAAACTAAACCCCTCAAATCGTGCAATGCATTATGGCACCATGTACAGAAGGGTAACCTAAATTCGTGGATAACCTTGATTCGTGGATTGCAGAAATTATCATGCTAGCTCGTAAATTAAGTCTCGACTGACGTCACGAAGCGGTACTTTTGACGTACAATGCCACGCCTCACTGAAATTAAAGTTCCGAATCTCTGCATTACACGCAAGTACACTAAATATAATTGTCCAGCATTGAGATAAATAGCCCCAAATTACTAATACCAACATTACCAAATTTTATTTTTACAAAATATCAACCAAAAAAGATACCATTAGCTCCAACATTCTCACTTCTTGTCTGCTTTCCTTGGTGTCAATACTTACTGCAGTGGGATGTCGTACATAGTGGTATAAAGTAACCCACTACGTAATCCACGAAACAAGGTGACGAGACATTTTGTGGGCACACGAATGGGTGATGATTGCAAATGGCTACGTAAACAAATGCTTCATTCACGAGTGGAATATTAGGCATTTTCAATTTGCTGAATCAAAGCATAAAATAATCACTGCGTATACAAAATGAAAGCATGCATTTAAGATATGAATTTCGCCGTACTTCCCTTATATCCAGAATCAAGGTTACGCGAGTGTAATTCTTTTTAATTGGTACATCAAACTGCCTGCTTACAGTAACAAAATTCATGATGATATATATCTGTCAGCAGATGCAACTAATACAAGGAAATAAAAAGTCTGCACTGTAGTAACAATATGTTTCAAGACACCTTTGAAATGATACACAATGCATATTATTTCAGGTTCCGGTATATATAAAAGAAATATTACAAGTTTCGTAAATATCTGTGTTGTTTAATCTAACATCTGCCCAGAAGTTCATTCACAAAAGATGCTTCCCTTTAAAATTGGCTGACAAAGTGACAACATTGGACTGAAAATGAAATAGTCCAGTTACTGTTCCCCATGTCATCATGGCTGAACCTGGTGGCAGCTGCAGTCATTGTCACTCACTTCAGCTCAAAATGTGTCACAGTATTTTGCAGTACAGTATTTTTGCCAATGCAAACTTTGAAATACAAATAAAACCTGACTTCTGTAGTGTATTTTGTGTCAACAACATGAGATATGCATCTAGCTTCAGAATGTTCTTCAGTGTGTATGGAAGTAGTTACAGTAATTTGTCCTTCCTGATGATATAAATACAACAGAAATGCTATAAATTAGTAACAGTTTCACAACTGATTTTGAAAAAGACCTGTTTGTATCTTAGGCAAGTTTAGTGATGTGTGTAATAGTGTTTGCTATTTTAACTCAATGGGAATGATTTCAACAAAATGCAGTAGGGTTGCCTGACTGACTCACTGGATGCTCGATGTTAACACAGCACTGTTTCATTAGAAACCAATCTTTATCCAATAAAATCGCTTCTTTCAACTGTGAAAATACTCTCGGCAAGGGTATAGTGATATTGTTGATGTTCAGAGCTTTCGAACGATACCCGCCATCAAATGATTCGCCTCGCATGTTATGCATTCCGAAGCTTCGAAAACGGAGGTATTTTCCGTTGTTGTGTCATGTTACAGAGCGGAAAGCTACTGATATCGGGAAATGGGCGACCATACATATTATTTATGAATTTTTTTTATAATTGTTATAATTTGGGTATACACTCACACACATAGTCCCTCATGTCTTTGCAAGGATTAGAGATTAAAAATGTTTCTAAAACAATTCAGATGACTCTCCTAATCGAAATGCTTCAAGTACATTAAATCAAGACAGGGCTGGAAACTTCAATGTACCCCACCTGCCTGATTTGCTGATTGCTACACTACCATCGCATGCAACTGATTAAAACTGTATGTAAACATAATCATGGATTATTGACCAATCGATCACCACCCCCGACACCAATTCTTTATTGTTATTTCTGGAAGTCGATTGAAAGCCTATTCTGACCCTCAACTGAACGTCCTAGTCACAAATCGATGATGATCTGCACAAAACGGTGGTGGTGCTTGAAGCGAGCCCTCTGATTGGTTCAGTTGATGGTCAGGCCTAATAAAAATGTTGTGGTTCCGTTTACCCGACCCATCCTTGAGTTCTGCTGCAGACCCTATTTTTTTTAGGCGGTATGAATAAATTACGCTTTCGGATTCCATTGTGTTTTCCTTGCACCGACAGATGTTGGTAATTCTGATAGAGAAGTATATATGATGGCTGCCAGCTTGATTTAATAAACAATTACACATTGATAGATGTGTTATTAATTGTATGTATTCAGCGGCGTCCGTACGTACGTACGTCGTCCGATTCTTGTAAACGCGATATCTCATGAACTGTTGCACCCAATGTCTTCAAATTTGTTGACAGCCTACATTGGGAGATTATGCAGACACCAGTCGATTTGGGTGACCTTGACCTTATTTTCAAGGTCACCACAACACTTTGACCACTTTTCAAACTCTTGTTAACGCGATATATCTCATGAAATGTTGTACCCAATGTCTTCAAATTTGGTGACAGCCTACATTGGGTGATTACGCAGACACCAGTCAATTTGGGTGACCTTGACCACTTTTCAAACTCTTGTTAGCTCGATATCTCATGAAATGTTGTACCCAATGTCTTGAAATTTGGTGACAGCCTACATTGGGTGATTACGCAGACACCAGTCGATTTAGGTGACCTTGACCTTATTTTCAAGGTCACCATGACACTTTGACCACTTTTCAAACTCATGTTAGCGTGATATCTCATGAACTGTTGCACCCAATGTCTTGAAATTTGGTGACAGCCTACATTAGGGGATTACAAAGACACCAGACGATATGTGTGATCTTGACCTTATTTTCAAGGTCACCACGACACTGACCACTTTTCCAACTCTTGTTAACGTGATATCTCATGAATTGTTGTACCCAGTGTCTTCAAATTTGGTGACAGCCTACATTGGGGGATTGTGCAGACACCAGGTTATTTAGATGACCTTGACCTTATTTTCAAGGTCACCACGACACTGAACACTTTTCAAACTCTTCTTAACACGGCATCTCATCGACTGTTGTATTGGGTGACCTACGCAATGTCTTCAAATTTGGTGGCAGCGTACATTGGGGGATTACACAGACACCAGTTGATTTTGGGTGACCTTGACCTCATCTTCAAGGTCACCACGACATTGCCACATCAGTGGCAAACACTTGTTTGTACTTTACTTCTTAAAAAATTGTTAATAAAAAAATCCTACCTACCTACCCTAAATTATAAAGAGGTGTAATCAGAACCACAACATTTTATTTATTTGCCCCTAATATTGACTGTCCAATTTGGTCTTGTTTATATAATGTAACTAGAATTGGATGATCAACAGTTTTAACCCTCTAAATGTTCAGTTGTCTCAGACAAATGAAATGTCATTCCCTGCAACTATCTGGGTACCTCTCTTTATAATCATCATCGGTTTACAATCCATATCTCTGTTGCAGGAATGTATCCTCAGTGGCATGCTGTCTGTCAGTGGGAAGAAGGTCCTGCATATGGACAGAAACAAGTACTATGGTGGCGAGAGTGCCTCAATGACCCCACTTGAAGATGTAAGTTTGGTATATTCAGCAAATAACTTGTGGAACTAAGTTTATGACGAACAACAATAGTCGAATAATGTTTTAACTCAAACTGATGGTAATTTACTCTCCTTCATCTGACTACTGCTTCCAAGAATAATGTGACTGGCATGATATAAGTTGATAGCGATCAATAGCCCATTTGTGTATTGTTTGCTTATTATTTCTGCTTTTTTAATACACTGGAATTATATTAACTGGAATCTTCGTTGGCATTAACTTGAATCGGTGATAATTTAGTTCTTGCAGGGCGTATCGTTGAGAGGTTTCTGTTCAGTCTTCTTATTGATGTGTGACTTCTTATCGTGATATAGCTGAAACACTGCCATTGTGACATTAAGCTTTAACTCCTACACCGTGATAGGACTATTGTACCTCTTGCCTGTGTCTTGTCTATCTACCTATGGTTGATATATTGCCCATGTCCCAGTTTTGTAGTGGTTATAAAATCAGGATGACACTGATAGTTGTAGATTGACTCCAACTGCTGGTGTAAAGATTGATCAGTGTATTCACTGCCATGAAGTATCAGTGACCATGTCAGCTCACTACATCATAGTTATTATCCTAGGAAACCAAAGTGAACTGGCCCTTGTACATGTACCCACATTTTTCTCCATTTCAACATGAGAGACCTATGTTTATTTCCATATAGGGGGTGATGGGGTCACATGTAAAGCATTTACTCTTCAAGCCCAAGACCCAGATTCAGTTCCCACATAGGTACAATGTGTGGAGCACATTTCTGGTGTCCCTGCCATGATATTCTTGGAATATTGCATAAAGTGATGGAAAATTGTGTCCTGTTCTTTTCAGTTCTATAAATATAAAGGACGGACATATCCAGGAGATAATGAAAAGTTTGGAAGAGGAAGGGATTGGAATGTTGACCTAATTCCCAAGTTGTTGATGGCAAATGGTAAGAAGACTTAAGGTGCTATCTTAAGGTGAAGTAGATGCCACTCCCGGTTCCTGCATACTTCATTAATTTGCAGTGGACTGTCGAGAATGAATGATGATTGGCCATGATATGAGACAGGTGAAGGTCATGTACATTATGATAGCAGGGATCAAAATAGTGCAATATGCATACCATGGCATGGTACATATTGAAATGGCACAGGTGAAATACTTCTAATTTAATGGAAAATGAGCTGAATTTGACCAACTCCAATGACATATGCCTATTTTTGCCACCCATCAAACTGTTTAACATGGGCACGCCCATTTTGAATGTCAATATGCATAACGAGTAAATCTGGGTTTTGATGATAACATAGATTTTTCCTTATCATGAAATGTTTGTCTCCTTCTTCTTGCAAATGATAGTGTAACACTTGAAATCCCTTGAAGTTCCCTTCTAAAAAAAGCGGACATAAAATCATCACTCACCCACAAGTTGCCTCCCTTGTCCCTTTGGCATCCTTTCAATCACCTGACTGGCCATGCTTGTCACTCTCTCCTTCTTCGCCCTTGAGGACGGTTGTGAGAGCACCTGGGTCCCTATACGGCACATATCCTTTCCTTTTTGGACCTATTACATCCTAAATTCAGCTTTTTACGATTTTGGATTAGTATACTACTGATATGGTTTGGGATTTTGTCTAAAATTTACGTTGTTTGTACTTGATTTTCATCGTGTTTACATTTGATGAAAACTTGTATTCATTGACCCCCATTTATTATGTCCTGATTGTACTATCTCATGTTCTTCCCGCTCCCGCTGTAAACAAAGTCAGGGATTAACCACCTTTGAATTTAATAATTACCTCTTTTTTCATTCATAGACGTGCAAAGGACTGGGTTAGAAGGTATTCACAAGGCATGTCTGGTATATCAAGTGATTGCGCTGATAACTGTGTGTTGAATGTTACTGCTGATATTCATTCTGCTAGTGAATTGCCTAGCATACAAAGGCAGGTCGCTGTTCCAGCAATGAACTCTGGCTCACAGAAAAAGAGGTCGTCGTCAACAGAGCTGGCCTCTTCGCAGACTAAGAAGTCAAGGACGTCTTCAACGCTCAAAAAGAGGGCTCCTACCCTAAGACTTCGTCGCAGGCTTTACACAGCTCTACACAGAAGACGAGATCCTTCTCTGCCGAGATTGTACCTCCAGCGGAAGCAGACGTGTATGCTGATTCCCCCCCATCCTCATACCTGAAGTCACAGTCGTCTCCAAGAAGACGAGGCCTGCTTCCACAGCTACATCGGCAACCATATCAGCGCAGACATTGACAGAAGACCTTCTATCAACGCAGACATCGGGTACTAGAGATAGCAGCAGCGTCAACTCTTCTCAAGCACAGCGTACCTAAGAAGAGGCCTCATCGTCCTCCGAAGCATCATCAACCCTGCAGCAGTCGCAACTTACGTTGCAGAACTTCAACCGGGGGCTGTTTATGCAACAATTTACGGAACAGGTGATGTTGATGATGGAATGTCGCTATTCGCGCAGGAGAAGACTACTACGAGGACCTCTACCTTTACTACAAGCCTACGTGAAGGGTCAGCTGCCTCTCCAACACATCTGGAAGAAGAGACAAACCTGCGCGAAGGCCCACGCACCCGACCATGTTCCCCGGTCTGAAGAGAGGAGCTTCGACAACACTACCATGTCAGCTCAGCCCTAGACGTCCCTGAAGGAAACTCTAAGAGTCCTCCACGCAGAAGTAGATTGAAGCGTTCTCCAGAACCCTGCAGTAGACGTAGATATGGATCGTCATCTCCGTCAGACTCACGACTCACATCGGGAACCTGCATGCAGGCGCTTCACATCTCAAAGAGAGGCTACGACTGAGAATCAACCTTCACGAAGGTCTAGAGAGATATCACAAAACTCCAGGAGAAATACACGTTCTCATCGGGATCGTTCACCTTCGTGCAGCTCTACGTACAGATCTACATACTCACGTCGCCATGGATCGTCGGATCGGGAGATGTCGAAATCTGAGGATGAACGTGAAGTCATAGTAACCTCATGGATTGCAAAGGGTCTGAACCTGGCATCACCATCCAAGGGCACAGATGAGGCATATTCCTACAAAATGTCCAACGAAGAGTTCGACACACTCACCTTCCCACCGATCGACCCGATCTCCAAAGTACCGGAAACTCTCAGCACAGCTACCAAGTTTCAGAGTCAACACATACCGACGTTCAATGCCAAGGAATTCCCCCTACATCACATGGAACCCTTCCTGAAGGCACCAGAGATTGATGAGGACTACAAAATCATCGACGACTCCCGTTATAGAACTTACAAGATACAGGATAAGAAGCTAGCGCAACTTGATATGACTACTAGACATACTTTCTTCGGACTAGCCAGGTCCAGGGCTATCAACGAAGCACTCATCTCTAAGTTCAAGAACTCCACCGACGAAGAGGACCGGATGGTATATTCTACTCTACTGACTCAGAAGAAAGACCACCAGTATATGTCGGAGCATCTCGCGGGCCTCGCTCTCCTGAGGAGGCAAGGACTACTGTCGTCGTGCACCTTGAGTGAACGGTTCACCAAGTCCTTATACAGAGCCCCATGGTCAGCATCATCCATCCTCGGAGGAGGAATCGAGGAGTCGCCAAAGACGTTACACACGAATCAAGGGAGGTCATGATGATAAAGTCCATAGATACCTTGGCAAATGTGATCCGCCAGACGTCCCAGCTCTACTCCAAGTCCAAGTTTGCTGGAGTCCAGAAAGCCAGAGTAAAGAAATAGTCCAACCCTAAAGGAGGAAGAAGCTCTTTTCATCACCCAACCGGAGCCCCCAGAGGCAACCCCGGAAGAGGTCGAGCACCCAGAGGTGCCAGGGGATTCAAGCGCTGAAGGACAGGTTTGGAACGACTGGAGTCTTCCACCCCCAGCCGGTGTAATACTACAGGACGACTACGTATCACAAATACTACGCCGAGGGTACGAGATAGAGTTGGAAGCCACTCCACCGCTGACAAGCAACCCGCTGGCCTGCACCTATGCAACCGACCAGATAGACAAACTGGACGACGGAATCAAGACTCTACTCGACAAAGATGCAGTCGAAGAGATACATCAAGACCACATCACGCCCAGTTTTTACTCCCCAATTTTCCTGGTACCGAAAAAGAATTCCAAGGAGAATTTTGGCTCATCTACAACATGAGGAAGTTCAACCAGGAGTATCTTCGCAAACCAGCAAAATTCAAGATGATACATCTTCCTCAGCTCCGACATCTCGTTCGTAGATCAGACTACCTTGCCAGCATAGATCTGCAAGATGCTTATCTACACATCCCGATACATCCAGACTCAAGGAAATACCTAAGATTCCTTTTCAACGGACATCACTTCCAGTGGAGGGTTCTACCGTTTGGAATATCATCGGTCCCCTGATTGTTTACTCTAGTGACCAAGCCCATCATTGCATATCTACATCGTCGAGGTCTCACGCAGTGCATTCTACCTGGACGGCGGAATTTAAGTTCATCAAGAACCCAGGCAACTGCAACTAGACTTCACCATCAGGCTTCTCACTCAGTTAGGATGGCTGGTAAATCTCCTCAAGTCGGAACTGGAGCCGAAACAGGATCTACAATTCCTAGGAATTCGTTTCATCACGTCGTTGAATCGCATTGTCGTCCCAGAGGATCGTTGGGTCAAGATACAACAGATGATATCTCAAGCAATGCTCTCTCCATTGACACTACGCGCTTGGCAAAGCATGCTCGGTCTACTCACCTCAGCTCAACTCATGACTCGCAGAGGGAGGTTACAGCTACGCCCATTACAAAGATTTGTGAACGCCCATCTCGACAGTTCGGATCCACTGATACTACCAGACAACCTGAAACCATATCTCCTGTGGTGGACACAGAAGTCGAACCTTTTTGTCACAGCCGGTGTGCGTCACTACAAGGATTGGGTGCTCACCTAGACAGTGGCAGCAGGGAAGTGGTCGAGTCAGGATCACCTTCTACACATCAACCTGCTAGAGATGAAAGCAGTGATCAACGCTTTACAACATTGGTCCAGCGTACTGAGGAACGCAAAGCTCACGGTCCACACGGACAACTCCTCAGTGGCGTTTTACATCAACAAACAAGGATCAACAAGATCACCAAATTCTGTTAAAACTCAGCTTTTACCTGTTCAGCATCGTCGACGACCTGAACATCTACGTGAAGGCATGTTCAATTCCAGGAGCAAAGAATGTCATAGCAGAGGCGCCCTATCTCGGTCCACTTCAACCATCCCCGACAGAATGGATGCTACATCCAGAAGTATTCCGGTTCGTCATACCGACAGTAGGATCTTGGCTCATAGACCTGTTTGCAACAAAATTCAACAAACAGCTACCAACATTCGTCTCACCGGTACCGGATCCTCAGACATGGGCAACAGATGATCTAAGCATCTCGTGGGAAGGACTAAACGCCTACGCGTTTCCACCTCCAGCACTACTACCACAAGTAATACAGAAAATCAAGCAGACGACGCTGCAACTGATTTTGGTCGCTCCCTATTGGCCAGCGAGGGTATGGTTTCCCGTCCTCATACAAGAACTTGGAAGTCCAACCCTGAAACTACCAGAGTGGACGAACCTACTCGTCCATCCACACACCAAGCAAACTCACGGGAATCCGACAATGTTCCAGCTACACACGTGGAGCGTATCAAAGCTTGCTTAAAGAAAAGAGGGTACTCCGCCAGAGCAGCGAAAGCAGTGACACTAGCTCTATGCAGATCAACTCGCAACTTATACGACGACAAGTGGCAGAAGTTTGAACAGTATGCAACGAGGAAAGGCTTTACAGCGGTACAAGCAACCCATCCTCAAGTGGCAGAATACCTGTGTCATTTGCGACAGACGAGACACTTAAAAGGTTCATCACTCTCAACATACCTGGCTGCTCTCAGCACAGTTATCACCATGAAGGCGGGTGTCAAGTTGACCAAAGTACCAGAGATACTGGCACTACTATGCTCGTTCAAGTTTGAAGACCAACAAAAGAAATTCAAGGCTCCTGGTTCTGAATGTAGTTCTACAACATCTCACCAGTGACTCCTATGAGCCTCTACACTGGACATCCTTTGAACTACTGACACAGAAAACGCTGTTTCTGATCGCCCTAGCAACAGCACCATGGATGTCAGAAATACATGCTCTGGACTTTGAACGAACACGATTTGAATCAACACATCGTAACATCGTACATCTTGGACTGAGGTGGGATTTCATCGCAAAGAACCAACTGCCTGGCCAGCCTGACAGACAGTTCCACCTTCCAGCACTCTCTACAGTCCTTGGGCCACGGGATACACAGGATCTATCCTTATGCCCTGTCAGAGCATTGGAAGTCTACCTAGAAAGGACAAAGACTAGGAGACGAAAATTCAAGCGCCTATTCATCCCCTTATCCACTGAGACGCCCACGGAAGTCTCACGAACAACTATATCAGTATGGATGAGAGCCGTCATACTAAGGGCCTACAAAGCAGCAGGACTTGAGCCTCCACGAGCCTCCAATCCCCACGGAGTCAGAGCCCTGGTGTCTACACATGCTCTGCATGGAAACTGTACGATTATAACTATAATGGAGGGCTACTTTTGGAAATCAGACACAGTGTTTGCCAACCACTACCTCAGAGACATTGCCACCGAAGACGTCTCAGGCTTTCACCAGTTTGGGTCACTTGTTGTAGCACAATGACTAACGGTTCCACAAAGGCTCTGAGTAAATTTCACCCTTTTATCACGTGACTTGTGAAAACCAACACTCCGGAGAGCAAATGGTTATGTCCATACACACGTCTAGAACAGACTAGCATGAGTGATAGACCCTGTGCTTGTATAGGACTTACTCGTACATGAAGAAGGGTCACATCTCCACTTGATGCACTTCATCAAGAGATGGAGTTGCAATAGATAACTAATGGAACATTAGTATATCTAAAAATCCACACGAAAATGTCAGAAGTTTCGGAAGAAATCGGACAAGTTGTGCCAAAAACCACCCAAACAAAACACACACACACACACACACACACACACACACACACTTACTAAGGTCTCATCAGAAGGAAGTTGGAAGAACAGAGTCATCAGCAGTACTGTCATAAGTTCCCATGGGGGGTAATAATACAGGACGTAAAACAGCAGCCAGTGAATCCAGGAAGTGGCTTGACCCACCACCGTTTCCGACAGATTCTGCAAGCATTTAGCATGAGTCAGGATAAGGAAAAATATGTAGTTTTCTGATTAAAATTGATATTTTATACTTATCCTGACTCATGAGGTCAGCCCTTCCTCTCAAGGCACTCTGGATTTCCCTGTAAATCCGGGTGTCAGGCGAAAGTATACATTCAGGAGAGAGTGACAAGCATGGCCAGTCAGGTGACTGATAGGGCGCCAAAGGGGCAAGGGAGGCAACTCGTGGGTGAGTGATGATTTTACGTCCGCTTTTTTAGAAGGGAACTTCAAGGGATTTCAAGTGTTCCACTATCATTCGCAAGAAGAAGGAGACTAGCATTTAGCATGAGTCAGGATAAGTATAAAATATCAATTTTAATCAGAAAATGACATTTCCTGTGTTAGTTTATGGGTCCAGGACAAATGAAGCTAAAATATTCTTGCAGTCTTGATAGTTGTCAGGAAATCCAGCTCTCAAGTTGACAGGGTTACTTGATGTTTACTTGATGTTTGTTTAACAATAGCTGACATTGTTGTCATAATTATTGTGATGTTTAAGTTAACTGGGTCATCTAAAGGTTTTGGCATGCTATTTTTATCCCCCCGTCGTGTATTGCAGGGGGATATAGTAGAGGCCTCGTTTGTCCGTCCGTTATCATTTTGTTTCCGGGGCATAACTCAAAATCCGTTCAATATATTTCAACAAAAATTGGTATATATAACAAACAGAACCTAAAGTGGTGCCTTTTGCTTTTTACAGATTTTTGTCATTTATATTTTCTCGGTTTCCATGGAAACGATTCGGACTTAATCTCAAAAGGAGGGGTCGGTTTCATTTCCGGAGCGCAACTGGAAAACCTTTAAATATCTTTCAGCAAAACTTGGTTGATATATCAAACAGAACATAAGGTGGTGACTTTTGATATTTACATATTTTTGTCATTTTTATTTTTCATGATTTACATGGAAACGTGTTGGACTAAGTCTCAATAAAGGATGGGTGGGCTTCTTTTCCGGAGCACAACTCAAAACCTTTCAGTGTCTTTCAGCAAAACTTGGTAGATATATGAGGCAGATCCCAAAGTGGTGCCTTTTGCTATTTACCAATTTTTGGCATTTATATTTTTCATGATTTCCATGGAAATGATTTAGACTTAGTCTAAAATAAATCAAGTTAGACTTTATGTAACTGTCATATGATTTGTTCTTTCAAGTATGTGGGAGCCGGGGGGATTTGTCACACCTAAATCGTCTTGATTGCGGATGTGGGTACCCTTGTGGTTAAAGCGTCCGCTCGTCACGTTGAAGACCCAGGTTCGATTTCCCACATGGGTACAATGTGTGAAGCCTATTTCTGGTGTCCCCTACCGTGATATTGCTTGAAATTTGCTGGAAGCGGCGTAAAACCATACTTGCTGTCTCCCTGTATGGAGTTTGTTGCATGGAATTAAACACCGCTAAGCACTGTCAAAAGAGGCACATGGTTGAATGTTAATAATAGGTAAATAAGACTCATCCATGTTTAAAACCATGCCTCAAACCACCACATGGTGGTCATTACTAAATCATGGTGAAAACCATGGCAATGTCATGTCTTGTTCGAGAATGAACTTATGTAAGTGATGACAGTCCTGTGATGACAGTAGTGGGTGGCCTATCATTATAAGTCTGAAGCCATTCATGGTTTGCCTTCAACCTCAGGAGCTGCTAACTACAATCATATTCTTATATAAATCTGTTTTTTTATGCCAGTGTTTCATGAACGTGTGTTCTTGCAGAGGCCCAGATAAGCTGCGTATCTGGGTAAAATACGCATAGAAAATTTCCAATTACGCATTGAAAAATAATTGTTGCGTACCAATTACGCATTTAAAATGTTAGATACGCAAAAAGTTTAAAACACATGCGTACGGAATATATTTATAAAAATCGCTTTCGTAATGAAAAAAACATGGATTGCTATCAAGTTGTTCTGTTAGTATAGGACTAGTGTTGTACTGTCCGTATAGGATGAGGGATTTTTTATGAAATCATTTCCATTATATTTAAGTTGGTTTTATTGGGTATGACATAAGGTAGAACATACCTGCTTAGTAAACTTACTCAATGACATAAAACTTAGGTGAGTAAAATGACTGAAATACGCACATATTTGAAAGCAGTGGGTAACGGAAAATGAAATACCCACTCAACATTCATAATACCCACTCCAAAAAAATACAGTGGGTACAGTACCCACATGAGCTAAATCTTATCTGGAGCTCTGTTCTTGTATGTGTCCTCCTTGTTGATACAATGTGTTCGTGGCTGTTTCCAGGCCAGCTGGTGAAGCTTCTCCTCCACACTAAGGTCACCAGGTACCTGGAGTTCAAGTCCATTGAAGGAAGCTATGTATACAAGCAAGGCAAAATCTACAAGGTGCCCTGCAATGAAAAGGAGGCTCTTACTTCATGTGAGTACTGTTCAGAAATGCTCCTTGCTTATTATCCTGATGATGATAGTAAGCCTATGTGAAAGTATTTGTGTGATTTCTGGTCCTTGTCCATGCTGGATATATATGGAATAGTACTAAAAGTGGCATAATAACATGCTCTCACTCACTCATATTTCAACATGGCAACTAAGAGAATGTGTTGCGATAAAAAAAAAATCAATCACCTCTGATATCATTAGCAGGGCTCCAGATAAGGGCCGTATCGGCGTATGTATTGATAAAAAATATGCAATATACGGTAGGAAAAAAATGAGAAAACGCAGCAGATACGCACCACAGCAATGGTGTACTGTGTTAGAATCATTTACAGACATGTTTATCTAAAAAGATATTGTTTTATTGTTTATTGACCTGTTTATACAAGGGTAGCAATGTTGTGAATATTTGAAACGAAACTGATATGCCATTAGATTCCATTCAGTGCTCTAAGTATTTCCAGTACTCCTATATTGAAAAAATAAGGAGTACGTATTCCTGATGTTGAAATATTATCTGGAGGTCTGATTAGATACTTACTTGTATAGCTTTGTGGTTAGAATTATTGCTTTCCTTTCCTAAAACATATTATCCCCCTAACGCTTTTGGGGGGGGGTATTAAAATGGACTCCGTCCGTGCACATTTGTCTTTTCCGGAGCAGAACTCTAAAACCGTTCACTATTTCTTCACCAAACTTGGCACATAGATAGATCTGGTGGTGTACTGGTGCCTTTTGGTAGTTTTGGAATTCTGAAAAAAATATTTGTAGAATTTCCATGGCAACAAGTTTGACATAGACTGAAATTGGTGATAGTGCTCCTTTCTGGAGCAGAACTTTAAAAACCTTTCAATACTCTCCTTCCACTTTTCTATATACACACCTAAATATTTGACATAATCATAACTCTAGACATAGACTCGAGACATAATCATGAAGAGTATTTTGCCATTGTGGGGGATATTGATGACTTTGTCTTCTTGTTGTCAGTTGCATTGAAGACTTGATTTAAACAGAATATTGTAAATGGACCTAGAATTGTTACTTAACTGTTTTCAAACATTGAAAATGCATTTTTGTTGTTATATCATTTTTTTGTTGTCTTTCAGCTTTAATGGGTCTGTTTGAGAAAAGGAGGTTTAAGAATTTCCTTCAGTATGTTTCGGACTTTAAGGAAGATGACCCAAAGACCCACAAGGATATCAATGTGAAAGGAACAGCCTTACAGCTCTATGAAAAGTTTGGTTTGGACAAGGGAACTATTGACTTTGCAGGCCATGCCTTGGCTCTCTACCGAGATGACAGGTATATAGTTTTTTATGGCAAGAACAAATGATAAGACATAGCTTGATAAGACAAGAAGACCATGGTAACACACAAATCTGGCCAAACCTTTCTCTACAATTTGTTTCTGATTATTACATATTGTTATCCCCCCCGGCATGTAATGCGGGGGCATATAGTCGACGCCTCGTCTGTACGTCCGTAATCATTTTGTTTCCGGAGCATAACTCAAAAACCGTTCAATATTTTCAACAAAACTTGGTAGATATATCAAACAGAACCTTAAGTGGTGCCTTTTGCTATTTGCAGATTTTTGGCATTTTGATTTTTCCCGGTTTCCATGGAAACGATTCCAACTTAGTCCCAAAAGGGAGGAGTGGGCTTCGTTTCCAGAGCACAACTCGAAAACTTCTTAATAACTTTCAGCAAAACTTGGCAGATATATGAGACAGATCTCAAACTGGTGCCTTTTGCTATTTGCGGATTTTTGTGATTTTATTATTTTCTGGGTTTCCATGAAAACGATTCGGAGGGAGGGGTGGGTTTCGTTTCCGGAGCACAACTCGAAAACTTCTTTATATCTTTCAGCAAAACTTGGGAGATATATGAGGCAGATGCCAAAGTGGTGCCTTTTGCTATTTTGATTTTTGGCATATGTAATTTTCCGGGTTTCCATAGGATTCGGACTTCATCCCAGAAGGGAGGGGTGGGCTTCATTTCCGGAGTACAACTTGAAAAGCGTTCAATATATTTCAACAGAACTAGGCAGATATATGAGACAGATCTTAAAGTGGTGCCTTTGGCTATTTACATACTCTTGGCATTTATATTTCTCATGATTTCCATGGAAACAATTTGGACTTAGTCAAAAAATAGCTGGACTCACTGAGTGAGTGAGTTGAGTTTTGCGCCAATCTCAGCAATATTCAAGCTATATGGCGGGGGTATGTAAATAATCTAAAATGGACCAGACAATCCAGTGATCAACAGAATGAGCATGGATCTGCGTAATTGGGAACCGATGACATGTCAACCAAGTCAGAGCCAGACCACCCGATCCCATTAGTCACCTCTTACGACAAGCATGGGTTACTGAAGGCCAATATTCTAACCTGGACCTTCACAGGTCAGCTGGACTTTAAGTAGCTGTCAGATGATTTCTTCTTTCAAATATGTGGGGTCCGGGGGGATATGTCATCTTCTGATGACTTGTTGAGCTCTGCAAGAATGGGGTCTCACTGGAAACTGTGGTGAAGATGTGAATTTCCCACCCTTGGGGATGTGCTACTGCCCTTATTGTTCCGCACCCTACCCCTACAATCCCTTGAATATTTGTATAAATGGAAGCTGAAAATGCATTCACTTCTTTTTATGGAGATATATGATTGTCTAAACAATCAAACAATCATGGAGACCTATCCTAAAACTGTTTCACCTCAAGGTAAGCAAGGACTACCCACTGTTGACATTGGTTGTTTAAACGAACATAGCTTGACAATCCATACCAAACACCAAGTTGTGTGGATTGGATGCAAATAAGAGACATCATTGCCATACTTACCACTTGGTGTGTTATGACGATATCAGGGCCGGTGGGGTAGCCCAGTGGTTAAAGTGTTCGTTAGCATGCTGAATATCCAAGTTCAATTCCCCCCATGGATACCATATGTGAAGCCCTTTTCCAATGTCACCTGATATGATATTGTTTGAACATAAATAACAATCTCATTTATGTTTTTGCATTCAAGCATAATTGTACAAAGACAACACAAATTTGTCTGAGACCCATTAACTACTCTCCAGTTTGAAAGAGGCCCAGTTGATGAAGCATTGTAACATATGTTATATTTGGGATTACACTTTCTTAGTAAAGTACAAATTCTAGTACTTTTTTTAGTTGAGCCCCATCCGGGATTTGAACTCACACCCTCAGAGTCAGGCACCTAATCGCCAGCACTCAAAGTCAGCCGCCTAACCTATTCAGCTACCGCGACTTCCGCAAAAATGGAAGTCGGACAACTGGTAGTCTAGACTGCGGGCTTTGTGTACCCCTCTGTAATGATGAAGCATCGTTGAGGTATTGTGATGATTCAGGATGTAGGCTTGTTTTATCACTGACTTCTTTGTGTGCAGCTACCTGAATGGCCCCTGTGTGGACCTGATCAAACGCTGCCAGCTGTACAGTGACTCCCTGGCCAAGTATGGCAAGACCCCATACCTGTATCCTCTGTATGGTCTAGGTGAACTACCACAAGGCTTTGCAAGGTAACAACACATGGTAGCATGATTTAATATTTACAACAAGCTGTTGTTTTTTCTACATTTGGTGCGACTGTTGCTTTTGGTTACTTATCAGTTGGGTTGGTGGGGTAGCCTAGTGGTTGAAGCGTTAACCCGTCACGCTGAAGACCTAGGTTTGAGTCCCAACATGGGTACCATGTGTGAAGCCCATTTCTGGTGTCCTCAGTCACCATATTGCTGGAATATTGCTAAAAGCGGCCTAAAACCATACTCACTCACTAATTATCAGCTGTGTCAGTCTTCTCCATCATCTTGTTTGCTAGTAAGGTTTTGAGAGGTCACTAAAGAATTCTAAAGATTGCGGATGGGCAGTACCAGTGTCAACTTGAGGCCAGTGTTCCACCTGGCCCCGATTTCTCGAAACAAACAAGTCTGAGTTTTGACTTAAGTTCGAGTTTTTACTCAAATTTGAGAAAACGCAGGAAAATGCATTTCACAGAATGAACTGAAATCGGTATTAAACTCAAACTATAGAAGATAATTTGAGTTTGGTGGATAGATTACTTTAGTTGTTTGGGCTTTAGTATTTAACAAATGCAGTTGAGTTAAAAATTCAGCTGTTCCAAATTGTGAACTCAGTTTGAGATTTGAGTAAAAACTTAAGTTTGTTTCGAGAAATGGGGGCCTGGACATTGGCAGCTTCTTCACTAGCAGTGGTTGGGTCGGTATTCCAGTGACTGCTACACAAGGTATCGGAGATACAATATCAGATGTGTCTTCAACTAGCAGTTACACCTGGAACAGGGGATGTGCTCCTACAAAAATGATAATGACATTTATATGTTTGACATCTCTTAATCACTTATTGGGTCTGGGCCGTGGGGTTGCCTAGTGGTTAAAGTGTACGCTCATCACGCTGAAGACCCGGGTTCAATTCTCCACAGGGGTACAATGTGTGAAGCCCATTTCTGGTGTCCCTGCTGTGATATTGTGGGATATTGCTAAAATTGCGTTTTGACACATTCCTGAGGTGCAAATATGCTCTCTTGGGCAGGCCCTACAAATTAAATGCAGAGAGAAGAGAGGAAAGAAAGATATTGCCCACAAACCATTCTTGATCAGACATCACTCATGCAAGTTTTGATGTTTTTCCAATTTTATTTTTTTCTGTTTTCATGGCAACAATTTGGACTTTGTCTTTTTGAAGGGTAAAGTTCTTTTCCGGAGCATAATCCTGCAACTAATGTTCTTTTCCGGAGCATAATTCTTAAACTATTTACCCATCTTCACCAAATTTGCTGTGCTGTCCACCATATCATGTAGATGTGCATTTTGGGGGTTTGAAATTTTCTGTTTCAATGGCAATAAATTTGGACTTGGTCTTTTTGAAGGGTAGGGTTTGTGTTCCAAGCATAACTCTAAAACAACTTCACCCATATTCACACAACTGTGGAGTTGATGATAAGCAATCATGTTCAGTTGAATATTAAAATATTAAAACGAAGACTTTTCAAACATGATAACATACTATCAATAATATGTATTTTCATACTTAGAGATTTTGAAATTGAAGGAATCAAATGAATTCTTTGAGGTCTCAACGTTGAATTGGGGAAGGGGAGACATCTGTTTTTATGAGTAACACTTTTTAGAGAGAGATGGGGAAATTTGGACTCTCCACATCATCCCTTGTTTTTTCAATAAATTCCATGGTGAGGTAATAGGGTTTGTTGTTTTAAAGTGAGTGGAATGAAGGTAAACACCTGATGTCTCTGTATAACCTAATGCTGCTTCTCCCATGTGTAGACTCAGCGCCATCTATGGTGGAACCTACATGCTGGACAAGGAAGATGCTACAATAGTGTATGAGGATGGGAAGGTGGTTGGCGTGTCTTCAGCTGGAGAGACAGCCAGGTGCAAGATGGTTGTGTGTGACCCCAGCTATGCCAAGGAGAAGTGTAAGAAAGTGGGAGAGGTATGTCCTGTCATGCCACTGTGGGTACCTGTATATTGTAGTTAGATAGGAGGAATCCCAGATGATAGTGCTCCCAGGAGTACCTACATCAGTTTCACCAAGTTGTGAAAATATTAGACCTGTCCTACTTTGGTATTGCCTCCCTTTTTGAGCTAACGGGGACACACTGTATTGTCGCTTTTCAGGTTGTTAACACAATCATTATAGCTGAACAAGGTAGCAGTACATGCTTATTCAAACTGTGTGATGTCAGTGTCATTAGAGGGATACTAGGTATAGTACCAAAATGTGATTGCAAATCTGTTTTTATTGTCTACTGTGTATGGACCATAGTCCAAGAACAGTTTGGAATTAATGATGGCCCTTGACATTCGCTCCTTTAAACATTTGAGTGACCAAGCACCGTCTAATGTTGTAACCTGTGACATTAGGGTATTGGCAGGGATCATCTGTAGCTTCTTGCTGGATTGCATACTGAAGTAATTGATCCATTGCTAATATGTATGATCTGTGTATTCTAAACACAGGAATATCATTTCTGGTGAAAACAGTCCAGATTCACATTTTATTGTGGATGTTTTTTAGACAAAAGCCACTTCACAGACACAGTTTTCGTTCTGTAGAAACTTTATTGTGTTGTATTGCTATGTATTGATTCAGCTATAGAAAAACAGCAACCATGCACAGGCCAAAGCCCTGAGCTGTCTATATTTACAACAGCTGAAGAAAGTCTTTGATTTGGTATTGTCTCAACTGATATTCTCCTACCTTTGTGTTACAGGTGGTGCGTGCTATATGCATATTGAACCATCCAATTCCCAATACTGCAGATGCTTTGTCTTCTCAAATCATCATTCCACAGAACCAAGTTGGACGTAAATCGGGTAAGTTTATAGCATCTGAAAGCTTTATTTTTCAACTGTACTTACGAATTTGTGTATCATCCAGATGTCTAGACGTTATCACACCATGATGTCCAGTCCTTGTCATCAGACCGTGATGTCCAGTCCTTATCATTCAGACTGTGATGTCCAGTCCTTATCAGGCTGTAATGTCCAGTCCTTATCATCAGATCATGTCTGGTTATCATCAGACCATGATGTGTAGTTCTTATCATCAGACCATGATGTCTTTGTTCTTATCAGACCTTGATGTCTTGTTATCACCAGACCGTGATGTCCAGTTCTTATCATCAGATCATGATGTCCAGTCCTTATCATCAGACCGTGATATCCAGTCCTTATCAGACCTTGATATCCAGTCCTTATCAGACCGTGATGTCCAGTCCTTATCATCAGACCGTGATATCCAGTCCTTATCAGACCTTGATACCCAGTCCTTATCATCAGACCATGATGTCCAGTTCTTGTCACCAGACCGTGATGTCCGATCCTTATCAGACTGTGATATCCAGTCCTTATCATCAGACCGTGATGTCCAGTCCTTATCATCAGACCGTGATATCCAGTCCTTATCATCAGACTGTGATGTCCGATCCTTATCAGACCGTGATATCCAGTCCTTATCTTCAGACCGTGATATCCAGTCCTTATCAGACCATGATGTCCAGTCCGTATCATCAGACGGTGATATCCAGTCCTTATCAGACCGTGATATCCAGTCCTTATCAGACCTTGATACCCAGTCCTTAACATCAGACCATGATATCCAATCCTTGTCATCAGACCGTGATGTCCGATCCTTATAATCAGACCGTGATATCCAGTCCTTATCAGACCGTGATGTCCAGTCTTTATCATCAGACCGTGATATCCAGTCCTTATCAGACCGTGATGTCCACTTCTTATCATCAGACCGTGATATCCAGTCCTTATCAGACCTTGATACCCAGTCCTTATCATCAGACCATGATATCCAGTCCTTGTCATCAGACCATGATTTCCAGTCCTTATAATCAGACCGTGATATCCAGTCCTTATCAGACCGTGATGTCCAGTCTTTATCATCAGACCGTGATATCCAGTCCTTATCAGACCGTGATGTCCACTTCTTATCATCAGACCATGATGTCCAGTCCTTATCATCAGACCGTGATGTCCAGTCCTTATCATCAGACCGTGATGTCCAGTTTTATCATCAGACCGTGATGTCCAGTTCTTATCATCCGACCGTGATGTCTAGTCCTTATCATCAGACCATGATATCCAGTACTTATCACCAGACCGTGATGTCCAGTCCGTATCATCAGACTGTGATATCCAGTCCTTGTCATCAGACCATGATTTCCAGTCCTTATAATCAGACCGTGATATCCAGTCCTTATCAGACCGTGATATCCAGTCCTTATCAGACCGTGATATCCAGTCCTTATCAGACCGTGATGTCCACTTCTTATCATCAGACCGTGATGTCCAGTCCTTATCATCAGACCGTGATGTCCAGTTTTATCATCAGACCGTGATGTCCAGTTCTTATCATTTGACCGTGATGTCCAGTCTTTATCATCAGACCGTGATATCCAGTCCTTATCAGACCATGATATCCAGTCCTTATCACCAGACCGTGGTATCCAGTCCTTATCATCAGATCATGTCTGGTTATCATCAGACCATGATGTCTAGTTCTTATCATCAGACCATGATGTCTTTGTTCTTATCACACCTTGATGTCTTGTTATCACCAGACCGTGATGTCCAGTTCTTATCATCAGATCATGATGTCCGATCCTTATCAGACCGTGATATCCAGTCCTTATCATCAGACCGTGATATCCAGTCCTTATCAGACCTTGATACCCAGTCCTTATCATCAGACCATGATGTCCAGTTCTTGTCACCAGACCGTGATGTCCGATCCTTATCAGACTGTGATATCCAGTCCTTATCATCAGACTGTGATGTCCAGTCCTTATCATCAGACCGTTATGTCCAGTCCGTATCATCAGACTGTGATATCCAGTCCTTGTCATCAGACCATGATTTCAGTCATCAGACCATGATTTCCAGTCCTTATAATCAGTCTTTATCATCAGACCGTGATATCCAGTCCTTATCAGACCGTGATGTCCACTTCTTATCATCAGACCGTGATGTCCAGTCCTTATCATCAGACCGTGATGTCCAGTTTTATCATCAGACCATGATGTCCAGTTCTTATCATCCGACCGTGATGTCTAGTCCTTATCATCAGACCATGATATCCAGTACTTATCACCAGACTGTGATGTCCAGTCCTTATCAGACCATGATGTCCAGTTCTTGTCACCAGACCGTGATGTCCAGTCCTTATCAGACCATGATGTCCAGTTCTTGTCATCAGACCGTGATGTCCAGTTCTTATCATCAGACCATGATATCCAGTCCTTATCACCAGACCGTGGTATCCAGTTCTTATCATCAGATCATGATGTCTGGTTATCATCAGACCATGATGTCTAGTTCTTATCATCAGACCATGATGTCTTTGTTCTTATCAGACCTTGATGTCTTGTTATCACCAGACCGTGATGTCCAGTTCTTATCATCAGATCATGATGTCTGGTTATCATCAGACCATGATGTCCATGGTGCCGTTGCACTAAGCGATCTTATCTAAAATCAATCTTAGCAAGTTATGCCAATTGTACAGTCGTCTTAGCTAACCGATCTTAGGCCGATCATAGCCAGTGCTGATCTTACGATTTGATCCTAGCTAAGGTCTAGACTCTTTTGTGCAAGAGATAGAAAAATGCGAGACAGAAGTTATCTTCCTATCCATAGTCGAGCAGACGATGGAAGTAGTTTTGAAACCAAGTGTAAACATGGAGAAGAAACAAGAAGTCTTAGGGTAGCGAGCACCTTGGTTTCAGGGCAAGTGCATGTTAATATTTAAACTAAGTAATTGAGTCTGGTCCAGATATTATCAGCAACATCTGTATCGAAGAGCCATAGGTTCCTGGGGACAGATTATCTTGCAGAACCCCCACAAAGTCCCATGTATTGATATAAAATGTCTGTGTTTTGCAGTGAGTAGACAGATGTTCATTTCCTTTCAGACATCTATGTTTGCTGCGTGTCCTATACCCATCAAGTAGCTGCCAAGGGCTTCTTCCTGGCCATTGTCAGTACAACTGTTGAGACAGATAACCCAGAGGCGGAACTTAAACCAGGACTTGATCTTCTAGGACCAATTGTTGAGAAGTAAGCATAAGTCGATTACATGCAACCAGTTGGGGTGGTGAAGGATATTTAAATGATGAAAATGACACTACCCTAAATATTGTTGATAATCATTCAAAATACCTGTCATAGCATTGATCATATATTCTCTAATGTCTTAGTATATACTGAACAGGTTCTGAATAGTTTTCAATAGCTCACACACTGCAGACTGATGCATGATGTTCGGAATATTGCTTATCATGTTTGTGTGTGTGGTAACACATTTCTGTCTATTTCACCAGGTTTGTTGATACTTCTGATTTACTGGCTCCCACAGACGACGGAACTGATAGTCAGGTAAGTGTATTGTGTGTTTAATCAAACAAAGTTAGGCCACAACAGTGCAGGTATTTTAAAAGCTGCTGAAAGCATTATGGCTCTGTTGTAGATGAGTCTACGTGAGTATATCAGAAGCATTATCTTAATGTAACATCTTCTTCTGTTTGGCAGGTGTTCATCACCAAGTCGTACGATGCAACTACTCACTTTGAAACCACTTGTGATGATGTCTTGGATCGCTTTGAAAAAATTACTGGTGAGAAGTTTGATTTCTCAAGCGTCAGCCAAGTTGATGATCAACAGCAGGAAAACTGAACAAAACAATGTGACTTTCACTGCAATTATGTTGCACATTGGACAGTGCTTATTCCACGTCATTCACGACACAGGACCACACTGCCCAAGCTTCGGAGAAGATCCACCATCTTGGAATGCTTAGAAACAGTGGTGCCCTGGTGAATCTGCTTCGTCAAGTCTGGGTAGTCTCCCTTTGTCTGCCATGTAGACCAGACAACAGTCTGATCATGTAACAAGCTCATTGAGTTGAATGTTTCCCACGGGATGCTTCTATTGGTGCAGCTGTCCTTTTTTATGTTCGACCATGTACTATAAGCCCCGCTTGTTTTGTGTCCAAATTGTTGGTCATGTCAAGGTGTATTAGGTGTTGTAAGATTTTGTCTAATATTCTTGTTGTCTTCAATCATGTACAAGACATTTCTGAAGACATTTTACCCAGTGTAAGTGACTCGCTCTTTCTCTGTCTGTCAGATGAATTCTGGTTAAGTAGGTACAGATGTTATTGCTGCTTTGATTATTTTATGCATGCTTAGTATCTACAACTTTGGAGTAGTCCCATGACATGAAAGTCTGTTGTGTTAATGGTAATTTGATAATGAAAGTGTCCAACTCTACTTCATCCTATCAATAGATACTGTTTTAGTAGTCATTATTTTAGCACACCAAGAAGTTGTTTCCCCCTTCCTCAAATTCCATAAGGTGTATTTTATTTTGTTAAACAGTACCATGATGTACATGTATTTAACTGCTGTAATGATGTGAATAAACTCTTAATATATGAAATAATTGCAGTTTCGTCAATTGATATGGTAATGGCATAATGCCAAGCTCAAATTTGAAGACGTTGATAAGTCGTTTTTAAAACATCTTGAGTTACTTGGGACTAGGTCAGCATGGCTTTCATTCATACAAAGGACGGCACCCCACCTGACGTGAAACCTGTTCATACCGAACTGGGTAATCCTAATGTGGTCATCAGATTCTTGCACTTGAGAAGACCACGTAGAAAGCTTGCTAAGGGTGACGTTGTGAAGGTATTGGGCTGGTGTCCCTGTGTTCATGTATATTTCTGATTCTGTTGCATCTCTGTAAATTGGATCATGAAGTATATACTACAGATGATTGAATATTTTGTTATACTCTATTTGCAGTGGTTGAAGATTTTGGAAGCTTTATATTTTGTCAGCTGTTCAGTGTACAAACATTCTGTGCATATTACAGTCTGAAGTAGATAAGTCTAAGTAGGCTCGAACAACTACAAGTATCACATGCCAAAAGTGGTCTGTGGTGAACCAGTGCCAAAGGCAGTATTTTATGCAGTGGAACCTTTTTTGAAAACAATTGTCCAAATTGTTGATTGTAACCCACATGTACTTAAGTGATTTAGGGTTTGGGAGAAGGATGTTTTGTGAATCAGTGCATGGGAATTTCAAACTTATCTTTTACAGAGACCTTTTACAGACTGGAAAATATTAGTCATGTAATATTTTCAAGAGTCGCTAGTTACTCTGTCTTTCGATTCCGTAGTTTTTTCTGGCCCCAAAGTAAGATATGTTCATGAAGCCTGTTTACCATTCCTGGATAAATGGATGAGATTCATTGTCACAGATCAATTCTGGATATGGTGCACTTGTTTTTGAAGGGTTTCACTCCAGCTGGTCCGTGCAATAGTTTGAGAACCTGTGTATGTTAATATGTACTATATCACCTTTCACTTTTGTTTATTCGTCCAGACATGTACTCTTTGTCTAAGCAGATAAAATTAGTATGATTCTGCTCTGTTGTTGACAAATCCTGATATTTCACTCAAAAGGCTACCAATGTACTTTGAGAGAATTTTAGCTTTCATTGACATCCAGATGAATTTCTTGCGCATGTATGAGTAAAATCAAGTCATTGATTATTGTCAATAAAGATGTGAGTATTGCTTTCACTAAGAGAATGTTGTTTATACACCAGTGCATCAGCTGACATTCTGATCTTCATTTGCACCCCATTCATAACTATGAAGTGTCAGATCACACAATCCCTCGCCTGATCTCAGGGACCACATTAAACACTCATCCTTTTAAGTTCTGTTGGAATCTGATCAGGGCGGTGGGGAAGCCAAGCGTTCGCTCCTCATGCAGGAGACTCGGGTTCGATGCCCAACATGGTTACAATGTGTGAAGTCCCCTGCCCTGATATTGCTGGAATATTGCTATAAGCAGCGTAAAACCATGCTCACTGATTACTCACTGGAATTTGATATATATTATTATTATACAATATTTATATAGCGCACATATCCAGGCAGGAAGTGCTTGCTCAAGGCGCTGGTATTATATAACTATACAGACTGACAATAACTAGTTCTCATAAATGTCTCTGAATTATGTCTTTGGCAGTTGTCCAAGGTCAAAGGCCAGAGTCAGCAGATTGGAAACACAACATACTTTGAGATTACACTTTCTGGAAAAGTATTGCTGCATTTTCATTTTAATAGGGACATGTTTTAGCAGTCATGTAACTTTATATTAACATGCTTCATAACATACACAGCTGTGTTCAAAGTCATTTGCGCCTATGTCAGTGGTGATGGTCACCTTTGATTTAATTGTTAAAAGAGATGAAGTCTATATTGCTGAGTGCGGCGTAAAACTAACCTCGTAAAATTTCTGGTCCTAACCTCGCCGTTGACTAGATTCTTCAATTGTGCACTTTAGATTCTTTTGGATTATATTTGCTACCTTGGTTCATCACAGTATGCAAAAGGCCACGGTCAGGTTTGGTGACCTTGACCTTTATTTCATGGTCACAAGGGGACTCAGGTTTTACCCTTGTCAGCAAGAAATCTCAAGAACCCTTCACTGGATCTTCATGGCTTCATCTAGAGGAGGCGCAGTGGTATTACGTATGTGGGACTATATTGGGGGCGGAGAGATCAGTGGGACTATATTGGGGGCTGAGATCAGTGTATGTCGTATGTGGGACTATATTGGGGCGGAGAGAGAGATCAGTGGTATGTCGTGTGTGGGACTATATTGGGGTGGAGAGATCAGTGGTATGTCGTGTGTGGGACTATATTGGGGGCGGAGAGATCAGTGGTATGTCGTATGTGGGACTATATTGGGGGCGGAGAGATCAGTGGTATGTCGTATGTGGGACTATATTGGGGGCGGAGATCAGTGGTATGTCGTATGTGGGACTATATTGGGGTGTGGAGAGATCAGTGGTATGTCGTAATGTGGACTATATTGGGGGACGGAGAGATCAGTGGTATGTCGTATGTGGGACTATATTGGGGGCGGAGAGATCAGTGGTATGTCGTATGTGGGACTATATTGGGGGCGGAGAGATCAGTGGTATGTCGTATGTGGGACTATATTGGGGCGGAGAGATCAGTGGTATGTCGTATGTGGGACTATATTGGGGGCGGAGAGATCAGTGGTATGTCGTATGTGGGACTATATTGGGGCGGAGAGATCAGTGGTATGTCGTATGTGGGACTATATTGGGGGCGGAGAGATCAGTGGTATGTCGTATGTGGGACTATATTGGGGGCGGAGAGATTGGGATGTCGTATGTGATCATTGGTATGTCGTATGTGGGACTATATTGGGGGGGCGGAGAGATCAGTGGTATGTCGTATGTCGTATTTGAGACTATATTGGGGGTGGAGATCAGTGGTATGTCGTATGTGGTATGTCGTATGTAAGACTATATTGCGGGCGGAGAGATTAGACCAAGGCAGAAAACAGACATTGGAAACAAGTGCACAGCTGCTGTTCACTTGACAGCCGTAATATTTCAGAAGCTTGGCTACGTGGATTCACAAGGAAGGATGGCAATCTTCATATTACGTGTGTTCTGAATGTTCATGTTGATACTTCGTGCTGAAGAGCTGAACACATATTGTTCCCGAGCGAATGTAGCAATAACAAGATCCCACCACGATAACATGGTGCTTTTTACTGAGGTGGTATCTGCTGATTGGACTTGTGTGGCATTACGTATCAGATTTGCCTTGAAGTAATCACTGGATGTCATGCAGTCAAATAAGTTACATATACTGTGAAGTGTTTACCCGGAGTGCCATGCGTGGTACACAATGCCCCACCCCAACACTATTCAAAACAAACAAAAAAAACATGAAAAAACACTCGATGTTCGCAGATGTTCAGCGTCACAACACAAACACATTAGGACTTTCTCAGCCTTGAAGGAAAGCATTGTTTAATAATTTGCAGCTACTTCCCACCCATACAATGTATCTACAACCGTCTGTATATTGCTGTTGGTTCCTTGTGTTCCTTCACTTACAATCTCTATCGACCACTGAATGTAGGAACTCTGTTTATCTGCACAAGGAGTAGGACGAAGACCACTGACATGTAAGCTACTATATCAAACTACATATTGGTCAATGAAGGGATATTTTGATTACACAATGCCATTTAGAAAGTGGGCAAATGTAACAAATGTTATATTTGGGATTACACTTTCTTAGTGAAGTACAGATTCTTGTACTTCCTAACGGAAGTCTCGGTGGCTGAGCGGGTTCGGCGGCTGACTTTGTGTGCTGGCGATTAGGTGCTTAACACTGAGGGTGTGGGTTCGAATCCCGGATAAGACTCAACCCAACAAAAGTACTATTATCCGTACTTTACTAAGAAAGTGTAATGACAAATGTCCCAAGGAATATTTTGTACGGTTCTTAATCTAGACGTTGATAAATCAGATGAAACGCGGTAACTTTAATGGCCTAATCATTCAACAGATAGTGAGATACTGGACTCAAACATGCTGTGACTATCAATTTATGAAATCTCCCCTTAAATGAAACTTCATTTTTCAGCCTGGGAGAAAGGGTTTCAATGTCCATCGAAAGAAATTCAGGCGCTCTGGTGTGTTTTTAAAAAAAAAAAAATCAATCTAGGTTTACAAATGTTCACTAGTATTCAATAATGTTCAATAGTATTCTACTGCCCCGCCGAGCAACTGTCCAAGCTGGGCGCGCTATGAATGTATTGCGTTATCATATTGAACTGCCATTTCTGGAATGAACAGCTGACCATGGTGTATTTTGCAAAGCTTCATATATGGTGTTTTTTAGTCATTATCAGATAATGCAATCCGTTGTTTTGGATCTTGGGTATGTGTGAAAGTAATACGGCTCGTGCTTGTCGCACATAAGGATTCTCTCTTTGCTCATTCCATTGAGCATATCGGTTTGCCTGGCTCAAATTCTCGACAGTTCAGCGATATTATATTGTTTAGTGTTGATTCCCGAGTCGTAACTAAAAATCAACCGGGAATCAGTCCGTAAAACAACGATGAAATGTGCTTTATTACCAACTGTATTCTAAAATTAATTCACATACAACATTGGTCTTCTTGTAGCTTGATATGTAATACTCCCCTTATATACCCAAAGAAATAGCTGCTCAAAAGTTCTATACAAAGGCAGATAATTCTGGAATCAGTTCAATGCAGCTCTTTCCAGAGCTTTCTACACGGTCCTCTGCGCCACTTAACTATGATGTATACACATTTCAGCAGAATGGTTGCGGGGACCAGGCTCCAGGCTGTCGTCTCTGTGCTCTTGCTTCTTCTGTGCCCACCAAACTTTGTGGATGGAGGTAGGTGCCATGCTTTCGCATTAACTGATCAGTACACCCATACACAATATTCCATGATCAAATATACTGCTATAAAAGCAATAGTCCAACAAACCCCGAGAAGATCGAGGGCATGTAGTCATGCGGATGAAATCCGTTCGTCTGTCCGTCCGTCAGAAGTTATTTTTGTTCAACCATTAACTTGAACACTATTGGTTGTTTAGTTTTCAAATATTTGGACCACCTTCTTTGTCTACATGGGAGGGGTAGTGCACACTCTGATTATGATATTTTAAGTTTTTCAAAAATTAAAGCATTTTGCACATTTGAACTTAGAAAAGTTTGTTGTTTAAACATATTGGCCGACAAGCTTTCAGATTTTAAAAAAACCCGGTTGGGACAGCTGTATCAGGGATACTCTACAGTGTCTTCCATTCTTCCTGGCTGTATAAAGATAGTTTATGCCAGTTGGACAGTGGTTGGGACAGCTGTATCAGGGATACTCTACAGTGTCTTCCATTCTTCCTGGATGTATAAAGATAGTTTATGCCAGTTGGACAGTGATAGGGACTGTGTTTAGGAAGATGGGTGGCTGCTACATTACAAACAAAACTGTAGTTAATTAATTAGTTACTGATTGCGTTTGAACACATTAAGAAGCATGTTGGGAGAAAATGTTGTTAAAAATAGAACACCGATCACATGACAGTGCAATTGCAATTACAGTGAAGCCTCGTTAATCCGGACGGTTGCGTTTCTCAGCAAATTCGTCCGGATTGCGAATAGTCCGGACTACTGAATCAAGACCCAAGTTCAAGCAAGAGTTGCTTCCCTTACTATTACAAAAACGACGCGACTCTGGATATAACAAATAAGCAGTTAATGTAAAGCTTATAAAACGATGAATAGCTGGCACTGAAAATCAAAATGTTTTCAAATCTGTACATATCTATATTTCTCTCAAACAAAACGTTTTCTTATTTAACTTCTAGCCTATCCTAGGCTATGTCTGTCACTTGTGTACATTGTTGTAATTAAAGATAATTGTGTAATTATTGGGAGAGGACTCTTCTAAGTTGGATAACTTGTGCTCAATCCATTTCTTGAATGTTGAGTTTGATCAATAACAACCAAGTCGTTGCATGTCTGTCGCAGGGCGCTATGTGTTCTCCTTACAGCCTGCTGGGAAATACAGTCAAACCATAGTTCACGTGTTTATCATGTTGAGTAACTCAAACATTACTGAATCCGTTACCTCTATGGTGCAGCCAACACATCCCAGCAACAAAGAAACAAGATCATTACAATGCCCCTTCAAATGAACACTGAGTTC